TCAGAGATTGTAATAATCTGGCCACTCAGTGTGTGTGTGTGTGTGTGTGTGTGTGTGTATGAAATATGTGAATTTTATGATGTGGAACCTCAAGTAGTAATTCTTTCTACGACTAATGTAAACAAGGCATAGGGTCTCACATTACCTAATTATTGTCTTTTTTAAAAGACAGGCCCTGACGGATTCCTTAGTGTGAATAAAGATATAGACTCTAGTTTCTTGTTTGTTCCCTTTTATACTTAACACATAATATAGGTGTTCTCAAAACATGCATTCCACCAGTGGGAAATTTTAGACAGAAATAGGAAAAGGACTGGACCCAGCCGACGTGACTTACAGTAGCAGCAAAGACAGGAGGAATACAGTTTAAAATGCAAACATGGACTCAGGTTCCCAAGGTGAGTTAATGCCCCGGCTCATGAGAGAAAACTGACCAGCACCCATTAAGGAAAATACTAAAATTTCTTAAAATCCAGATGAGCCATTAAAACCCAACAGTACTGGATTATCACCTAATCAAAGGCTTGCATTGTTTGATTTTTTGAAAAACAATTGTTATTCTTTATCAAGTGCCTATTAAGTGTTAACGCCTTGGAATCTCATTACTCCTATGACCCCCCCACACGACCGGTGGGCACCTACATTGGCAATGAAACTGGACCACTGCCTTGTGGTAGAGCCGTGTCTTGAACCTGGTCTGTTCACGCCATAGGTCTCCTTTTATTTATTTCTTTTTTCTTATTTTAAAAATATATTTTATTGATTTTTTATAGAGAGGAAGGGAGAGGGATAGAGAGTTAGAAACATCGATTAGAGAGAAACATATATCAGCTGCCTCCTATGCACTCCCTACTGGGGATGTGCCCGCAACCAAGGTACATGCCCTGGACCGGAATCGAACCTGGGACCCTTTAGTCCGCAGGCCGACGCTCTATCCACTGAGCCAAACCGGTTTCGGCCATAGGCCTCCTTTTAAAAGCACTGGGATTTTCTCTTCTGCCAGAGCTTTTGTATATTTTCTAAAAGAACATCCCCTCATGGCAGTAAACACATGGTTGTAGCTGATAACTTATCTTGTGGATTGTTTTAGGTTTATTGTGCTCTTACAGGATTTAAAATCCCACTTTTTGACCGATGATCCTGTAAGTTTGGAACCCGCTCTGTTCTCCTTCCTCTCAAACAGCATAGCTTTAGAAATACGTACAGATCGTGCCATCCAAAAAGGAACTAAGTTTACTAGGTCTTCTCCTTCTTTTCCCTCTCCTTGTTACTTAACGTTCCTTGAATCTAGTTCTGAGTGTACCATGCTAGCCAACTGTTCCACGCTTTTCTCTACCTGAGCTGGCTATTGAGTCCAGGACTTTCTAAACACACTTTATGGGGACACTAATTTAAATCCAAACAGAGCCAGGCCGTATCTGGGTAAACAGAAGTAAGTCATTAAAGGAGACTGTTCTCAATGCCACGTCCACCTTCCTTCTCATCGCTCCCTCCGTGGCTGCAGCGAGCACCTCCCCACTCTCTCTCTCTCTACCTGCCTGCACCCTTTTTTCTGTCCCTGAAAGCGAAAGCACCAAAAGCAAAAGCAGACCCTCATGATGGCAGTGGCCTGCTGCCACCCTGCTCACAGGAGACTTCAGCCTGGAGGTGACTCTTTGGCAAAAATGATGGGGACAAGAGGCCCCTCCATGACCCCATCGGAGTAGGTCTCCCCCGGGGAATGCATCCACCAGGAACCTGCCCGCCCACCTGCAATGTTTACCTGTGGCCCAGTCCTCCGGGGGCCGGCCTGCTGAGCAGTAGCAGCAGTCCAGGATGACATAGTTGAGCACGTTGAAGAACAGCCCGATGATCCCGGCAGCCAGCACCAGCAGCGCCTCCTCCGTCTTCTGGGGGCTGATGTACCTCTTGATGGCCTCCACCAGGATGCTGAACATGAGCGCCACGGCGAAGATGGAGTTGCCGAAGGCCCCCACCACGTCGGCCCGCAGGAAGCCGAAGGTGCTCTTCGGGTGGTAGGTGATGGTGCTGGCCCGCAGGCCGAACAGGCCGATGACCATGGACAGGAGGTGGGAGAGCACGGCGAAGGCGTCTGAGGCCAAGGACAGGGAGTTGCCGACGTGGGCGATCGCCAGTTCCATCACGAACAGAATGATGCTCACCACACACATGAAGACCAGGCGGAAGGTCCTCCCGGAGTATCGGCCCATGGCTCCCTCCAGCTGGCGGGCCGTTCCCTCTTCCTCTCCCGGGGAAGAAGGCTGCGCTCCGAAGGGAGCAGCCACAGATCCTGAGATTACAGCTCCTGGAAAACTCTCCCCTTCAGCCGTTCAGCGCGCTTGTCAGACTTAGAAATCACCCTTTATAGGCTGCCATAAAGCCATAAAGCAGTGTAAAGGGCAATTAAGCGGGAGATGTCATGTGAGCTGGGACTCTGGTTCAGATACGGATGCGGACTGGAGGAATTTGTTTGTTTGTGTGTTTCGTCCCAGAAGTCAGAAGTCACACCGTGGCTCACCAGTGGCTCCAGCCCTCCCAGCTTCCACACACACAGGAAAGGGGGACACAAGTCGGTTGACAAAGGCCGTCCGATCCTGTCCACCTGGTGTGCAAAGCTTTGAGTGCTGTCCACCGCCTGGGTCAGGGGACACTCTGGATCACAGCTCCCGTAAGTGAAACCTAAACGTGAAGCCAGGGGGAGTTTTCCGCTGCCTGAATGCTGATGAAGAATACACAAGCACCTGCTTCCACATTTATTCTCCCAAATAAGACCCCAAAAATAAAAAAATAAACCCTCATGGTCAGGGAAGATAAAACACTTTAAGCTGGAGGAGCTACAGACATGACCCCAGTCATTTCAGGAAGAAAGCCAAATTATGACGACTTCACTGAGACAAGGAAATCTTTTTTGTTTTTAATCTTATCACCTGTCACTCACACTCGAAGGTTTGCTGGGTCCTAAATTCGTAAAACAATAGCGGCCTCTGCCGAAACCGGTTTGGCTCAGTGGATAGAGCGTTGGCCTGCGGACTGAAAGGTCCCAGGTTCGATTCCAGTCGGGGGGCCATGTACCTTGGTTGCGGGCACATCCCCAGGTGGGGGTGTGCAGGAGGCAGCTGATCGATGTTTCTAGCTCTCTTCTCCTCTCTGTAAAAAATCAATAAAATATATATATTTAAAAGCAACTAAAAATGGGGCTTTCCTTACAAAAATAAAATAAATAGCGGCCTCTATTGTTTCCAGCAGCCTGCCTACAGTCAATTTTTTAAAGAAATGAGTCTTCCCAGTGTTTTCTGAGTTTAAATTCTGCGGTTAACTTTATGTGTCAATTTCACTGGACTGCCAGGTGCCCAGACATTTGATTAAACATTGCTCTAATTTCCTGTGAGGGTGTTTGGATGAGATTAGCATTTGAGTCCAAAGACTGGATAAAGCAGATTGCCCACCAGTGTGGGTGGGCCTCATCTAATCAGTTGAAGGCCTGAAGAGACAGACCCTCTGGGTTCCTCCTGCTGACTGAGATGTAGGGCTTGAGCTGAAACATTAGCCCTTCCTGGGTCTCAAGCCAGTGGCCCTCAGACCGAAACTATTCCATAGACTCTCCTGAGTTTCCTGTTTGCTGACTCACGCTGCAGATCTCAGGACTCCTCGGCCTCCATAACTGCAATTCTGTATAATCTCTATTTATACGCCTTGGTTCTGTTTACCTGGAAAACTCTAATACATTCAATTATGCCTAAATCCTCACAACTCAGATGTAGCCCTAATCATTTCCTTAGCATCTCATACATCACCTCCACTTCATCTGCAGACTTGTAATACAATCAGGCTGCGTATCAAGTTGCACCCAGACTATCTCATTCATCCATTCATGCAACCAATATTTACTGAGTCCCTACAGGTCACACACAGTTATAGGCTCCGGGGAAGATAGCCATGAGTAAGACAAAAACCAGTGCCTTTATGAAAGCTTCCAGTCTAGTGGGGAGACAGATCATTAGCAAAATAAGTCATAACATGTATTGAATGTCAGATGGTAATAAGATGGGAGACAAATGAAGCAGAGGATAGCGTGTTGGCATAGAGGTGGAGCTGTAACTTTAAATAAAGTGGTCAGGGAAGAATCTACTGAGAAGCTCGAGTGAACAGCTGAAGGAGGTAAGGAGCTCCCTCACTCAGCAGGAGTTTCTTTTATTTTTTAAATACATCGTTATTGCTTTCAGAGGAAGGAAGAGGGAGAGACACCCCAGATTCTCCAGGCAAATGCCTTCTCTGCGCTGTTTTATGGAGTGTTTTCTGCTGCTGGTGTCAAGGCTCCAAGCCTCTCCCTTATAGAAGGCCATCAGCAGGAGGGATTCGGAGGGTCTGCTCAGTCCTTCAACTGATTGAACGAGGCCCACCCATGCCAGGGAACCCTGCCCACTTCACTCCTCTGCCAATGCATCAACAGGTTTTGTGACATCTTTGTTAATGATCTGTCTCCTCCTCAATGTGCTGCTGTCCAATTCCAGCAAAGATACCTGGCCTATGGTTTTGTTTTGTTTTTACTGCAATGAAAGAAGAGGCACACACTCACGCCTATGAGTGCCAGCCATGTATCTTAAATGGCTGTCACCTGCAAGCAAAACAGTGACCCTTTCCCAAAGGACCGTGTTTGGCCTCAGGCTTCTGCATCCCCTGAAAAAGCACTGCCACTTCTCAGATGTTTGGATATCTTAGCTGAATCTCAATTTAAAGGGAAAAGTCTCTCCCCCATCACATGTAGATTTAGGGTAAAAGACTCCTGCCCTTCACATGCTTACTTACTGTGGGGTTCCTTTAAATAATGAATTCCTTTGAAGCAGCCAACTTTGAGCTTTTCTGCAGTTAGTTCTCATTGGGAGCTTCAGGAAATTCCTACGAATAGAGGTTATTTTCATCTCAAGAGGGATAGAGAATAGGAATGGCCTTATAGTACGTTAACTCCAATACTTCAGAAACGAACAAATACATAAAACGAATGAATTCATGATGTTTATTACTGGGGTGGTTTACAGAATAGTCTTTTTTTTCTCCCCACTGTTAACTTGAGACGTAAGAATAGGTGTTTATCTTGTGAACTCCTTTTTGAAGTTTTATTTTTTTAAAAAAATCATAAAACTCTGTATCTGGGAAGATAGTAGTAGCAATTTTTTTAAAAGTGCAGAGGGTTGGAGGTAGGCCGTGGCTCTGTCCTCAGTAACTCCGCCCAAACAGGGTGTAGTACTTGGCAGGGTTCTTGCCGCAGACGCATCTGGCTTCAGGCTGCAGCTCACGGAGCGGTTTGAAGGGAATGCAAAGGCTTTTGGCTCCCATGGATGGAGCGCCAGGTTCAAGGTCCTGATCCCTGAAATCCAAACAGATGAGAATTCCATTCATTTAAGCTGTGCGAGCCTCTTCTTTTTCCCGGCCTCGCCTCCCACGTCTTATCTGTTCATTGCATTTACCTGGCCGTGGTCTTCTTGATCCAGTCTTCGCAGTCAATTTCCCCACAGAAGGGGATCTGGACAATCTAATGGGGAAAGGACAATATATAGTGTGTGTGTCACTCCAGGACACCAGTTATTTGCAGCCACCCATCCCATGCTCAAACTGAGTCCCTCCTGCAAACTCTTCCTTGTACTTGAGACTTGGTTAAAACATGTTCCCAAAGGTTTTTCTAAGAACAAAGTGAAATGGAGACGAAGAAATTATAAAAATCTGAGCAATCCATCAGATGAACGTTACTGCGGGGTAAGACAGGTAGTTACCTACGTCTCTCAAGATTCTTAATTTTTATTCTTTATAATTTCTATTATGTTTTTAAAAGATACAATTTTTTGCAACACACAATATCTTGCATTTTGTAGCAGAAAATGTTAATGACAAAAAATAACGAGACTCTAAAATTACGATGATCAATAGATTAGTAATGTAGTGTATTAACCTGAGTCTCCAACTTGGTAAAATGTCATTTTGATCATCTGCCTTGAGATAATAATAAAGAGGTGATAATTTCAAGGCAAATCCTGGAGGGAAGGAAGGAGTGAGTAAAGGGAAGGTGGAAGGGCTGGTAGTAATAAATATTCTGAAAAAAATCTAATAGAGAAATTGTGCAATGCAAACTGAAGCAAAGACCAGCCTGGGGATAAGAGCTGAAATCACACCACGTGACAGCCCTGAGACTTGGGAATCATTAGCAGTTGTGCAATCTCAGAGCATGAAAAAAATGTATGTTTACAGTATTGTTTAAAACATTACAAAAAACAAAGCGGGGAAATCTTTACTGTCACTATTTAAGCAATGGTAAGAATACTAAGACAATTACAAAAAATGCTTTTGGGTACTAAATTTGGTTTCTTAGAAATTTTTACTTTAACTCACAATATAGCTATATTTTTTAATAACTAACACATTTTACAGTAAATAGTCTTATTTTCTTCTTCTCATGAGAAAACATTATTAAGCCTTGAGAAGGTATTCCTAAAATAATTTTTAAAATTTAAAATGATGTAGCATGTAAAAAATTCAACTGAAGTCATTAAATATATTTGGACTCATAAATGATAATTTTGTAAAACACCATGTTTTAATTCTTCCTAGCTTCAAAGTATAGATAATTAGACCTAAAATTTCTATTTATGCATATGTCATTAACATGAAAGTACGGTATACATTTTTATGCTAATTATTCGGCCATGGAAAGATTCTTAATTTTTATTCTTTATAATTTCTATATGTTTTTAAAAGATACAATTTTTTGCTACACACAATATCTTGCATTTTGTAGCAGAAAATGTTAATGACAAATAATGAGACTCTAAAATTACGATGATCAATAGATTAGTAATGTAGTCAACAGTAAACATATGTTACACATATAAATAACATTTATTTTTCATTTAACTAAGACCATTCCCTTGGAAAAGTTCCTGAAATCAAGTCCTACACATTTCTTTCTTTTTTTTCTTTTTTTTTTCATTTATACCAACAGGGGAAGTAGAAAATCAAACTTTCACCTACATTCATGTTCCAAAGATCCCTTTCACCTTCTCCCTTCTTAGTAAATACCATTTTATTTACAGTAACTTCAAAGGTTGCTGGAGAGCCAGTCAACATATTTAAGCTGAGCAATATAAGATGAGATGCGGATGCAATTGGCTACTGAATTCAAAAAACAAAACATGCTTTGGCCTCTGTGCTCTCTGGACATACAACTAAAACATGTATTCTGCTTTAGAACAGATGCGGAAATCTATGATTCCACTAATATCTGGTGAGACTCATTTTTTTTTTTAGAGCAATGGACTAACTAGTGTTGACTCTATCGATTTATTAACTCTTATGCAATGTCTTCACAGACTGTATTGGCACAGTCTCCATATTGTGACTCCATATTTCTATAATACAGGAAATTCTAAAATTCAGTAAATAACGGAGCAAAAGTAAAATAATCACAAATTGCAGTGAAAGGAGAAATGTACATGGCATCAGTGGTCACCCATTCTCTAGCCTTCTCTCAGAAGGACGGAGCTTGAGTCACATGACAAATTACAGAAACCAGAGCGGGGAGGATGGAAAGCAATATTCCAAGTGTAAGGGAACGCATGGGAGAATAATGGATCTAAAGGGCATTTTGAGACGAACTATTTTGCACTCACTTTATAAGTTAGTCAGCTGAGCCAGCGAGATTAACATGCTCCCAGCTCATGCACTGAGACATTCTGAGGTTTTCATCATAACCAATTAAAACGCTGCCTATCAAGCATGAGAAAAAGCTTTCGTATAATCAGTTTACAGTATTATCCAAAAATGATATACTATCAAGTTTTAGGAAAACCAGTTGAGAGAGTATATAATGGCCCTGGCTGGTTTGGCTCAGTAGGTAGAGCATTGGGCCTGTGGATTGAAGGATCCCAGGTTCAACTCCAGTCAAAGGTATGTGCTCTGGTTGTGGGCTCAACCCCCAGTGGGGGGGTGTGCAGAAAGCAGCCAATCAATGATTCTGTCATCATTGATGTTTCTACCTCTCTCCCCCTCTCCCTTCCTCTCTGAAATTAATAAAAATATATATTTTTTAAAATGCTGAATACTATGTAATCCTTCCGTGTGACTGGCCTTGCAAAGGGGATTAATACCATGTTTAAGTTCAGTGGGTCTTAAAACACCATTTACTGAAATATTTTTATATTCAATTGTTTTCAGAAGTCTCTTACCTTCCCTGAATCCAGCAGCTTCTGGAAGTCCTCCATTGAATTTGCCACCACCATATGAGTCTTAAGGTCTTCAGAAGCCCTACCAAAGAATAATGAGAAAAGAACACATCATTTCTCCTGATAATATGTTATTTTTAAACAAGCATAGCTTAATGAAGTAACAATAACCTGGAAGTGAGAACTCAATGTGAACCTCGAATTTGTCACTAGCAGTGACATTCAGTAAACCTCAGTGAACTCATCATTGTATGATTGTGAATTTGCCAAGCACACAACAGGTCATTTTTACTTTTGTTATTGTTGTTAAATCTCTATTGATCAACATTCTATTCCTGCTATACCACTGACTACCTGAGAGTCTGGGTTGTGGGTTTTTTTGTCTTAAAAAGAAGAAAATTTTGGGGGGGAGAAATGGGGGTGTTATTTTTTAAACCTCTCTGGTCTTACTTTTCTAAGTTTTTATAAAGCTGGAAAAATACTCAAGTAAGTCTAATTACCCATACAGGATTCTGAGAATCAAACACGAAGGCATAAAAATGTTTTGAAAAGGAAAAACTCATAAATATCCATTATTCAAGCTATTTCCATCCACTAGGTAATTCTTTTAGAAATGGAAATAAATGTTATTCTCTTCTGCATTGGAAGTCATGCATGACATGAGGAAAGGAAGGCGCCATCTTCCTTTCCCATCTTCTAGTGCCTCCGCATGAGACCTGCGATTCTAAGATCTCTTCCCATAGGTTAGGGCTGCCCTGAGTCCCGCCCCCCCCCCCCCCCCCCCAATCCCCATAGGCGGTTCTGAGCCTTGGCCACACATCAATCACTCAGGAGCTTTCACTGCTGTAGGTGCCAGCCCAGCTCTACACCAATTACGTTGACATCACATGGGAGGGGCCCAGGCTCTGGTAGTTTCTAAAGCCTCCCAGGGGCTGCTCATAAGTATCCACAGGTGAGAATCAATGTCTCACTTCCTCAGATTTATGTCATAAAAGCCTGGCCCATCCAGTCCACTGCTGCAAACGCGGTAGGGCACAGGAAGCACTTAGAAAAACGTTCATGATACAAGTTAAAACACAAAGAGAAAGGCGCATTTAGAAGGAGGACTTCCAGTCGGGACAAAGAATTCCTGGGACGGATCTACTAGGGCTGGAGGATGAGAGACGCGAGGCGCTCATTCTGAGGAACTGACTTTCTGAAGAGGTTGGCGTGGATGTCCTCCAAAAGAGCTTGAAGTTTAGTCTCGGCCTCATTTTCAGCAACCATGAGCTTCTCTCCAGTGTCCCGCCGGACGGCCACAAACTGACAGCTCTTCATATCACGTGGCCCGACTTCCAGTCTAATGGGAACTCCCTAGGAAACAAAAGAGGTGGCCAAGGTGACATGCGCATCTCCAACTGGACATGGGGGGGGCGGAGGGGAGAGACAACAGGTAGGCTTATAGTTGTGAGCTCACAAAACAGTTTATTCTTGTATGATTATTATTATTTATTAACCCTTTGTATGCCCTAAGAGTCTAAAGACGCAAGCAGAGGACTTTCCCCACACGCCACACACGCCTGTAGCTGCAAACCTCACACCTCAACACTGGTTGCCCAATTTTAAAACCACACTTGTTAGTGACATCTCTGGATTTGTGAAGAAAATTATGGTCACTTAGTAAATTCTAAGTATTCCAGCACATATGGAAGATATCCCAGTATTGTCCCGTTTTGGATGCGTGGCAGTTAACTGGTTAATTACAGTATTGTTTATTTGTATTACTACTGTAAATCTACTTTTGCTCACCCTTTATAGACCACTTTCATGGCTTTTACTGACATAAATAATAAAGAAACAGAACAAAGGCACACACAAACAGTAAGAAAAAGCAGGCAATATTCCTGAGCCATTACAAAAACCCACTCCAATAAGGCATAAAACTAAGAGAAAACTGTACTGCCTGAGGTTTATTAAAACAAAATAGAAATAAGCTTCCTCAAAATCGAGTTCAAATTTAGCAACTGTGCTGAACACGCAGTTTCAGTGAAGAACTCATAACGATCTAAACAGAGGAAGTCATGAGCCGAAGCCGGTTTGGCTCAGTGGTAGAGCGTCGGTCTGCGGACTGAAAGGTCCTAGGTTCGATTCCGGTCAGGGGCATGTACATTGGTTGCGGGCACATCCCCGGTAGGGGGTGTACAAAAGGCAGCTGGTCGATGTTTCTCTCTCATCGACGTTTCTAGCTCTCTATCTCTCTCCCTTCCTCTCTAAAAAAAATCAATAAAATATATTTAAAAAAAATAAATAAATAAATAAATAAATAAATAAACAGAGGAAGTCATGAGAAAGACTTACATTTTATAAACACACACGTAAATCCAATGGAAGAGATTACCTTGAGCTCCCAGTGGTTGAATTTCCAGCCCGGCGAATAGTTGTCTCGCAAATCAGCTCGAGCGCGAATGTTAACACTAAGTAGCCGCCTGCGATAATCATTGCATTTTGCGATCAGAGCATCTCTGTCTTCCTCAGAGAGCGCGTTCGTGATGCCGCAAGGAATGATCACCACCTGGAACCCAGCACAACAGCTTATGTTCACACAAAGACATAGCATTCAGACGTGAGTCTAAATCAGCGTTTTTCAACCGCTGTTCCGAGATGTTGCCTGGTGTGCCGTAGGTGCAGACAAGACAAGAATTTTATAATTTTTCACTATTTTGTTTACTTAATATTTCATAATAAAGTAATTATAAAATACTTTCTTTGTGTTTATTTGATTCCTATTCAAGAGAATTACTTTATATATAGTCAATATAGGCACAGAGTTAAATTTTTTAACATTTTCTAATGGTGGTGTGCCTCGTGATTTTTTTCATGAAACAAGTGTGCCTTTGCCCAAAAAAGGTTGAAAAACACTGGTCTAAATCTCGACACAAATCTGCACAGGGTCGGGGTGGGGGGAAGGAAGAGGAGGGGGGACAAAGGTAGGCTTACAGTTGTGAGTTCACGAAACAGTTTATTCCTGATTACCCCTTATTAATTATAGCACTGTTTATTTGTATTACAACTCTAAACCTACTTTTGCCCAGCTTATGTAGACTCATTTCATGGCTTTATTGACAATCCTATATGATTAAAGCATAATATGCTAAATGTCCAGTTGTCCAGTCGGCTATTCAACCAATCAAAGTGTATAATATGCTAATAATATACTAAGGTTGCTCAACGATTTGCTATGACATGCAATGACCATCAGGGCGCAGACGCCCTAATCTTAGCTTGCTGTTGGGGTCCAGCCGATCGGGACTGAGCAAGATGGGCTGGAGACACCCTGGAGCCCTCCCATGGTCCCTCCCCAGCTAGCCAACCTGCATCCTTCTCCAGCCCCCATCATGCATCGGTGGGCCCCTGGGCCTGGCCTGAGTCCTCTCACAGTCCGGGACACCTCGAGGGATGTCAGAGAGCCAGTTTTGGCCTGACAGTGGAATGACTGGCCACTATGATGTGCACTGACCACAAGGGGGCGGGAGCTGTCCCCTGGTGGTCAGTGTGCTCCCACAAGGGGAGCACTGCTGAGCCAGAAGCTGAGCTCACGGCTGGCAAATTTCATGCACTGGGCCTCTAGTAAGTAATAAAAAATAAAAAAAACCAAAGACATACACAAACAATAAATTGCTGGTATGATTTCTAACCTATATAAAATGTGTACCATGGGTTATCTGTGCTAAATAAATCATTTTAAAAAATGATTTCTAAAGAGGTTTTATATAAAGCAGCTAAAAATTAAGAGTAAAAAACAAGAACACAAATGATATATATATATTATAGTTACACAACTGAAGTCTAGACTGAATTCTATGTTCTCTATTGTCAAAATCTACCCAGATGATATTCGGAAAATTGCCCTTTCGAGTTTGTTAATAAATATGACCTGTATTTTAAGCGCTAACAGAAATACCTTCTTACCTGAACGCAGGCTACACGGGGAGGTAACACTAAGCCCATGTTGTCCCCGTGAACCATGGTCATGACGCCAATGGTCCGCGTGGTCAGGCCCCAGGAGTTCTGATAGGCAAACTGCTTCTCTCCTGGGGTCTTGGGGTCTTCAAAAACGATTTCAAACATTTTGGAAAAATTCTGCCCTAGATGATGTGATGTCGCTCCCTGAAATAAAGAAAAATAGGAGCTTTAATTGTAATAACCTATTATGCCTGCAAAAATGGTTATAAAATCACTTGCCTTGAAATGACCTGTTTAGTCTTCCTTGATTTATTTATATAACATTTTTAAAGTGTAGCTGATACACCAGAGAGAGTAGGTTTTGTGTTGTTGTTTTTTAATATATTTTATTGATTTTTTTTTTACAGAGAGGAAGAGGGATAGAGAGTTAGAAACATCGATCAGCTGCCCCCTGCACACCCCCTACCGGGGATGTGCCCACAACCAAGGTACATGCCCTTGACCGGAATCGAACCTGGGACCTTTCAGTCCACAGGCCAACGCTCTATCCACTGAGCCAAACCAGTTTTGGCCAGAGAGAGTAGGTTTAATCAAAAAGTGCTGAAGAAGAGTGCTGCTCTGGGCAATCCCTTTCAGTTAAGAAAGGTTAAATGGGATTCCACACTTTGGCAATTCAGAACGCAGGCCTTGACTTAATAACTGACCTTGGAGACTTAGAGAAATAGGGCAGACAGGCCTGTGATGAGCATGTGGGCTGGGTGCTCATGAAGCACTGAGTTTTCAAAAGTGCCTACGGCCCTGAGGACAGAGAAAGGCGCTGGCTCTGCCCACAGGCTGCACTGACTCCAGTCGCCCTGGAACCCGGGGCGGCAGCCGGTACCTGGATGGCTCTCCCGCTGGCAGAGATAAAGGCCTCCACGGTGGTGGTATAGTCTCCTCCCGCAAACTTCTCCTTTTCCGTTTTTCTTCCTTTTACAACAGGAATTGCCAGGAGTTCCTCATATACCTGAGCATATAAGTCAAGTATCTGCAAGACCTGTAACAACATTTTAAATGCAGAAGTGTTCACATCTCTGGTATACTTATGTATGACAAACCTATAAGCATGTGCTATTTAAAACTAACTGTGGTGGGAAAAGCATTTCAAACAATAAAAACCTTCTTTTGTGGAAAAGTTAAAGCAGTCTGGGAATTTATTAAGGAAGACATTTCAACAAAGCAGTGTAAAAAGAAGTTAGTTACTTTTAAAAATGCTTTTGAAAGATGCACAGTAACTAGGATGAAAGTCTCCTGAAGAAAAATCAATTTATCCACAGGATTATAATTTCTGCTACATCCTGAAGTCCAAAAAGACTTCCATCTGAAAAGTTATAATAGCATTTCCTAAAAAGATTTCAATAAGCAGTTTCTTAAATTCCATGCATATTTGCATTCAATAGTTTTTTCTCTTAACATTAAGGTGATACAATCATAACAAAATAATTTATACCAAGAGATCCTTTTAATGCTATTTGGATCCGATCAGTCTCAGCTTAGAGCGATATACTGAATGGTCACTGTCACAGACATCCTGCAGTGCTCACGGCTGGAAAAGGCAGCACAGAGCGGACAAAGCAAAGGACACACACACAGAACTGAGCAAGGACGACCCTGCTTCCTACCTCCACCGCCGCTTCCTCAAACGTGGCAAAGGCGCTGTGCCCTTCCTGCCAGAGGAACTCCCGGGTCCGCAGGAACGGCTGCGGATGCTTGAACTCCCAGCGCTGCGAAGGCAGGAGGACAGTGCGGTCGTTAGAGAGCGCTTTGCTGTTTTCATTAGCAATTTGTGTGTAAGCAATCAGAGGTCATAATGTGATCCAAGGACTTCAGAAAGCTTCCATGCTCCCAAGCCTTTGAATATTCACGTAAGGAAAGACCAATGAGTAGGCAGGACATTGGGAGCAGAGGGGAAGGTGTGCACCTACCACCACGTTGCACCACTGGTTGAGCCTGATGGGCAGGTCTCGGTGTGACTGCACCCACTTTGCGTACGCAGGATACATGACTGAAAGACATGGGAAACAGGCAGCTTAGTCACTGAGAGTTTTCTTTCACCCCAAGGGCTGCTAAGAGCTAAACTGCAACATAATTAACAGGAATGAGAGCATCATGTTTGTGTAAATGTGTTTCCAACGTCTGTAATGGTCAGTGAATGGTATTATTATGTATTTCATAAAGCGGGTTAATCAAGAACATTACCTAAACATGACCATATTTTGTGTTCTTAGCAATGAGATTTACATTTAACATTTAATTTGCTTTTCTGCCATTTAAAAAAAACAACACTTAAGGTATATAGTATATACCATGTGCAATCATTATCCTGTTCAACTGAATGTTCAATCCAGGAAGTTGCTATCACAACCTCAATACTAAAGACGTGGAAACTGAGGTTGAAGATGTTGAAGAGCTTGCTAAGTCAGCAGTTACGGGAGAACCAGAATTTTGGGTGAATCTGGGTTTGATGCATCTAGCTGGAGTGTGAAAGCTCTCGCCTTAACTACTAATTTGAGTGAGGCGCCTGTCTTATCATGGCCTATTCAGGACTGCCTATAGTTTGTCACACACACACACACACACACACACACACACACACACACACACACAAATAAAAAACCTGGCCAATATAGTATGTGAAAAACAGCTGGTGTCATAATTTCAATAATGCATCATTACATCATTACAATATCACCCAAGAGCTTCACCAGAAGTCTCCAATAGCCAATCACCATGAACTACAGATGGATAATCTCAGTGGAAGACACTGACAAGCCCAAAGGCTCAAACTTCACGGCTATGTGTACTTCTAGGAAAGTCACCTAACCTTTCAGACCTGTTTACCTACCACCTGGAGATAACAGCAGCTGCCTCATCCTTCCTCACTACTCATTGTAAGAGTAATACAAGACAGAAATATAACAATTAGGAACCTATAGAAACCCTTCATGAATGTGAATGTCATACTAAAGTAACAAAATTTGAAAATATGACATTAAACATTTGTGTTGGCAATTTTATAGTTAATTTAAAGAATAAAAATTATCCTAGGAATACAATTCCTTGGAAAGTTCTGAAAAATTATAGCATAAAAATAAAATAATAAAACTGTGGTGTTTTTTTTGTTTTTTTTTTAAATATTTTTATTGACTTCAGAGAGAGAAAAACATGATGAGAGAGGATCATTGATTGCTGCCTTCTGCATGCCCTTACTGGGAAATCGAGCCCGCAACCTAGGCATGTGCCCTTGACCAGAATTGAACCCGGGACCTTTAGTCCGCAGGCCAACGCTCTATTCACTGAGCTAAACTAGCTAAGGCCAGTGGCGTGTTTAAAAAAAACAAACAAAAAACCTTTATCCTAATGCTGAAGAGTTCTGTGATGAATACTGTACAGAAATAAAATTCTGTAACTCAGTTCGCATTCATTCATGTTGGCATACACATTCATTAAACTTTACCTGTTGGCAACAAGGATTATGAATGGCACAGAACGAAGGGGAGACCCACTCTACACACTGTCTCTAACACTTCAATGCACTTCCTCCTGCACCAAGGCCACTCCTCACCTGTTTCACTGGTAGGACGAACGGCAATGGGTTCTGCCAGCTCTGTTTTGCCAGATCTTGTAACCCAAGCAACCTAGTAAGAGAAATCATTGTTCATACATTCTACAGCAGTACGTAGAGAAGCAGCACTAAAGCATCCATCTTGTACGAAAACTGCTGTTTGAAATTTTAACCCTGCTATTTGGCTTCTGTGGATTTAACCTTCCCCAGACAAGGTCATCAGTGCTGGCGCCAAGCCAGGCCTCTGGTTGGGGTCACAAGGCCCCAGAACACACTGGCTCTTTAAGAACTTGCAAAAGGGGGCACTCCATATTTGGGAGACAAAGAAGGTAAAATCAAATAAACAGGGAGAATTCCTGCATGTAGGCGCCCAGAATTTGAGATGCATTTTCCTCTGGACCCGCGAGTAATAAATGTAACTCCATCTCTCTAAGTATTGCTCTGTTCTTCTAAGGTTTTCTGCAATTACACAAATGCTGGCCAGTTAATTACTTAATGTAATAAACAGAATCAGATATAACTTGCCCTAAAGGCAGAAACATAATTGCTTAAAAGTGGCTTTCAATTAAAAAAAATTTTCTCTAAGTTGGCTATTATAATTTGCCTTTTAAATTACTATTCAAGTGTGAACTGAAAATACACTTTTGAGTTTATAGAGAAAACACGGCAAAAATCAATCCAGCGCACCCACCTCGGGGGCAAAGTCGGCCACGTGTGTCTTCTCCGTCTCCAGGGCACTCTGAGACACGAACATGGGGAAGTAGCAGTTCTCCACGCCCAGCTTCTTGATCTCGGCGTCGAAGAAGTCCTTGATGGACTCCCAAATGGAAAAGGCCCAGGGACGGAGGATGTAGCAGCCACTCACATCGTAGTATTCAATCATTTCTGACTTGGTGATGACCTTTGTAAAGAAAAATGCAGTCTGTGAGGCCGAAACGGAACCAAAATCACAGTACAGGTGCTGAGAGCACAATAGCCACGCTTCCCCCGGAGGCTGCCAGTGCTGGTACATCCTTTTCACATGCAGGTAAACAGACCTTTCCATCCTCAGAAACACGGGGCCCTAGACCCGTCAGAAGACTTGAATTCTAATCTTGCTCTTGCTTTTCCTATCTTTGTGGCTTTGGACTATACCGTCACCTCAACATACAAAAATAAAAATAATGACTACTTCATAGGGCTACTTCGTGATGCCACACTTATGTGAAGATGCTTTGAAAACTGTGACATGCTAGATTTCTATATTATGTATTATTAAAGGCATTATACTTCATTATTGTGTGTCTGGACTTCAGAACCGAAATATAAAGTTGCCTTTTGAGAAATTTAATACATAAAAATCAAGTAAATGCATACTCACCTGAGAATACCAATCTGCAAGATTTTCTTCTTTTTTTGCCTCAAGACCCAACCTGCAGATGCAAACAGTGAAATATAAATTTTTTCATTCAGCAATTGCTTCTGGGTTGAACGGAACGAACCCTCTAAAAGTCAAAATATTCATTTTTCTTTAGTATAAGTCATTTCTGTATTGATATCTCTTCTATATTCATTCTATTCTAGACAATAATCCTTTTCTTGAAACACGAACAATTATTCAGGAACCGTCTTATGATGGACACAGAAAAATCTGCCCATGAGTTATTTTATAAAAAAAGTACATCATTTTAGAGTTTGTAAACAAGGCTTTCTTGGCTTAAAATCTTAGTGTATTTATACTTGAATTCTCCATTTGAAACATTTCCAAAAAATGCCTATCTTAAACCTGCCCCTTCACAAATAGTCTTAAGGTAAAAGATGGAAATGCTAGCCTTCCTTCCACTATTCTGTGCATCTGATCACCCCGTCAATAGGCAAGAAAAGCAACTGCTGTGTCCTGTTGTCTAAGAGACTGTTTGATGTGAGCATGAGAGGCAGAACTTAAACTTCAGCTGAACAATCTAAAACACAGTCTCTCTGGACAGAAGCTGTTAGTAACAGTCCTTCCTCTTACTAAGCCGCTCAAGGAACCAAGCACGAGGTTCACTCTATGTTTGGGAAGATGGAAAACAAGCGTAGGATGGAGACTTCACTGAACTTGAACCAAGCAAGTGAATGTGTTGCCCATTTAAGTAAATAAACAGAAACTTAACAAAAGCTACCTGCTGACACTACACCTTTAGCATTCTCTGACTTAGTCAAACTAACCACAAGTAAACCCCTTTAATGTAAGAGTCGAATGCATTGCAAACGCTGCTTCCCAGAAGGGAGCTCCCGAGGTGGTTACCTGGTCTGCTTCCGGGGGCCCTGCCCTTCGCCGGCTCCGCTGGGTGGCAGCCCAGCACCACCGCCCTGGCCTTTGGAGGGTTCTTTCTTTGAGCCATCGTTTTGCTTTTGAGGCTTATTCTGCTTTTCGGATTTATTCTCCTTTTCTTTCTTTTTCTTGTCTTTGTCCTCGGCCCCGGTGGCAGCGACGGGCTTGTACTCCACACCGGTCAGAGACTTGTACTGCGCCTTCCGCTGCAGGAGCTCCTGCACGGCCGCGTCCACCTGGTCCTTCAGTTCAGCAAGAGAACAGGATCTGTTAACTCAAAGCCCTGCCCGGAGCTTTAGAAGCAGAGCTGAGGACACCAGTAAAGGCAGAGGGGGGTGTGGTATTGTATGTACTAACTTCTGAAAATAAGTGAATGTGAGGAAGAGGGAGAGGGCCGAGCAAGAAGAGTGACTTAGAAATCGTGCTCTAACTGCACCGTCCAAATAGTCGTCATTAGCCCCCTTGGCTAGTTACCTCTAAATTGAACTTAAGTAAATCAATTAACAATCCGGCTCCTCAGTCACAGTGGCCACACTGGCTGTAGGGGACAGAGCTGGCACGGAGCATGCCTCTGAGAAGGCACTGGTGCAGAGCACATGGCCCACCGCAGCTTAAGAGCCACCCAATCACACAGGTGCACATTACCAAGAAGACAGCAGTCAAGTTGCTACGTTACTGATCAAATTTCAAAACCTGTAATGTTGTCTGTCTTCCACTCAAATGAATGTGTACCAAAAAGTCCTATTTGTAGAAAGGTAATACAATCAGCACAAAACCACACCATGGCTCAAAATAAAACTTTCATTCTAGACCAACCATGTCAAACTCAATGGTTAATATGGGCCAAATAAAAGAGGCATGTGGCCCTCGGGCCATGAGTTTGACATCTTGTTCTAGAGTGAAGATCTTTAGGAGATTGAGTCCAACAGAGAGCACGGACTATGTCAGGGCCTACATGTGCCAGGCACTGCTGGGGTCTAGGTCCCTATTCTCCATTCTGACAGACCAGAGAGAAACAGACAATTTAACAATTAAAGTAACGGGCAGTTAAGTATTATGTCAGAGAAAGGCAGTGTCCTAGGAGACTGTCTAGTCAGATCCAGTTGGGGGAGAAAGGACCACTGAAGGCTTCTCTAGCAGACAAGACAAAGAGCTGGAAACGGAAACATGAGAAGTTAGCCAGATCCCATGGGGCAGGAAGTGTTCCAGGCAAAGAAAATAGCGGGTAACGTGGAAAACAAACACACACAGAATAGCACACTCACCTTAGAGGCTTTCTCAGCTTTAAGCTTGCGAACGACTTCCCCTTGAGAAGCTACTTGATCAAAAAGCACTTTGGCTTCCGCTGTTTCTGGACCACAAGGCTCAGAGCTCCTGGCTGGACTTGAACCTGAGCCGTGAGGTAACTGGGGCTGGCCAGGCACGTAGTCCTGCCCGGTCTTTTCTTTATACTGAGCTTTCAGCGAAAGCAAGCACTCCACAGCTTCATTGACTTTAGCCTGCGGTCAAGGAGAAAGAGATAAACATTCAGTACTGTAACTTTCCTTCTTCCTTATCTAAACAAATAAATGGCAGGACAGCCAATCAAACTGCCAGCGACCCAGCCCTGGGTAAGGAGAGGAGTCAGAATTTATAAAATCGAAGCACAAACCACCCCAATGGCTTGGCCAATATAAACCTTTTTTCCATTTTAAATAGGCAGTAAATACACTATAAAAAATACACAATCTGGGTCCAACTGAAGAACACTGAGTTTTTAAAAGAGCCTACTGCCTTTTAAGAACAATTACATCACTCGCTCTGATACTTCAACATAGTCATCATGAAAAAGAATAAAACAGCCCAAGCAGGGAAGGCCAGCATGCAGGCCAAGGCCTCAAGCTTTACCTAATGACCGTACTGTCCAACCACAAACCAACATGCCACTGGGAAGCCATGGTGGAGAAAAAGCACCTCCAACTCACCCTACCCAAGTCTTACTGCCAATTTTACCAGAGCGGAGAGCCACCCATCGGAAGCCAGGAAACTCATGTGGGGCCAAGGAGGAAGGAAGCATGGGTATGTCTTCCAAGAAAGGGCCTCCAGGGGCCAGCAGCTACTTTATGAGACAGTGTCCAGCGGCCTACAGACCTGGCGCCTGTCACAGCAACACAACGGAGCGAGCACAGGGAAAGGAAAAGGGGATTACACACAGAGAATGGGGAGGCTGTCTGACTGATACTCCCGACCTGTCTCTCATTTACATGACTTTAGAATCCAGGGTATGTTCACAGCAAAGCCTACCTGGTTCTAAGAAAAAGGAGATAGTTCATCAGACATACAAGACTCAAGAACAACAGAAACTTCCATCCGTTAAAAGAAAGGAAATGGGGAAAGCGAAGGGGCTTTCCTGCAATCCCGTCCACAGACAGAGGCCTGTTTGGAGGAAGTTCCACTCCTGCAAGGTAAGGATTCACTGAATTTAGAGTCAGAAGGCGCACTTTTCACACTGGGATACACCACCACAGAACCACACCTTTGTGTGGCAAGACTATATCTTGAAATGTTATAAAGGAGAAAATTAAGACGGCCAAAAGACTTCATTACGACTAAGACAATCCAGTAACAGAGTAAAAGGAGAATGAAATTCTATTCTAACACTAGAGGATGTCCCCCCACAGAGAGGCATAGCGAACCGCTAGGCCCGGCGCTAGGAACTGTTTCCTCCTTCCCTGCATGTCTCAGCCATGGAGACATCCTGGTCACACGGCACAGGACTGTGCCAGCCTGCGTCTCCCCCAGCCCTCCCCCTGCCACCAGGTGATGGCCAACTGCAGCTTGTTAATGTTTCCAGGGCTTGGCAGCCGGCAGGTGTCAGTAAATGTTGACCGTGATGAGGAAATGTCCAAGCAGACGGCCTACAAACAGCACGTCCCACAGGAAGCCGAGTCTGCGCTAGCAGCTGGAGGTCACGGCCCCCTCCCAGGGCTGCTGGGCTCCCCCGACCCCCAGCACTGACCTTCGGGGCTTTCTCCGCTTTCAGCTTGCGCACCACCTCCCCCTGGGCAGCCACCTCGTTGTACAGAGATCTGCCTCCTGGGGAGCCGGTGGAGGATGGAGAGGAAGAGGCCGCGGGAGGGCTTCCGGGCTTGTATTCCTGGCCTGTCTTCTCCTTGTATTGGGCCTTCAGAGCCAGAAGCTGTTTGACAGCTGCATCGACCTCTTCCTTCGCTGCTTTCTTGGCTTTCAGTTCCCGAACCATGTCCCCTTGGGCAGCCACCGTGTTGTAAAGGACCGAGGGGTCCTCAGAGGCAGCACTGGCATTGGTCAAAGGGGGCGCTGGTCTGTCCTTCGCAGGAGTGACCGTCTACGGAGGCAGAAGACCAAAAGCATGATAATGAATTCATGGTAAATGTCTCCCCCCAATTAAATCAAACTGATTTCGTTTCAAGTTAAAACTTTACAATCAGAGACCAGTTTTTAATCGGTGTAAACGAAAGCTCAAGTCATGACATCCCCATTGCAAATAGCTTCAAACTCTTATCTCCTAAAGAACTTGCGCGCTCCTGCCGTCCCTAGCTCAGATATTTTAGCCCTTACTTACCTAGTCACCAAAACAAAACTAGAAGTTACTGTCTTAACAATTCTACTCCCAGGATCTATGTCCTACACTCTATCCTCCATACTCTCATCCTCTAACCTAGGGGTGTCGAACTCAATCAGAGAAGGGGCCAAAATCTAAAATCCAGCCTAAATCGCGGGCCGAATGGTTTACTGAACAGTCATAAACTGTCATTGTGATGGAAACGCAGTGGAGTGCAGTGATGACAGCGCGGTGCGGGCCACATTGCAAGGCCTGGCGGGACGGATTTGGCCCGCGGGCCTTGTGTTTGACACATGTGCTAACCACTTATAACACCTTCTAGTCCTATATCCCACCCACCTTCCAAAGTGTCTTCCCCACTGAGATGCTAACTCTTCAGTGACTACCCAACTGCCACATCCAAACTATGCATCAGGTGCTCCAGGTGCCGTGGACACTGTAAGTGTCTCAGGCAGACAGAGCGATATGCCCACATCTGTGTGAACTACAAGCTCAAGGTGTTTCAGCTGTAACAATCGAGCATGCTACATTCTTTCAATGACGTCATATCTTGGCAAAGCTGGATTTTTCACAGCTGCTATGTCAAAAATCAAAGGCCAGGAAAAATCACTGTGGAACAGGAAATGGTAGTGTCCAATCTGAGTCCAAGGTTGAAGGAAGAATAAAAGTACTTCTTTCATTTTGTATATCACTTTAAAAGTGAAATTAAGCCCTGCCGGTGTGGCTCAGTGGCTGAGTGTTGACCTGTAAGGTCACTGGTTCGATTCCCAGTCAGGGCACATGCCCAGGTTGCAGGCTTGATCCCCAATAGGGGGTGTGCATAAGGCAGCCCACTGATGTTTCTTTTTTTAAAATATATTTTATTGATATTTCACAGAGAGGAGGAAGAGAGAGAGAGAGAGAGAGAGCGAGCTAGAAACGTTGATGAGAGAGAAACATCGACCAGCTGCCTCTTGCACACCCCCTACCGGGGATGTGCCCGCAACCTAGGTACATGCCCCTGACCAGAATCGAACCAGGGACCCCTCAGTCCGCAGACCGATGCTCTACCACTGAGCCAAACCGGTTTCGGCCCACTGATGTTTCTATCTCTCCATCCTCTTACCTTCCTCTGTCTCTAAAACCAATAAAAACATTTAAAAAATAAAATAAGCAAAAGGTAGAACACATAACCAAGGTGAAATAAAAATATTAAACATTTAAGAACAAAGTTTTAAAATGTTTTTCTTTTTTTTCAACTTACATGTATTATTTTTCCAAGTGACTACCAAGTTATTGGGATATATAATATGTATGTAGTTGTTTGCGCTTAACAACTTACTAGAGACAGTATTTACCTCATTTTTCACTGTTTCCACCTTGGTCTTCTCCTTGGACCCAGAAGTTGGCATTTCCTTGGTGTGGCCGTCAGGGATGTATATTAACACACAGGGTGCTTCTCTGCAGCTATGTGGGCTGAGAGAACAGGAAGGGCCGGAAAAAGTGCATTTGAACCGAATTCTCTCAACAGCAATTAAAACTGAATTCCTAGATTGAGTCGATGGCACTGTGTTCATGCTCTTCAATATAAATAGTCCATTTTCCTATTCAAATCAAAGGTTCTTCAGAGTAGTTTAAAAATAACTACATTAATAAAAATCAGCCGAAACCGGTTTGGCTCAGTGGTAGAGCGTCGGTCTGCGGACTGAAAGGTCTCAGGTTCGAATCCGGTCAAAGGCATGTACCTGAGTTGCGGGCACATCCCCAGTAGGGGGTGTACAAGAGGCAGCTGGTCGATGTTTCTCTCTCATCGACGTTTCTAGCTCTCTATCTCTCTCCCTTCCTCTCTGTAAAAAATCAATAAAATATATATATATATTAAAAAAAAAAATAAAAAAAAAAATAAATAAATAAAAATCAACCGTGCTAATTATAAACTTCCAATTTATAAACGTTCATAAATGGGAGCATGCTAAGCCCAGGACAAAAGTGCATCTACTGCAAATGGCACCAGAAAGGGCTGAGGGAATGCTAAGGGTCTCCCTCTTGACATAAAAGGTAATTCATCTACATAATTGGCTTAGAAGCAGAAACATTCCTGCAAAGTATTTATTTTATGAAAATTTCTCAATTCTAAAGGGTAATTAGCAAACTCCACTGCCCTGAGACTATTTGCAAGCAAAGAATTTCTTCAAATTTTGTAGTACATGCCAAAGTAAAACTAGAGAAAGAATGCAGTAACAATAGGATCTGTGCATCTCTTCAATATTCATTAGTAACAGCTTTACTGAGATACAATCTACACAACAAAAAATTCATCCTTTGCCCTAGATGGAAGCTCAGTTGATTGGGATATTGTCCCACATACCAAAAGGCAGCGGGTTCGATTCCTGGGCAGGGCACATATGCAGGCTGTGGGTTCAATTCCCAGTAGGGGTATGTGCTAGAGGCAATCGATCCATGTTTCTCTCTCTCACATCTGTTTCTCTCTCTCTCTTCCTCTAAAATCAATAAAATAAAAATGTACTCTTTAAAAATCCACTAGATTTGAAGTGTGCAACCATCACCACTATCCAATTTTAGAACATGCCTCTCACTCTCCAAAGAGAAACTAAACCCTTTGTCTACCACTCCCATTCCTAGACCCTGACAACAACCAATGTGCAGTTTGTTTTTTTAGTATTTTTTATGTGCATATTTTCTAGGGATTTGTCTATTCTAGACACCTCACATAAATATGGTCTCTTTTGATCAGTTTCTTTTACTTAGCATAAGTTCACAAGGGTCATGAAAATTTTAGCATAAGTCAATACCCATTTCCTTCTTTTTTATGGCTACATAATAATTCTCTTGCACAAACCAACGACCTTCTGCTTATCCATTCATCAGCTGATGAACATTTGGGTTGTTTGCACCTTCTGGATATTATGAATAATGCTGCTATGAGTATAAGTTTCTGTGTGAACACGTTATTTTTCTTAAGTATATACTTGGGAGTAGAATCGCTGGGTAAAAAAGTAAGTCTCAACTAATGATGCTTAGCAGCTTGTGTGTGCATACAGGTCATTTGTGTATCTGCTCTGGAGAATTTTTTTCTTTATACTTGGAATACATGAAATTGAATAATAAGATGGTTTCCTTTTAAAAATGAATTTGTGAATATTATGCTGTTTCAAATATATCACTAATTAAATCTGAAATAGTAAATACAGAAGAACAACAAATTGAATAGAGAATTACCAGGTACAACATTTTTGTTTAGTACAATTTTTAAAGTATGATTTACGATAAGAACGTTAAGCCTTTTCATTTAGTTGTTCAGCTACATTTGTCTACCTCACGGGTTCATAAGGCTGGTCACATATGAAGAACCCTCTTCTCTGGAGCTGGATAATGTCCCCTTTTTTCAAATCCTTAAGGCAGGGGTCCCCAAGCATCAGCTCTTCGTGCTATAAAGATGATATAAGATGAAAAGACACTTTCTCAAAATCAGAGCACTAAATGCAACAGTTTTTCCAAGAGCTGGGATATTCCTATTTTACACAGATGTTAAAAACTTCACTACTTAAGCATACACAACAGAACAGAGAAGTATTAAAGTAAATAACAATTACATTTATTGTCATTTTTGAAGTTAACATTTATAAACAGACTGGCTTCAGAAAACCTTTGCACTAACTCGCTTGGTGGTCCCTGCAGGTATAAAAAAGTTTCCCACCATAAATATGAACGAAAAAGCACTTAAGGAGCAGGGCTCTGGAGCCAGGAGGCCTAGGTTTGAACCCCAGCTCTACCACTTACCGTCTGCCTCAAGCAAGTCGCTTAACCGCACCGCGCCTTACTACCGTCTGTAAAATGGGATCATTACTCTTTCACATCTTCTCATTTTAATAAAATTCTACAGATCTCTCCCACTGTATTTGAGGAACCAAATATTTAAAACTAATTCTAAACATTCCAAAAAGAAGCTTACGGAGCAGGGAAAGATGAAGCACGGTTTCTTTTAGCTACCTTACTGTTCTTGTTTACATATTGCTTGAAGTCCTCATCTTTCCCCAGCACCGGCTTCGTGATCAAGTGCTCGTACGTGACACAGACAGCTGGGATGGGAAGAGCGTGCGCCGTCTCTGCAAGCCAGGTGATCTTAGTGGTTTTCTTGTAGTCTTTGTTCTCCAAGTTCAATTTGGCATCAAGAGATACAATTTTTCCATCTGCGTTTCTAGGCATAAGATTCAAAGTGTTTTTTTTTAAACATAAAGCTCTAACTGCTGTAACAGAATTTTCTTGGTAAAAATTTCAAACCAGACACTTAGTTGAGCTTTTCCTATGTGGCAGGTATATAACTCGTTATAAATAAAAGATAATCCCTGCTATCAAGATACTAAGGATCCACTGGACAACAGACCCACATACATCTGGTGAAGACCATGAACATGTTTACAAATTTTAAAATCAGCCATCCTAGCATTTAAAAAATTCTAAAATAATATATTTTAAAACATTTAGCAATTACTTAAAGCCATATGCAATGAGTGGGCAATTAAGATGTCAGAGTATTCATAAATCAATCTTCGCATATTTTGTTCCGTTTATGAAATTCTTAAAATTTTAAGAATAGCACACTATAACCACTGTAAAGCTCAGATTCATCATTAAATAATTCATCTTAAAGCTGATTTCTGTATAAAGAATATGTTAAACTCTGTCCAAAGAGTCCTTCCACCAGGTAACTAAAAAATGAGAATCAAATGATCTACAGGGACTCTAAAACATTAAAACTATTCTTATATCTAGATGAAATAAATTTCAGCATCATGAGCAAAAGCTATCCTGATACTCTTAGTAAACTGGAACATGTATGGAAAAAACAGTACCAAGAATTTGCAGTACTTATGCCTCGGTATATTTACCACTCAGCCAGATAAACATATCTGAACCAAGTAATTTTTTTTAAAAAATATATTTTATTGATTTTGTACAGAGAGGAAGGGAGAGAGATAGAGAGTTAGAAACATCGATGAGAGAGTCATCGATCAGTTGCCTCTTGCACACCCCCTACTGGGGATATGCCCGCAACCAAGGTACATGCCCTTGACCGGAATCGCACCCGGGTCCCTTCAGTCCCCAAGCCGACGCTCTATCCATTGAGCTAAACCGGTCCCGGCTGAACCAAGTAATTTTTAATAAGTGAATAAACACAGCACACTCTTATTCCATATTTACTTGAAAACAAACAGAAGTTCTTACTTGTGTATTTTGGTAATGTTGATGTTGCCCCAGTTTATAAATGTCACCATCTCCCCCTCTGAAAATGTCTCTGCATCGGCACCTTCGATAAAAACTCTGGGGCTGTACCACACGGGCTTCAAACCCACATCAGGATTCTGATAAATAAGGAAAGTGTTGGTTAAAACGACAGTTGAACCGCGTGGAAATGTACATATTCTTCCATTTTATTCTTTTTTTTTAAATATATCTTATTGATTTTTTACAGAGAGGAAGGGAGAGGGATAGAGAGTCAGAAACATCGATGAGAAACATTGACCAGCTGCCTCCAGCACACCCCCTACTGGGAATGTGCCCGCAACCCATGCCCTTGACCAGAATCGAACCTGGGACTCTTCAGTCCGCAGGCCGATGCTCTATCCACTGAGCCAAACCAGTTTCAACACGCTGGATCCTTTTTGCATTCTTTATATCACTACAAATTCCAGATCAGCGGATGATTTTAAAAGTAAAGAATGGAACTCTTAAAGTATGGGAGTAAAACGGGTGGCATGTTTTTCCAAAGCACATTCTCTCCTTTATTTACTCTCCTGCCCCTTTTCTTGGACAGGGCGGCACTGAGCGGGCAGGCTGACCTTGGGGTGCTTGGCCACTTCTTTCATCTCCTCCCGAGCGTCAGGGACGTGCACGGGGATCACCTCTTTCTTCAGTAACGCGACGTAGCGTGGCGCCACTGGGTCAATGACCTGCAACAAATGTGCCCTCGTGTGAGAACATGCAGATATTTCTTCACGTTTCGTCAGCAGCACAGGAATACTAACTGGCTTCCTTTGTTACTGCATTTACTAATTTCTTCATTCGTCAACTCACTCTAGCATTTTGACTGTGAAGTAGAAAAGAGAGGAACAAGCGTACATAAAGACCATAGGAAGGACTGAGACCGCCTTTCCAAGAACGAGGACTGACAGGTGGAAAGAAACCAACTGCTTAAAGCATAATAATACTCTGAAAAGTAATTTTTTTATTTTTATTAATTTTAAATTATTTTTAGAGGGAGAGAAACATCAATCCACTGCCTCCTGCACGCCCCCTACTGGGGATCGATCCAGCATCCTGGACATGTGCCCTGACTTGGAATCACACCCGAAACCTTTCTTTGCGCAGGAGAAAGCCCAACCAACTGAGCCACACCAGCCAGGGAGAAAAATAATTTTAAAAAATAAATGAATAAGCCGAAAGAAAAATACTTTATTGATTTTTTAAAGAGAGGAAGTGAGAGGGATAGAAAGTTAGAAACATCCATGAAAGAGGAACATCGATCAGCTGCCTTCTGATCAGCTGCTTCTGCACACCCCCTACTGGGGATGTGCCCGCAACCAAGGTACATTCCCTTGACCGGAATCGAACCTGGGACCCTTGAGTCCACAGGCCGACACTCTATCCACTGAGCCAAACCGGTTAGGGCAGAAAATAATTTTTAACTCTGCAATTAGAAGAAAAGATTATCCTGCAGGATTATATATTAATCCTACAGGTAGATACGATCTTCAATTCTGTATTGTTGGAAAAGTCCATTTTGAAGGAATATCAATATGTGTTTAAGTATAATTTTCTATAATCCGGTTTAGGTAATGCATCACCATCAAAAGCAGAATAGCATTAGGTCACTATAATAAGGCAATTCTGTAGGTTAAAAATATTTAAAATATATATATATATATATATTTCTACGTATCTGCATGCTCTATATACAGGGACCACTGTATTCCCAGTCCTAGCAAGGGCCTGGCTCATTCAGGGAATCAATAAGTATTTGCAGGTTAACTGAATGACTTGTCCTCATCACCGTGTTCTAACCTACTCTACCTCCAGCACAGCGGGAGCATGGCCTTAGGGTCCGAGGTCCTTTTCTCACTTCACTGCTCACGTGAGAATTTTCCATGATGACCAATCACAAGAGCCGTGTTTAAAACACTAAAGCACATGTGTCAAACACAAGGCCCGCGGGCCAAATCCGTCCCGCCAGGCCTTGCAATGTGGCCCGCACCGCGCTGTCATCACTGCACTCCGCTGCGTTTCCATCACAATGACAGTTTATGACTGTTCAGTAAACCATTCGGCCCGCGATTTAGGCTGGATTTTAGATTTTGGCCCCTTCTCTGATTGAGTTCGACACCCCTACACTAAATGAAGCACATGGGAGAAAAACGTGGGCAGAAGCAAATACGTCTAAAAGGAACAGAAATTATTTCTTCCCATTTGAAGGATGCGGGAAATAGTGGTTATGATTGCTTTATTTTTTACTCATTTTTTGTTTGTTTTTGTTGTTGTTGTTCTGCTTTAAAAGTATTCTGGAAAACACGGCATTGTGGAAACTGAATAAACTCAGAGAGGAAACCATGCTCAGGGGGTCACTCACAAGTGCATGAAAAGCTAGTTCATTTCCCTTGACTGCTTCTCCGTCCCCCGTACCAACTCAGCACCAGCCTCTCTAAGGTTGACAGCTTCAGCCCTGCCTTTCTAGAGACTTCCAGGTCATTCTTCCTAGTGAAGGGTTCTTATATGATCAGAGATTGAACGTGTGATCACTTGATTCTGTGTTTTAGACAGTGAGACGCAATTGTTTTAAAGCTAAAACCAACCTGAGAAACTTACTGCTGTCTCCTGCAGCTGTTTCTCACACGAACGAGCTATAATCACCCCTTAGGCCTTGGCTAGCACAGACTTCCAGGCCACTTAAGCATAAAGGACTATGATTCTAAGGATCTGAATGCGGAAATCTATTTTTTTTTAATACGTTTTTATTGATTTTGAAAGAGAGAGGAAGGGAAAGAGATAGAAAGATGGATGAGAAACATCCCGATTGGCTGCCTCCTGTACACCTCCTACTGGGGATCGAGCCAACTCAGGAAATTTCCTGACTGGGAATGGAACTAGTGACCTTTCAGTGCATGTATTGATGATGTTCAACCACTGAGCAACATGGGCTGGGCAAACCCAACTCTTTCTCTTAAGGCCTCCAATCACTCTTTTAGTCTCCCAGGAGCAGATAACCAGTGCTAACCAGACATCTGAAAAAAATGCCTTTAATAACAACGAAAAACCAAAATAAACAACCTGGAGGAAACAAATGCTCTAAGTGAAAAAATACTATTAGCCCTAGCTGGTATGGCTCAGTGGATAGTGTCAGCCTGCAGACTAAAAAATCCCGGGTTTGATTCTGGTCAAGGGCACAAGCCAGGTTGTGGGCTCAATCCCCAATAGGGGGCATGCAGGAGGCAATGGTTCTCTCTCATCATTAATGTCTCTCTCTCTCTCTCTCTCTCTCCTTTCCTCCCTGAAATCAATCAAAATATATCCTAAAAATAAATAAATATTATAACCATGAAGCAGGAAGTGGAAGTTATTTTGAAAATTCAGAGAAGAGAAATCCTGGAACTATGAGAACATAAATAAACAACTCAGCGGAAGGGAGGGTGGTTGAATAGATCTCATGGAAAGTAGAGCCAAACATGGAAAAATCAAAAATAGAATCAGAATCAGAGGACCAGTCCAGGAGGTTCAGCATTTGCTCAAGAAGAGTTCCAGAGAGAAGAAACTTACTATAGGGAAGGGAAGAAGAAGAAGAAGAAAAAAGAAAAAGAAAAAAGGAAAAAAGGACCGAATACGAGAATATTTCCCAAAACTGAAGGAATGAATTTGCAGACGGGAAGCCCCCATGTTCTTTCCATGGATATGGATGAAAACAGACCCAAACCACAGCACATCATCATGAAATTTCAAAGTGGACACAGAGGCCACAGACAGGGTCTCAAAAACCTTCATCCCAGGCCCCTTTCTCAGAGAGCTACTGAGGTCAAAGAGAAGGAAGATCCACAAAGCAGACGATCCACCAACAAGAAAAGCAAAGGGAACTGCAGGGAGAGGAGGAAGCCTGATGGAGCAGGGATCAGGCCCAGCAGCACCGGGGTTGGGGCAGAGATGTCTTCGGTAGGAAAGCTGGACAATTTATGCAGAGTGTGAGACAGAATTAGAACATTCAACAAATACGGGAAGCCGTGAACACACACCGACCAAAACAATCAGCTACAAGAACACCAACAAAGTTATGAGAAAAAGAAAGAGACCTCCTTTTGCATGGTGAGAAGTCAACTGATGAGGCCCAGAACCAAAAAGTCAAGAAGTAGCAACACACATCACTTAGAGAAATGGGCAATAAATACCAAAAGCGTTATTGAAGGAGCTGAAAGTGATTTGTCCAGGGACAGAAAATGGAAGGAAGACAGAGGAATATAGAGAACTATATGACTATCGTGAAATGCATGTCATATATTCAAACAAAATACACATCTGCAACTTTATTAAAATCTTTAAAATTTGGACTATTAATAAAAGTACATCAATGTTAACTTTGCCTATAAATTCTACTTTATTTATTATTAGTAACTGCAGCAACAGAAAGAGCCAATTAATCACTCCTTTATGGATCAAAAAACTGATGGGACACAAAAGGCTAAATAAAATAAATTCAAGACACATGCAAGACAAGCAGCTACTTCTTGAGGCCAGGCATCAGCAAATCAAGCAGCAACACGAAAGAGTTTACAGAACACAATCACAGAAACCATAGTCTAAAACACAGCACTTCAATGATTTGCCTTATTATAGTGTCCAAGCATCTGCTTCCAATCAATATTATTAACAGTGTCAATATGCAGTATTCCTCATTTGAGTTCATTGAAAAAATGCTTTTTTAAAAAGCTAGATTCAGTAATACACAGGAATCATAGTTAATACAACTCAATGGAATCTGTAACTTTAAAACTCTGTTCTCTCAGTTCACAAGGGAACAGTGGAAGAGTCAAATCTAGGAATAGTGCATTTTCAATAGGTTTTGTACAAACAGGTCTTACTTAAATGTGATTGTGCTTCAAGGCTGTACAACAGCTCAGGTTATAAGATATGCTAGATGCTTTGTGCTTAGTAAGGCGAATAAAAGCATTAATACCTTCTTACAGAGAGCTCGCAGCTTGAAAGCAGAAAAATGAATGCAAAGTGTTCATAAATGATTTAAGGAAAAACCGTTACTGTTCCCCATCACTCCAAGTTGCTTGCTTGAATCACTGTTTGGTACAGTTAATAGGCTTAATGCTCTTTACATGTTTAAAAAAGGAAAACATCCCATTTTCCTGTAAGTCTGCAAAAATGATAATATTCTTCACAAAACTGGCTCCACCAGGAGACACTAATGCATTCTACAGGTAGGAGTTAGGCATGAGAAAAAAGGCCTAAGAGTCAGAACATTTACCTTTTTGTTAAATGCCCAAATTTTGTCCCACTCCATGTTCACAACTGAACGCGAGGAACCCTAGAAAAACAGTAATAAAATGACTCAATAAATAACTTAAGAATTAAAATATTCCCTTTAACTTTAGTTGTGCACGTTAGAAAAAATAAGCCAAATAATTGCTTGCAAGTTTATTTCCGTTGAAATATAAACGTATTATGTTAAAGCTAATTTGGTATCTTCAATAGGTAAAATCAACAGTCACATACTGCATTGGGTAAAAATACTCCAGCTGCCTTTGTCCAACCCCAGCTTAGGAGTTTAGGACATTCTCAGTTTCCCATTTTCAAAGTATACACAGCACTAAACATACTCTTTTTAAAAAAACATTCTGCCCTCGCATTATAAGGAACAATCAAGGAACAGGAAAAAATAGTAAAGACAAGGAGGTATTAAGAGACCCTTGAAAATCCAAGCAGACAATCTGGGAAAGGAACCATCCCTCACCTGAGCAGCAATAAACTGTTTCAGTCCTTCAACTGTCATCCCTCTCCTCAGCACACCACGAACGGTAGGAAATCTGGGGTCATCCCTAGGAAAAGGACATTTTTCAGAATGAGATTTTTTTAATGTGTCGATGCAGAGAGTACAAAATACCTTAACGAGTAATACTATATTCAGCCTGTTAAATATTTGGACTGAGAGGTGGTTGTAATAATCGGGCAGATCACAGCCCAGAGCCCACATGCATGGAAGAGGAAAGCTGCTCACCAGTCACCTACTGGGAACGGCACAAGTACATCTGATGAAAGACACCGGGTGACATCTTAACTAAGGAAATCCGAGCATTAAAGAGCAGGTGCTTTTTACTTAACACTCAAGGTCCCTGCTGTACATATGACCAGGAAACCAGGTCTCCGAAGGACCAGACTCACAAGTACTTTGCTATGAAACGCTGACATCTGCAGGGGATGTACCCCCATGTGCTTTTCATTCCCACGCACAATGGCACACACAATGTTTGTGGCAGTGAAACAAAGGGGAAGGGGGACCTGATGCGCTGGGGCAAACAAAGTCAAGGACAGAAACCCCACAGGCCTCGCATTCCACCTCCTCCCAGCCCGCCCAGCCCGCACAGCTATTAAAAAGTCACTGCGATACCACGCCCTGGCTTCCCCCAATTCAAAGTAACAGTAAACATACCATCCATCCACCAGTCCTTCGTCTACAAACCACGTGAGTTTTCTCTTGGACAGCACTGTGTTGTTGAGATTCAGCCGACTATATTCCCAAATGTACGGTTTTCTTATGCCTAAGGCTTCAATAATCCAATAAAACTGCTCATCTCGGTCATGGTATTCTGTTGTTCTTAGAGCATGGGTAACCCCTTCGATGCTGTCCACTATGGGGCAGGCAAAATCGTATGTCGGATAAACACTAGGAAAAAAAAGGGAATATTTAACTAATCAACAAGAAGCATTTTAGCCTTTCTGTCTTAGACTAGACATTTTAAGCAGCAATACTAATTTAAAACATAATCTTTACAAGTAAGGAAGGTCTTAAAACCCAACATGTTTTATGACTATTAATAATCAAAGTGTATCAAAACATTATCAGATTTTGAGAATAATGAATTGGTTATTCAACTCAATATTCAAACAAAAAAGCAAATTTGCAATTTAATAGACAATTGAGTATTGGAACAATCAACTGTACAACCTATTTCTGCAATGACCAATGTGCATTGTGGTAGGAAGCAAGATATAATCATTTCGAGGGAATTTAGCTTTTCAATATCTTAATAATCTCACACTCAAGTAAACTAAATTACTTTTGTAATAATTGTATTCAAGAAGAGATAAGAGGTAAGTTAAAATTCCATTTAAGATTGAATACACCTAAAATAAATTTCTGCCTAAAAAAATGTACACAGCACATAAGCAATTTTAATTTGAATTTTAAAAAACATATTACTGTGTTATGGCTCCTAATTTTTAAGATACAGCTTCTTGAAGATGCTCCTGCATTAGGCTTCACAATTATTTGATACTGAAAATGTGGATGCAAACTCACTTTTCCAAGTGTGTTCCAAGCATCTGCTTAACACTGCCCAAGTTTACTTAAAGTCACACTAACCAACCAGGTAATCATTGTATTCAACAATCTCTTCAAGTTATAAGTCAGTATAAGTATGCAGTAGGCTTCTTCAAAGTATAAGAAAACATATTCTATGATTTCTTTATGAAGTAAACTAATGAAGGAGGAACATTTGAAAGAAAAAATTCTATTAACCTGAAAACCCACACGGAAAACTAATAGAAACTAAAAACACATGATCCTTTCTCTTACTGTTCCTATTTCTGTAAACTTTCAATTCTATCACATTTATGAATGAATCTGTACCTAGTATCTTTATTTAAAGAGAAATAAAAAATAGATACCACAGTGTATTTAATCAATTCATTACAAAGCAGCGGCAGGTGGCCTCGAGGACTTTTATAAATACCAGGCATCTTAGACATAATGTGGAACCTTAACTGGTAAGTGTTTGCCCAACAGGCTGTAAGTGTTTGCCCAGTTCATCCACGGTGAACAAAGATCAGGAATAATCAGTATTCTATTCTCTATTGACTCCGAGTTTATAGGGAGCATCCAAGCAGAGCCAGGCAGGCGATCACCTTACTTGTATCGATTTCCAGTCCTGGGGTGAGGCTGAATTTTGCAGCGGTACAGTGTTGGGTCCCTCATGCACCCATTGTTACTGTTCATGTCGATTTTTGCTCGCAAACAGCAGGACTGACCAAACGGGCTCCCTTTTTTCATTTCTTCCCACATTTGCAGATTCTTCTCAACAGCTATAAAGTGAGAGTGATATTAGTTTATCTAGCATATTACTAATCGGGTTGAATTCAAATTTAAGAGCACTGTAATTTTAGATGAGTCTTCTTAGTCTGGTTTTATATTCTTAAAAGTACGATAATAGTTCCAATATCTGGTCCCAAGAGTAAATGCACAGGTTTGGTTTTTTTAGAAACTGCCCTCTATATACATCTTTGAGAAGAAGTCAAACATTCTCCATGTAGCACTGATGAAGGCTAGGGCAAGAAGCATGAGGCCTGCAGGTTTCTCTCATCATGACCCAATACACCAGCCCCCCTCCAATTAACCCTTTGAGGGACACACTGTTCCATTGCCAACTATTGCCCAGGGACAGCCCGTTCTGGCTCGGGTCCCTGGGCCCATCTGGAGAACAGGCTTGGCTGAGGGCCTGAGCCTGGGGACTCCCTAAAAGTCCCTCTGTCATTCCAGTGGGAAGCAGGACACCCATGGATCCGAGAAAATGAGATGATAGAAAACAGATAGCGATACAAGTTCAACCCTAAAAAAGAATGCTACATCCCAAGTGACTATGGTCTTACCTATGTCAGAATACGGAAACCTTTGGATAAAAAGACCCATTAAATAATGATTCTCTGGGGAAACTACTGAAACACGGTGGACACGTGACCTGCTCACAAAGGTCTAAAAGTCCAGTTGGTAACTGAGAAAAGCTTAAAAAGAAAAATAGACTTCTATAACTTTTAGATAAAAGACCTCTACTTTACTTCCCAAATGTGACATTCAAGATTTAACTATAATAGTGTGGAAGTTCTGGCTACCTAATTATAGAATGAATATAGACCAATTCTGAAGCCCGAGAACAAGTAGTAAGAAAGATGTGCCTTTTTGTCAAGTGCTATTTCTGAGACTTAGGGCAACACCAAGATTATAGATTATGTTCACATTTGCCCACCTGCTGAAAGGTTTAAGGCATGAATAACATTATCACCCAACACTTTACAAAGGCTGAGCATTTCAACTGAGGAAAATACAGAAATGCCACAGAAGGACTCACTCAAATAGAATGAATGAAGTGCACAGGGCTGCAGGTAGTAGGTGAGATGCAAAGGGCATGCGCAGTTGTGATGCTCACAAAATAACAAAATAAAGATGACAGAGAAAGCAAAAAGATAGAGGAGAAATGAACTAACGTATGAATCATTCTCCCAAATGTGTTTCAAACCAGTGTCTTTCACAGACAAGAAACCACATTCTAGTAAAGGCGCAAAGCTCAAGAACATCAACAACACATAACACACTGACTGTGCCTTACAGTTGTTTCTGTGTTTGGATTCTGTCCTCTGCTCTCGCTCGGCTTTCATCCGCTCGGCAGGAGTGTCATCCACGTAAGCCTTCCCTTCCCGAATCAGCTTCTCGGCGTAGTTCATTATAGTTCCAAAGTGATCCGAGGTGTACGTAAACTGGTCTGGCGCGATGTGCAACATCGCAACATCTTCCAGGATAACCTGCAAGACGGACCCAGAATCACCATCAGCTTATCCTGCACATTTCCGTGTGTCTTTTCATTCCTCGATACTGTATTTGGGCAAAACGTAATCATCACACACCATCAGTCTTATTTAGCCTGAAAACGGTTGTGGAAGTTACATTAGATTGGAAAAGAAAGAGAGAGACTCATTCTACTAACTTCTGAATGGTCAGCTGAGAACGTGGCCTCCTGATGGAGCTTTCCATTGATTCTGGAAAAGCTGGTTATAACTGGCCGTTCTGACAATTACGTGCCCTCTCTGCACACCTTGCAGTGTTTTCTGGATAAAAATGGTATGAGAGGTGAGGAAACCTTCCCATTTCCCGATACACGGTCGGTGTGTGTTTCAGCCATAAACTTAAAATTATATGACAGAAAGGAAACCTGCCTCTAGTTACCCATTCATTTAAGAAATTGGTACTTATAGAAAAAGGGGAAATTCTTCAACAATTGAGGAAGAACAATTAAATTGAAGGTTTTGGTATCAGAGCTCAGGTCTTAGACAGAATACACAGATGAAGAAAAAAGCATATATGAGAAATAAAACTTAATTTAGTGTCAGGAATTAAGTTTCTATTTAATTCATATACCATGAAGGTATATGAAGGTATATGAAGGTCACCGTCTAATTGGAAATTAACTTTTCTGACAAAGGGTTGTCACTACACTTTTAATTACCTTCTCAAAATCTTCCTTTTCTTTTTCAGGATTTGTGTCATCGAATCTCATGATCAGTTTCCCTTTAAAGTTAACCTGGTAGTGCTGGTTGAGGAGAGCAGCTTTGGCATGCCCAATGTGTAAGTAACTAAAACAAAAACATTTCACAGAGACACTCATTAACACGTCTTGACTGAAGACTTACACTTAACCTTTCTGAGGAGATGAGAACTAAACGAAACTGCTTCTAGCTGGTATTCCAGCATCATTTTTTTTTCGATCACTAAGTACTGGGATAGGAACTCTGACCTTAAGAAATCATTTCATATGTAAAAGCTCACCAAACTTTACAAAAGGTCTCTCACTAAGGGTCTTGTCCAGTACTAAGGTCTCACTCCTTAAACCACAGTCTATGCTAGGGGTGTCGAACTCAATCAGAGAAGGGGCCAAAATCTAAAATCCAGCCTAAATCGCGGGCCGAATGGTTTACTGAACAGTCATAAACTGTCATTGTGATGGAAACGCAGCGGAGTGTAGTGATGACAGCGCGGTGCGGGCCACATTGCAAGGCCTGGCAGGACGGATTTGGCCCGCGGGCCTTGTGTTTGACACATGTGGTCTATGCAAACACGACTGCTCCTAAGGGCAGCTGACAATTATAAGATATAAAATAGATCAGAGGCAATGTTGATAATGGCACACACATCAACTCCCTCCTCTATCAATGAAGTGAGTAAAAAGAAATACCTACACTGTTGCTGTTGAAAATATAATTTATCTGCCAGCCAACAAGGCATGCAGCATGGAAGTTTAATCGGCTCTCACTCCTTTTGACTAGTATCAGTTGATAAATGCAGCTGCAGTCACGTTGTTCCACAGTTACCTAATGTCACATGCGTACGTCTGATCTTGGTTAATATCAACAAGGAAGAAAAAAATACAGCACCCTGTATGCCCCTATATCATTTTAAAAAATCAACCCTTTTTAGAAATTCATGTACCATTCTAGATCAATGATTCCATTTTAAGGGTTTATATGGACAGGTTAATGTAGAGAAGTACAATGCAATACATTTAAGGTTATTCAAAAGTTCCTGCATAAAATAAATGGCTATAAACAGTATCCCAACAGAAAAAGAACACTAGGGAAAAAACTGATAAAATTAATAAAAAAGATATAGAGTTTAGATGATAATAATGGATCAATACTGACTCATTAGTTGTGGCAAAGGTACAACAGTGATATAAGGCATAAATAATAGGGGAAAACTAGGTGCAGGGTATATGGGAACTTTTTTGCAACATTCCTGTAAATTTAGAACTATTTTAAAATAAAAAAAATTCATTAAAAATAAAATAAGAGAACTGAGTTTCAAGATACAAACAGAAATACTGTGTTAAGTTTCCACTGAAAGCATGTTACCCCCCCACCCCATAACATGTTACCCCCCACCCCACTGTTAAGGAAAAAAAGATTAATAACCACTGACTACTTGCTTCTGGCAGTTAATGGGTTAGGCATTACACACAGGGATTAATTTAGAAGTGATAAAATCAAACCATTATCTTAAACTTTAAGATATTTCTGACTCTGAAATACTGTGTGCAGTTCTAACAATTCAAACCTCAAGAAAGCTCACAGGACTGTAAAACCTTCATTCCCAAGAGACAACCTGTATTAGAATAGCTGCAGAAAATACGATTCATGCTGTGTTAGTACTGACGCTGGATTGGGCGGGGTCCTGCCACACGTGACAGACACAGGCATATAATTTTAAGTCATAGGGACTCCAAAGCCAGACAGGTTTGAGCTGGCAAGTTACTAAGACGTCGTATGAATCAGCCTCGGAAAGCATTTGTAAGATGGAGATTCTATCAGTGCCTTTCTCACAGGCTTATTAGGATTAAATAAGTTACTGTATGTAAAGTGCTCAGTAGCATTTGCACAAAAAAGTACACGTCACGTCTGCTAAGAATAAGAATAAAGGGCAAGAATCAACCCTTCTGGCCTTCCAAGCAAGACCAAAAAGTGATTAAAAAAAGAATTAAAGAATTCTTTAGCAATAGAAGGAAATATGATTAAAAAAAAAATATGGAAAACCTGAACATTGATTTATATTCTCGGATCCCAAAACTGTCTTCAGATAAGACCATGCTTTGACACTGACATAATTTACAACAAATGAGGAACTTGTTACTCCAAGTGACAGAAAATATAAAAGATTCAAAAAGGACAAATGTTTATATAGCATCGCTATAAACAACTGCTATGAAAGTGGGTTTTAACAAATCACAGAAGTCACTACCCAACAGGACATCCATGACCTCTCACCCCAGGGACACAGGAGCAGAAAACAGGGCAGGCTCCGTGGGAATTAAACCATGTAAGATAGGTAATGGAGACTGATTCCACCCAGTTGACTACCAATCAATCACTTACTGATTTAGCCTGTGAATTTTCCAGAATCATTATTTCTCTTTCATCTCCTCTACCCACCCATTATCTCACCACCTAAATCAGCAAACTTAGAAAAGCAGACAGAAAAAGGGGAATTCTAAGACTGGCTTTGCCGTTAATGGCGCTTATGAAATAGGTTGGGAAGAACTATCAAGAATGGATGGCTAAAAAACTGTGTATCTGCCACTTTCTATTGTCTACACATCCCATTTGCCACAGGTGGGGAAGAATTTGGTTATACAATACAAAACCTGAAATTAAATAAAATTCTTTGGGGGAAAATAATTTTCTCACTTATAAATGTATATAATACCTTCCTAATGGCTAGGCTCCGCGGCTAACAGCTTTAACAAGAGACAATGAACCATATTAATATTAGTATCAGTGAAGGGCTTCGTTACAAAGCTTGTCTCCCATGAGCCAAGAGGCTGGCAGATGTGCGAAAGCTGAGACTCCCCCAGGCTTGGGGATGCTGGGCAAGGCCCGAAGCAGCTCCAGGCTGCTGACCTCCAGCCACAACGGTCTTTTCTTTTTCCTAATGAGCTAGCAACATTATTATTATCTGTGGGCGCCAAGAGTGAAAAGGATGGGGAAACCCGTTAATAATTTTTAGGACCCTCTTCATTTGGGGAAAAAGTAACTGAAAATAATCCTACCATAACTTCTATTACTAATGACACAAATATATAAGTCTTTATTAAATGAAAACCTAAAAATCTCTAAATGCAAGTAAAACGTAAGCCTTTCTGCTTATGGAGATTTTTCTATCATAATTAAAATTCTGTCTGGGGTAAAACACAAACACTGTTTCTCTTCTGGAATTAATAAACGAAAACTACACATTTAAATCATTAACTGTCAATAACTTAAAAAAGGATTAAAATACTTAAAATGTTAACTCCCACAATTAAAATCTTATTTTCTTCTATATTAACCTATGCATGTTAAAAATATTTGAGAATTACCTAAAGATTTTCCACTGTTGTAATTTTAAGTTTTATTTTCTTACCCACTAGCCTCTGGAGGAAATCTGACAGTAACCTTTCCCATCTCAGCACCTGGAAGCTCAACAAACTTCCCAACATCTGGCTTTTTCTGAGGTGCCTGAAACAAACAACAAAATAGTCATATGGTTAAATGTTTAGAAATATATTAATTCAACAAATACACTCTCTCCCTGCTCCCCCCCCCCCCCCCGCCAAAAAAAAAAAAAAAAATGACAAGAAGGCTCTGCAGAAGCCCAGCACTCAATGGTCAGAGGTTCAAAAACCAAAGAGGAGATTAGGGAGGAAGAAAAGATGGTAAACATAAAAGTAACTTGGAGTTTGAAACTCCTGAGGGACACACGCTAGATGATCATCATTTACTCCTAAAATTATGTGGATGATGCTGTATTTGGTTAACCAGCTGCAGAGGCAAGCAAGACTTACAATGGCAGATTCTTCCAAGAAGATCTTTTTTATTCGTGAAAAGAAAATGAACTATGACTAGGAAGAACTTTCTTTTCCGATCTGGGGTCTCTGACAGCAAAGACGTAGGCATTGTACAAGTGAGACAGGCTTACCCCTTTAGCTTTGGTGGCTGAGACATTCCACTTGGTACCCACTGACTGGAAGGCCTGCTGGGCTTCGAGAAAGCCAAACCAGCGCTTTACATGGACCGGAGCGCTGTTCTGCTGCAGCTGCTCCTGCCAGGCCGCAGTTCCTGTCAGCAAACATAGTTTTAACATCACTCAGTAAGCCTGCAACTTCAATAGCAAAACTCTAATCGGGGTTAATTTAAGGAAAGGAGATGGCTCAGAGCTGTGCTTCTTTAATGAATGAAATCAATGTATGCACTGAATTGTTTTCCAAAACTTTAATATATTTTACAGAATTCACATAAGTTAATTAAAAATACCTTTTCAGGCCCTGGCCAGTTTTGCTCGACGGTTAGAGCATCACCCCATGGAATGAAAAGGTCAGGGGTTCGATTCCAGTCAAGGCCATGAACTGTCTGTGAGTGTGCGAGAGGCAATCTATCTGTCTGTCTGTCTCTCCCTCCCCCCACTTTCCTAACAGAAAAATGTTTTCAAGTCAAGTAACTGAAATCAATAGTAAACCATGCCCTCACCACTGCCTCACGCCCATTGTAAGGCCATTGCTATATTTCATCATAAGGAAAAGCTTTAAGGAAGTCAACTAGAGATCAAAATAAAAATTAAGATCAAGAAGAAGCTCATTCCCTCAGATATACTAAAAACAGGTACTGCAGGAAATTTAACTTTAACATCACAAAATTATAGCCTTAAGATATCTTTCTTTCATAAGCATTAAGTCAAAAATCAATATAGACAAAAATGTCACGACAAACCTACACATGAAAATGTCTAGCTAGAAAACTCCTTCAGGTTATGTTGCTTATTGTAACAACAATTTAATTTGGAGAAAAGTTTAAGCCACAAAAATGAATACAAAACATTTTTAAAACCCACATAACCCAAATGCAAAGAATAATAAAATACAATGGCGATTTCCTTCAGGTTTGTTTTTACAGAAAGTAAATTAACAAAACTCAGGTCCCCTTTGTACCGCTCCTCAATCCTATATCCTTACCTGTCACAAACTAGTCACATGAGGGACAGACAGCTCCAGCTTACCCCCTCACTCACACTCCTACTGAGCAATGAGACAACAGTGCTTGGAGTGCAGTAATGGCCGAGACAGGAGAGGTATCACATAAATGTTAGAAATAAATGAGGGCATCTTTAGCAGGAACAGGCCAACTCCAAAGACAAGAAGGAATGAGGTAGTGAGAGAGTTGACCCCCAGGGGCCCAGATTGGAAACCCCGTAACTGGACAGGGATAAAATAGCTGGGGTGGTCATTTCTTTTTAAGAAAGTCCTAAGTGTCTGCCGATAAGACAGATATTAATAAATGGATGTTTATTCAAATACAGTGAAGCAAGTGTACTTCTTATCCAGAAAAACATTAAATAATTAAACACAACATTCTTCAAGAATTATTGATACCTTTCAGGGTGGCCCAAACACATAAATCAGCTAAGCTCAAGGAGTTTCCAACCAAGTATGTCCTCAGAGACAGGCAATGATTGAGCTCATTGATGGCAGAAGGGAACAAATGACATGAAGACAATTTGGTGGCACTAAACTCCATCCAATGATCAATCTGTGAACATAAAAGAAATGCATCCTGGAATTTAGATTTTAATAAAAGCAAACAAACAACCTCAGTTAGAACCATGCCTTTCTTGTAAGTGATAGAATTTACCATTAAATTGTGGATTTAATTCTAATTGCGTGGGATCTAAATTGGTGTTTACAAACACGTTTTGTGGTTATTTTTTCTATGCTATTTTTTCCTGCAGGACATTAAGGAACCCTTTTTCAGGAAAGAAAATGAAAAAGAGAACTGGCAACAGGAGAGAAGAACCAACTGACTGAACCCAACAGGTGGTAGCTAGATGAAACAGACTCGTCCACTTGCAGGGTTTAAAAGTAAACACTTGGAAACTATTCTTTGTATTCTGATTTTTATAAGAATTAGAAAAGTCAGAGCTGTAATTAATAAGGTATATACTTAGGAAGGAAAATGGGGTCCAACCTACGTGTGTGACTGGGAAAACTTAACTTTAACTTTCCTAGACCTGTTGCCTCATCTGTAAAGTAAGGGAATTGCATAAAATGACCGACATGGTCACACCCAATTTCTACGAAATTCTGGAAATCCAGGAAGAGGTACAAAGCACTCAATGACCCAACTATGGGATTAAATGTTTCAAGTTAGGAGCTAAGTTTTTTTTCTGAAAATAAAAATGGGCTCAGAATTCCTGAACTTGGTCTATAACTTGGTCTGTCAATATATCCTTAAACAGAAGGGCAGTACATAAGCCAACAAGAAAATGAAGTTCTCAAAAGAGCAGAAGCATAAATCAAAGCAAATCACGCCAGGAAAACGTGCATTCCGAACCTCAGTGTGCTCCATCAGGTTAGAGCCGTAGAGTCTGGCTGTCAGTGCCACCCTAGCCAAGTAGCGGAGAATGGAATTGATGTCGGTGAAGACCACATTTCTAGAACATAAGCATGAGACAACATATCACGGGCTCTAGCAAATTAGTAAGACTCATGAGACTTATGAAGAAATATAAAGATAGACATCTCCCATTTACCAGGTATTTTCTACCACAGCCAAAAAATGTAATTTGTTCTTTACTCTGTTTCTGTCAAATTCCAATTTGTTCTGAAATGTTCAGCTGAATCCAACAAACTGATTCCAGAGCAGACTATCTATATGATGCATCCTCCTCCTATTAGTTTCTATATGTCTATCCAGTGGTGCAAATATGAAAATATAATTGGAATATTGAGAATAACTGGTTTAAGATAAATTAAAGCAACAATGCCATGGATATATCCTCAGAGAGAAGCTAATTTTATCAACTTCCAGGTAAAGATAGAAGATCAAACCCCATCAAAGTTGTTTTTTTAAGAAGTATTTTAAAAGATCCAAAACCATCAAGAAAAAAAGATGAGATAATAAAATAATTCTTACTAAATTCATTTCCTATTACCATTGACTTTAAATTCTTACAATTTCCCACCAGAGTAAATTATAATGGGATTTTAAATCCTTATATATACTTTCAACAATAATTTAAAAAAATCCATATATATATGTATTTATTTATTTTTTTACTTTCTTTCAAACAGATTACAAATATTATATAAGTCTCTAAACAGAGTTCTTTTAGAATGAAGAAAAGTATTCTTTTTTCTAGGGACTATCTACCAATTAGCATGTAAAACAAGCCTACATCATCTAATCCTGAATGTTTTTAAAATGCTGTTGAGTACCGAAAACAAAGATATCAAAGCACTTACTCAGACACACGAAGAATATTCTCTTTCCCTTCTTCCACAAAAATGCTGACGTTGTCTTTCACATGTTCTACTGCCAGCAAAGCACCTATAAATAGTAAGATGGAAAGATTTCTCTTCATAAATACTGTGTATTTAAAACCTGAATCATAAAGCAATAAAGATGACTTAACTCACTAATAGTAAGTCTTGCAAAGGATAATCTTTTTTTCCTGCGAGCCTATAGGAAAGTACTAGTCAAAGTACTAGTCTTCTGGTTTTGGAGGAAAAAAAACCAAACCAGAAACCATTCCCTAGCACAGCTCAACTGCTTTTGAAGATGTTCAGCTTCAAATTAGGGACTCTGCAATTAATCTTTCCCTCCTTCAGGAGGCAAGAAAAAATGGAAAGTGTTTTACAGACAAGCTACTGTAAACAGTATTTGAGTGATTACTATGTGGCAGGCACTGTGCTAAATCTTTTACAGAATTTAAAATCTTTAATCTTCGTAGTAACCTTACGAGATAGATACCTTTGAATCTCCATTTTACAGGAGAGGAAACTGAGGCTTGGAGGAGTTCTAGCCCACAGTCCTTGGCTACCTATGTGGCTACTGGTATGTGAATGCAGGCCTAAGGCAGTCCAGAATTCAAAGTCTAAAACACGGTGTCATCTGCCTCTCCACACATGTGAAAGTTTACTAAATGGATTCATTAATCCTTTGTCCCTTAGATCTGGCAACCAACCCCATGGGGAAAATAGCATTTCTCCTTCCTCAAGGAAAATGTGGGGGCAGCCAAACCAGGGACTTGCCATGCTCCTGCCACTAGCAAGTGGCGGCCAGGATTGGACTCAGGTCTCCAGGAACCAAAGTCTTTGTTCTCAACCGTGAGACCACACTGCCTAGTGCTTTTCAGCTCGGGAATCAAACCCACCTGTTTCAGAGTGCATTGATCCGCGTGCGGTTAGCCCATAATGACTGGAACCAACATGCTAAAGCAATAGCATTAAAAAAAAAAAATGTTTAAAATGGCTTTTCAATTGTGGTGTTTGTTCCAGTCCACTCAGACCACCACCAATGGGGTAAATGTAATGCATACTTCGTTAGCCCTTTGTGACCAACTGTAGCCAAAGATCTGGCTCGGCTGGCATGACTCAATGTTTGAGCGTGGACCTAGGAACCAGGAGGTCACGGTTAGGTTCCAGATCAGGGCATAATTCAGGCTCATCCCCAGTGGGAGAGGCAGCTGATGAGTGATTCTCTCTCATCGTTGATGTTTCTTTCTCTTTCTCCCTTCCTCTCTGAAATCAATTTTATTTATTTATATATATATATATATATATATATATAATTTTTTAAAGGATCTGGGCTTCTTAAACATTCGCAAAGTGCCCATGTGTCTATTCTCTCTATATACCTAGGCATTAACAAATACGAGATCAAAAAGCTAAATTATTTCGTGCAACTTTCCCAGAGTAATTTTTTAAAAAAAGCAGAAATTCTAAGCGCTCTCTCCACACACTCACACACACAAAAAAATGCAATTCCAAACTGAACTTGAGGCGTATCAGGAAGATGACAGCTCCTCACATTTCCTCCACGTACAGGGCGAGGAGCCAAGCAACCCCGCCAGCCTCAGCGTGCGGGGGTGCTCCAGTCCTGGCCCCGTCACCTCCAGTTAAAAAATAAATGCAACCTCCTCCGTGGACACTGTAAATGCTGTTGTGACCGTCTGCCCCGGTCCCTTTGAACCCAACGAAACGTAAAGAGAAGTCAAAGCCAGCGGGATGAAGAGCTTTTCTGGAGGAAGCGAGGAAAGGAGAGATGATAGAGACTCCTGGGGGGGAATCCAAAAGGGAAGGGGGAAGATATTGGGGTTTGAAGTTTAGAAATGTTATTCCTACGAGGAGCAGCTCTCGGTTCTCCAGGGAAAACCACTTCAAAGAGGGAGGGAGTCGGCTGGAAGTGGTCCCTCGGACCGAGAAAAGGCTGAGCCTCCCTCCGCGCCCGAGAGATCTGGCTTCAGGAGCAGATCCACTCGCCGAGGCAGAGGCGAGGGGCGTGGAGCCGACTCCGAGTTCAGGGGTGTGGGGTAGGGCTGTAGGGGGGTGAGGGTTCCAGGGGGGGAGGGTTAGCCTGGCCTCCGAGTACCACGATCGCCACCGCGCAGCCCGGCGCCGCCGCCGCGACCTTCCCGCCCCGCACCCTCCCCGGCTGATGCAACCCGGCCGGGCCGGGGCCTCGGGCCCTTACCCAGAGGAGGGTCCCCTGAGTTCACGGTCAGACACAGCGTCGCCATCGCCCTGGGTCCGCAGGTCCACCTGTCACTGCGCCGGCCTGGCCGCCGAATCCACTCGGTACACGGACGCGCCGACGGGGAGAAGCCGCAAGGTGTGCGCACGCCCGCCGCAGCCGCCGCAGCCCTCGCCCCGCCCCCTGCGCCGTGGCCGCCGCGTCCCGGCGCACGCTGTGACGTCATCGCCGCGCGCCCTCTGCGTCCCGCAACGCGTCCCCTACTCCTTGCCCCGCTTCCGGCCTCTACCATAGCAGCAAGAGACTTAGTGATAAGTGATCTTGTTGGACTCTTTTATTAATTAGTTCCAAGAGTTCTAGTTAGGTTGCATTTTCTGGATAATTTTTCCTTCCATCCAATATCTTTTTAAAAAATATATATTTTTATTGATTTCAGTGAGGTCGAGGGAGAGATAGAAACATCAAGGATGGGAGAGAATTGTTGATCACCTGCCTCCTGCATACCCCTTACTGGGGCCTGAGCCCCAAACCAGGCATTGTTGGTTGCTCAACCACTGAGCCACACTGGCTGGATTCTATCCAATATTTGTATCCTTTATAGGCCATCTTTTTCCTTGTCTAGGAATTCAATATAATGTTGAATAAGACGCATGATGATGTTGAACAACATTTTTGTCTAATTCCTGATTGTAGTGGGAATATTGACACTTAAGGGAAGGAAGATAAAGAAAATCTGAGATAGGAAACTGAGAAGGAATTGGTAGAAAAGGGAGGGAAAATATCAGGATGAAGAGAGGAAAGCTGCAGAAGAGAGGTAACCACAGGTGCCAAAGACAGGACCTCTTCAGGCTCGATTACAGATGCTCTCCGTAAAATGATACTACCTCATCAAGGGAGTTCTGAATTTTAATGCCAAGTGAATTCTTGGAGGAGTCTTCTTAAATGATTCAGAATCAAAATTGCTGGATGGAGCCTGTGACTATTTTTGCAAAGCTTCCTACGTTGATTCTGAGATGCAGTGGGGGTTGGGAATAATTAATTTCAGCCACTTGCTTAATCCAATAACGGAACAATTTATTTAAAAGCAGTTAGATGGGTACTAGACTTACAGGGTTGATTATTTTTTAAGTTATATAAATGTCTAATCACTATGTTGTACACTTGAAACTATTGATAATACAAAACTGCATGTCAACTGCCATTTAGATTGAAAAAAATAATAAAAGCACTGGACAGAGACAAGTTAGAATGAAATAATTTATTATAAAGAAGCCATTTTTCCATAAATCTGTTTTACCAACATACATTATATTTTAGTATATTCGTAACTGGAAAATTTTTAAAAATCACTATGAAAAGAAGAATGAGATTCAGGTAACAGCTTGTGCTTCTGTGCCCTAAAAAATCTGGTTCATACAATAGGAATGTTGATTAAACAACTGACTAGGATAGTCAGTTGGAACTAAACTTTTCTCCCAATAAAAGGAGGGACGGAAATGTCACAGACTTTATAGATTCTCCAGATGCTAAAATTGGTCTGGTTGATGAATTAATCATCCAAGTTCTTAAAATCTATTTTCTACTAAGTACCTAAAAACAGATCACTGATCAATGCAGAATAAAGTAAAGGTGGAGCTCTGATAATTGGTTTATTGATAATATTGCAGCACAGCAGAGTCCAACGGCTCCACGTGATGTCTTGAAATTCATCCCAATGGTCAGCTGAGTGACCTGCAGGCTGGACAGACTGCCCAAGTCCAAGGGTGTCAGCATTTCCTTAGTGTCAGGATCAACTTCTAGGACATCTTCATCCAAGGCTGAGACTTCGGGAACGCAGTCCTCTCTCCTCTCTCTCCTCCTGCAGCTGTCCCCCTAGCTAAGGCAACGAGATGTGCCTTAAGGAACGAGTGCGTTTTTAACCGATTCGGGAACGCGGCTGGCATAGTAGTCATGGTTCCTCAGCGAGGCCAGGACCCCAGCGGAGTTCATGTGCTTCACTTCTTTGTCGTACTGAAGGGCATTGCCATGGACGTCGGTTAACTTGCCTACAGAAAGAACACGGGACGTTAATGGCCGATTCTACCATTACAGTTCATTATGTGTAAGCGCCCCTTGCTTCCCTGTGCAATAATGCCCAATTAATTCTGGAGAAGGAAGATAATTGCTAACTCTCCTTCTAGCTCCTATATCCTGAGAGTCTAGGTAAAGTGGCATTACCGCAAAAACTATAATCCCCACTAATAAAATGGACTCACCTCCCACAGCGTGTAGGATAACTTCCGGAGCACAAGTGTCCCACTTCTTACAGCCAGGACTAGCAAACACATAGGCGGAAGCTTTGCCTTCAATCAGCTGAATGATCTGTAAAAAGTCAACGATGGTAATTATCCCTCGACCACGAGAGAATTGCTTGCTTCTATGAAATACATTTCAACTCCTCTGTTAGACTCCACTTAGGGGAAAGCCTTCGGCAGGTTTAAGTGACCAGACTATTATGAAGAAACACACAGAATACATACAGCATAACATCCAAGACGGAAAAAGTAGTCAATAAGCTACAAAGGAGGGAGGGAGAGAGAAACATCTATGTGAGAGAGACACGATGACTGGTTGCCTCCCACATGAGCCTCAAGGGGTTGGGGGGAAGCAAATCTGAGACCCTCTGTTGGCCAGCCAAGCTCTAACCACCGAGCACACAAGTCAGTTGACATATTTTCTCTTAACTGTCTTCACAAGAGATTTGAACCTTCACGTTTAAAAAAAAAAAATTCAAAAATGTTGCTGAAATGTGCTCTATATGGTAAATTACAACCTTTAATCTCTCCTCCCAAACTCCTCTTGGACAGTTGTTAAAAGCTGTGTTCCTTTCAGGGATTCCACTGTGTTCCGCCGAGGGGGTGTCGGACTGTTTCGTACCTTATTTCCCGCCCCGCCCACACGCAGCACGTCATCAGGGTTCATGGCAGTGACGCAGTCGGTGACCAGCTTGTTGCTGTGGGACCGGGTGGTGGTGATGATGTGCTTCCCGGCAGGCACTTCCTTCAGCTGGAACCCGAAGGCACCCAAGCCCAGAATTCCCCAGATTGTCCTCCCCAGCGCAGCACCAGGCCCTGCCTGTAGGAATGGGGAAACACCAGCATGGCCTGTGGTTACCGGGAGAACATGGCAGCCACAAATAGAACATTGAGCTAGTGTAGCATCTTAACTTTAGATCATAAAAACACGATCATGTTATACCAGAGCACAAAGACAGCATCATCGACAGAGAAATTTCCCCTAGAGAAGCAACGGGTTGTTCTCATTGCTGTTTTGGTGGATAATTTGGTTTCAAAGGCACAGAAGGGAACATCTGGTTATTCCCTGGAGTCCCCGGGAAAGGAGATAGGGTAATGCCTGCTGCTCTCTGAATGGTAAAATAAGCTCATTATCGTATTTGAAATAGCTCTTTGCAAAAGGCATTTAAGTCCCCAGGAAATGAAACGCATGCATTGATCAGTACTTTTCAATATCTGAGAAGCAGGCGGGATCACGTTGACATAGGCGGTGGTGATAATGCATTTTGGTGCTACAGAGACAGAACAGCTGAACAATCTGATACCTAAGAGCAGCCAGGATAATGCTGGATAATGGAGGTCAAGGTCATAGACTTCACTGCCAATGGTGGTTGTAAAATGACAATGACGACGCAGCCTTAGAATCTGTACTTGCCTCTGTAGTGCTCGAAGCATTTTCCACCACATTGTTTATGACTATGCACTTCACGCAGAAAAACATAACCGCTATTTCATGCCAAGTAAAACTGATGCATAAAATGATTAATGCCGTCATTAAAAGAGCATTATTGAACACTAGAGGCCCGGTGCACAAAAATTCATGCAAATTCGTCCAGAAGGTCATTCAACTGTCTGGTCTAATTAGCATATTAATGCTTTTATTATTATAGATTATATATATATATATATATATATATATATATATATATATATATATGGAAGGCATACAGACATAAGTATGTTACTGAATACTTGACACATACGAAGTGCTTTACATGTAGTATCTCATTTAATCTCCAAAACAATCCCATGAAGTAGGTATTATCATCCTTATTTTACAGACCAGGAAAAAAAAGAGATTGGAACCATTAAATAGCCTGACCAAGGACTCTAGGAAGAAGGGAAGGAAGGAAGGATAAAGACAGCATACAGAAGGGAATGTGGTGGAGGGACAAAGGGGAGAAGCAGAACAGAAGAGGAGCAGCTGCTTGGGCTCCATGAGGACAGGCTGGCGACACGGGTTTCCTATCTTTGCTGCCACCTAGTGGAGCCAAACCCTAGCTATTCTGCTCACCTTGGCTTCCTTTCTGTGCTCCCTCAACTTCTGCTTGTCACTGGTCTGTGGAAAACGAATACAATTTTTCTCATCTCAGAAGGGATGGGAGGGTTGGACATTATTAACAACTTCTAAGCACTCAGATCCTTTTTTGATGAAAGGTGCCATGCATTACAATGTAATCTAGGAATAAAAGTGTCTCTCTTGCCCTAACCGGAGTGGCTCAGTGGATAGAGCGTCAGCCTGTGGACTGAAGGGTCCCGGGTTCGATTCCGGTCAAGGGCATGCGCCTTGGTTGCGGGCACATCCCCAGTGGGGAGCGGGCAGGAGGCAGCTGATCAATGTTTCTAACTTTCCATCACTCTCCCTTCCTCTCTGTAAAAAAAAAATCAATAAAATGTATATATTTTTTTAAAGTGTCTCTTTCAAGCCACAGTGTTAACTTATTTTAAAGTTTCCATAATGGCCACAGACTTGTATTTGTATAAAATATTCCATAATCATTAAAGCCATAGTAAAGTAATTAATGGATACTTAATAGGAGAAACTTTACCCGTAATGCATAACTAGTTTTGCGAAATAATGCTAAAAAGAACATGATTACAAATAGTTATTATCATGCAAATGGCAGAATAAAATAAAACTATCTTAGAAGTAGAGGTTACGCTTGCCCTCAACTCAGATTGGAAATTCAGAAGGAATAGTCCTCACTCTGATACTTCATTTCTCCAAAGTTCTTTCAGGGTCAGACTCATGCCAATACCTCAAGTAATTATCTCAATCACATCCTTTAACTTTAATGGAATCTGATGATCTATTCCTGCTTCGAAAGCACATTCATCGCCCACTTCTAAGGAAGACAATTTCTTGGGAAGATAGCAGAAAGCCCAACTCCATCAGAGAGAAAGGAAGAGGAAGGAAGGGTGCAAGATGAATTAGTTCTGCTTCACCGCTGACTACAGTCTAGGCGCGAAGCAGTATCACCTGGAAAACATCATGGCTAGCATCTCTCTCGGTTCTAATGGCTCACTTCTTCAAGGTGCTGGAAGGACCGCCTGTAAGTCAGGTGTCTCAATGACCAGGCTAGTCCAGAACCGCATCGGTAATTCCCAAACGTCTGAATTTGAGCGTTAAGGCATGTGCTGTGTGCCTTATTCATGCATATCTGGTACCAATGCCCCCGGAAGTTCTGATTCCAGAGGTGTGGGGTATATTTGGAAAAGATGAATGCATGTGCAACCAAGCTAGAAACCACTAGATTGGATAGTATCAGGAACCACATAACACTATTATTATTGACCTAATAAAATATTTGTGTGTGGCTCTCCCTGCTGGTGGGGGCTGCCATGTGTGGGCAACGTCGACCTGCTGGCCACCTCAGCTCAGCTCCCATGTCTGCATGAGAGAGCAGGAGAGCACAGCCAGGTGCATGGCGAGGGTTCCGTCCTCACTGGTCACTGGCCAGAGTCCTCCGTTGCTTGACCCCCCTGGACCCCTCCATAGCCTGCTCGAGGGGCCTTGCTTCCTGGCATCTGACTTCCCTCAGAAGTGATTCCAGTGGGAAAGAAAGGCGAGCAGGTGCCATTGAGGCTTGGAGATGCTGAAACGTGGCTTGTCTGTTGCAACATCAGGAATCAGGAGAGTGAATCTAAAGATGATGTGGAGGGAAACCCAGAAGAGTCCAAGAAGTCTGTCCTAACAGGGGACGGCTCCTCAGACACCACGCACCACGGCGATGAGGAAGAATTAGCACAGGAGCCCCGTGAAAACTGCCCTCCAAGCCAAATCACTAACTCCCTTTATCTGATTCTGGACTTGTTTGGGTCCTCTCCCTTAACATGAAAAGACGCCTTTTCAGCTCCCTAAAAGCCTTCATCTGCCTGGGGGAAGCAGGTCAGGCTTCCTCCCTTCTCATCTGGCTGCCTCTTGAAATAAACTCTGTCCTGGTTGCATTAAAAAAACACACACACATAAAACAAACAAATAAACAACTGTATCCCACTTCTGACACACACACACACACACACACACACACACACAAAGCAACACCAAAAAACAAACAAACAAAAAACACACACAACCGTATCAGTTAGAGTCATACCTGGTAGTTGTAATAAGGCTGGTTAATAACTCCTGCTATGGCTTTCCCTTCATAAGCAATTCCAATAAGAACGGTTACATTGTCAAGAAGACCTATAGAGAAGAAATTAGTATCAATTACTCTGTAACTTTTTCCTGTTATGACTCGTCATCAGCATATGAATTGCTGCCAGTTATTTTTGCAGGAAAGGTATGGGATCCACAGGGATTCATCTATGACCAATCCAACTTCTGGCAAAATGTACAAATTGTAGGAGAGCTGGCCAGAGAGAAGAGGAGGGGTCTTGGACCACTTCACTGGCTTGCTACACCTGGCCTCATCAGGAAACTCTAAAAACCAATTCAATTGAGTGGCCATAATTCCACAGCCGTCATTCTGTATCCCTGCCTTCCAGTTCACTCCTGCTTGCTGGAGTCGCTTTTATAATGCAGGTTCTTAAACCCTTTCCCAGAACCAGCGATCAAAATCTCCAGAGGTGGGGGAGGTGGGGATCTAGACAAGCTGTGTAGGTGCTGTGTGTACCCGAAAGCTGTCCAGAGCTTCCCCGTTTCTCAGTGGAGAACCATTCAGTGCACACACATACATCCACATGCACACACATGAACACACTCTGCAGGACTCACTCACTGCAGATACGTCACCTCCAAGGACAGAGAAGTTTTCTCTAGTAATTATGAGAAATGTTCTTTTTTCAAGGCATGAAGCTGAGAACCAATGTAAGAAAAACCAGGCAGATCTTTATTTCAGAAATAAAACTCAACACTTACGTTATGCTCGTAAAATCTCAAACTTGGGCTTTGAGCCTGGTCTTGCTTACGCTAACGTTGCCCATTTTATGTTAATTTGCTGCTTTGTTCTTTTCCTCATCTTCAGTCATTTCAGGAGAGAGAAATATTGCATTCTGTTTCCAAACCTATCTGTAAAGGGGAGGCTGTACAGAAAGACAGGGAGGGGACAGTGTGTGTGTGTGTGTGTGTGTGTGTGTGTGTGTGTGTGTTGGGGTTCTACACCAACAAAGCTGGGGTTCCATCTGGTAACACTGGTTCAATGTTAGTTATTCTCACGTAAAGGCCATTAGAATTGTGGAGCTGGTAGACTGTGTGTGGAGGGAGGGGGCTGGGGGTTCTAGGTGAATTTTCTTTCTTGTCTTATGACAATCACTGATGTATAACCTCAGTTAGCTAGGATGGGCACAGATAGAGCTTGAGAACACACACATGACACGTAACACCGGCTTTCCACACAACATGAGAAACAGTAAATGTTTACACTCAATATCACAGGCCCTTCTGCTTCCAATAAACAGGAAAGAGGTCCCAACCTTCCGTGTACTCCTTGGTGCCATCCAGAGGATCAACCCAGACCACGAGCTAAAAGACACAAGGAAATATTGTCATATATATATACATACATACATATATATATATATATATATATATTTAAGTCTTTTCTATATATATATATATATATATATATATATATATATATATATATAGAAAAGACTTAAATAGAGTGACCAAAACAACTCCCTTTTTATTTCAGTTCTGAAGTTGTATTATGGATGGCTTATGCCAGCGTCATCAGCTTCGTGGCGGTAAAAAGAATCGTATTGTTTTGCAGTCATGGAAAAAATACCTACATTAGAAAAAAGTCCCCAATAGGGGGTGTGCAGGAGGCAGCTGTTTGATGTTTCTCTCTCATCCATGCTTCTAACTCTCTATCCCTCTCCCTTCCTCTCTGTAAAAAAAAAAAAAAATCAATAAAATATATATATTTTTAAAAATTAGATTTTCTCCCTAAAAATAGTTTTAATAATAGCTTTAGAGTGAAGAAGAAGAAACCAACAGCATGAGAAACCGAACTCTAAATGAACAGGCCAGGCATTCCATGTGGTGCCCGACACTCCGCATTGGCTCTGAAAGTTTCCCAAGGCCCGGTTGTCCCTATTGTCTAACTACCAACTTCCCATCATCACAGGCAAGAAACAAACACATAAAGACCACCAAGAACGGTGCACAGAGAGCTCAGCCATGACGTGGGTCATACATCTTCCTCTTTAATGGCGCTGTACTGGGCCGGGCATGGCTTCCTGAGGATTTCTTCCCACTGGCCGTCCTCGATCAGCTCCTGATCCACGTCCTCGGACGGCAGGTCCTGCAGCAGAGAACACGGGTCACTGCCGCTGCCCAGTGTCTACCGAGCGCTTCGGTGTCGGTGACGGAAGAGATCGCAGCATCTTTTCCCTGGTCCTACCATTTAGGTTCAGAGCTTTATTTATTTTATTTTATTATATATATATGTATATGGCGTAAAATCACAGGAAGGTCATGGTATCCTGCCACCTGTGAGGAGGGAGCCCAAGTTGCTGTTGGATGTGTTTATTACGAAGGAGCCATTCTTCAGGCGCCCTACTCTCTCCGCATCCAGAGGTTCAGAGCTTTAAAGCAAAGCGAGGAAAACTGCGAACACGGCCAGATGGACTCGTCAAAGCTGACTACAGAGAGTGCCAACTTCATTATGCTCAACAGTGAGGAGGAAAAGAACTTTTAGACTTTTCAAGAGAAGTGGTTCTGATATCAGCTACTTCTCGCTCAGTTACACGAGACATCCATTCTTTTACTTTCCCAGTGGTAGGGTGTTCGGATAAGTGTGTAAGTAAGCCTAACTAGAAAAACAGACGCCCTGCAGGCATGGCTCAGTGGTTGAGCGTCGACTTATGAACCAGGAGGTCATGGTTCGATTCCTGGTCAGGGCACATGCTTGGGGATGGAGGCATGGTTCCCAGTGTGGGGCATGCAGGAGGCAGCCGAACAGTGATTCTCTCTCGTCATGGATGTTTCTCTTTCTCCCTCTCCCTTCCTCTCTAAAACCAGTAAAATACATTTTGGAAAGAAGAAAAAAAACATAAACAAAATCTATCTTATTCTAAACTTTTAGAACTCTCCCCATCTTCCAGTTCAGATGCTGAATATTATAACAGACACCATATCTTTGATGGTCAAGAATTGAGACATCTGGCCTAGAAATGGACCACAATATTGCATAATCAAACATTTCCTTCAAGTCTTAAGGAATATAATTATGTTTGCATTAAAATGATAGACCTAGCTGAAACTATAGCCCTAATTGGTTTGGTTCAGTGGATAGAGCCTGCGGACTGAAGGGTCCCGGGTTTGATTCCAGTCAAGGGCATGTACCTTGGTTGCGAGCACATCCCCAGTTAGGAGGTGTGCAGGAGGCAGCTGGTCGATGACTCTCTCCCATCGATGTTCCTAAATCTCTTTCTCTTTCCCTTCCTCTCTGTAAAAAAAAAAAAATCAGCCGGGACCGGTTTGGCTCAATGAATAGAGCATTGGCTTGGGGACTGAGGGGTCCCGGGTTCGATTCCGGTCAGGGGCATGTACTTTGGTTGAGGGCATATCCCCAGGGGGTGTGCAAGAGGCAACTGATCGATGACTCTCTCTCATCAATGTTTCTGGCTCTCTATCTCTCTCCCTTCCTCTCTGTACAAAATCAATAAAATATATTTTTTAAAAAATCAATAAAATATATATATTTTTCATAATAGTAGACCTAATGCTTGAGATCATAACAGTGGTATTAAATCACTAAAGTGGCAGTTGGACTTCCATATGGTAAAGAGGCATTTAAATAAATACCATAGGGGGGATGAGGACAATTATGTGATACCATAATCAATAATAAATAAATAAATAAATAAATAACATATCCCTGCCAACTCTCACCTCTTCTCCTATGATTGTGAGTTTGGGAAATTTCCGGGCCAGGGAGGAGCAGATGCTCATCTGTGCCATTCGGTCGGCTTTGGTCTGCAGGTCCGTTGGACTGGTCTGCAACAGAGAAGCACGTGTTAGCAGAGCTCGTATGCAAGATCACCCTCCAATGCCTAAGGCATGAGTGTCTATATCCTTTAAATGACACCGTCTATTGTTAGATTCATGGGACTTAACATCAAAGGGACAACTATTTTCTTGTCTTGGTTTTTCTCAGGGGATTCAAAGTGGTAAAAGTTTGGAGAGGAACTTTCAAATTATCAGAAGATGTTCTTCCCAGTTCAGAAACTGCTGTCACGCCTGGCCAGTATGGCTCTGTGGGTTGAGTGTCCTCCCGCGCATGAGGAGGTAGAAGTTGGATTCTTGGTCAGGGCATGTGCATGGACTATGGGCTTCATCCCCAGTAGGGGGTGTGGGGAACTGATCAATGTTTCTCTCTATCGAGGTTTCTCTCTCCCTCTCCCTTCCTCTCTCTGAAATCAATAAAAATATATTTTACAAAAAGAATATTGCTTTCATAAGACCTCTAGATTTTTTTTTTTTTTTTTTGCTTAAACAGGTTAAGGCCGTGGTAGGCAAACTGCAGCTCGCGAGCCACATGCAGCTCTTTGGCCCCTTGAGTGTGGCTCTTCCACAAAATACCATGGCCTGGGCGAGTCTATTTTGAAGAAGTGGCATTAGAAGAAGTTTAAGTTTAAAGTATTTGGCTCTCCAAAGAAATGTCAATCGTTGTACTGTTGACATTTGGCTCTGTTGAATAAAGAGTTTGCCAACCACTGCCCTAGGGCGAGTATTTCCTGCTCTTCCTACTGATAAGAGTGTCAGACCTCACCATTCTGCACTCTCCAGAAGGGAGCCGTTGATGATTTCAGCTACTAAAGTCTGTCCACATTAATACATCCTTGAGCTAAACCTCAAGGACCAAAATAGCGAAGTCAGTACGAAATACGATGAGTTCTCAGTACCTTCTCCACGATTCCCAGGTCCCCTTCGGCGATCACACGTCTGACGATGGTTCCTGCCTTCTGAGCTATGGAATATGCGGAGGCTACCAACCGCATCAGCACGGTGGGACCGGAAGCCATGGTCAGCCCTAAAGGGAAAGGGAGAGAAAGGTTTTGTTACTTTCAAAGCCAACCACTGGCTTTTATTTATTTGAATTCAATTCAGTACGTATACACTGAGTGGCCAGGTTATGATGATCTCTGAACGCATAATAATCTGGCCACTCTGAGTGTGTGTGTGTGTGTGTGTGTGTGTGTGTGTGTATTAGAGGCCCAGTGCATGAATTCATGCATGGGTAGTCCAGCCAGCCTGGCCAGGGAGAGGGGACATGGGAGGTTGGCCGGCCTGCCTGCTGGGAGAGGGGATAATTTGCATATTAGCCTTTCATTATATAGGCTATACACTGAGTAGCCAGATTATTAGGATATACTCTGAGTGGCCAGACTATTATTTTTTTAAAATATATTTTATTGATTTTTTACAGAGAGGAAGAGAGAGAGTTAGAAACATCGATGAGAAAGAATCATCAATCAGCTGCCTCTTGCACACCCCCTACTGGAGATGTGCCCGCAGCCAAGGTACATGCCCTTGACGGGAATCGAACCCGGGACCTTTCAGTCCGCAGGCTGATGCTCCATCCATTGAGCCAAACCGGTTTTGGCTGAGTGGCCAGGTTATATGCATTCAGAGATTATCATAATCTGGCCACTCAGTGTATACTGCATGCTTGCATGGGACTTCCCCATTTAACCATAGACATCGTTTGGAGAGACCTAGAAAAGACCCCATTTCAGCAATACTTCTCAATAAACTCTAGGTTGTCTCTCTCTGCAGATGGGACACGTGGAAGCAACAGGTCCACAGGCAGACGCTATATCCACTGAGCCAAACCGGGTAGGGCCATGAGGCTATTTTAATGTGTTGAACACTCAGTCCCTGTCTTATGTAAGACGGCCTTGAGGAAGACTGTAACCACTATGCTGGTTTTCAGTAAACTCACATAAGCCAGATCAGGCTCCCTTACTGAATGGTGTCGTTCTAATTGTTGACAGGTGGTGGTTCTTACTGTTCTCAGGTATTGTTTACCTTTGAGCCGGCTGAGCAGGCACTACAGCCTTGCCAGGCTTCCTATATGACCAAACCACTTCCCTTTCTTTTTCCAAGTTCACGGTCACTTCTTCCAAAGAAAAACTTGTAGGCTTTGTCGTTCTCCTATATTATTCAGAAAATGTATATATACGAACCACCACCTAGGAACAAACATCAGTTTTATGCGAATGCAGAAAATCGGGTCTGGTGCAAAGCGAACTATGATTTACAAAGAGATCCTGTAAATCTCTTCCAATTGGCAAATAGGAAAACATGTTTACCGTTTCCTCTGAAGAATTTCTTCGGTCCAAACTGAATTAGTAAATAAAAATGTTACTGCTGAAACTGGTTTGGCTCAGTGGATAGAGCACATCAGCCTGCGGACTGAAAGGTCCTGGGTTCGATTCCAATCAAGGGCATGTACCTTGGTTGTTGGCACATCCCTAGTAGGGGGTGTGCAAGAGGCAGCTGATCGATGTTTCTCTCTCATCGATGTTTCTAACTCTCTATCCTTCTCTGTAAAAAAATCAATAAAATATATATATTTTAAAATGTTACTGTCCCCTAATCCTAATGTTATTCTTACATATTTTTTAAACAAATGAATACAATGTTGTCTCTTTGCATAAAGAAAATATAGCTAATTATATGATCAAAATGCAAAATCTGTAACAGAGGTTCCTCTTAGCCTTTTTAATAGGGACCCTACCCAGACCCCAAATGAGAATTACCTGTAGCAGGTACCAGCTGATAGAGAACCAGGCCAAAATGCAAATAAACTAACTTCCTTATAGCAGCTCAGATTAAACTCACCCTACTTCCTTCTCTACCATTTGTACTCCTCTGGGTCCTAAAACACTCCCGTTTGCTTACCTGGCTCAAAGGTAAGTGATACTAGTAACTGTGAACAATTAGAAAACACCATACAGTAAGAGAGCCTGATCTGTCTTATATGCGAGTTTACCAAAAACCAGCATAGTGGTTATAGGCACTGGAGACAGTTACCTGTGTCCAAATCAAGGCTCTGGCACATACAAGCTGTGTGACCTTAGGAGAGCCACGTAAACTCTCTGTGCCTCAATCTGTAAGATGGAGCTCACAATGGTACTAAAAGCACGGAGCTGTAATTATTACACAAGAAGCACATGTAAAGCACGTAAGACAGTCCCCAGCATGAGGTAAGCACTGAATGATGCTGGCTAAAAACTTCCTATAGGTTTTGCAACATTATTTTAACCCCGAGGATATTCTGTGATGATCAATATGACCCTGAATCATAGGACAGCTTCTTTTAAATCATATTCTGGGCTTGAATATGATTTAAAAGAAAAGGCTTTGGGTATAAAAAAAGGTTGTATGACCACTGAAAACAATCAATCTAACATCCCATCTGTTAAGAAATCTTTACAACCTCCAACGATTTTCTCTCTCTCTCTCTCTCTCTCTCTCTCTCTCTCTCTCTCTCTCTCTCTCTCTCTGTCTCTCTCTCTCTGTCTCCCGCCCTCCCTTCATAGCCTGGGAAAGTAGAGAGTATCTTGAATTCTGTATAAAGTTGGCGAGTATATGTGGATTAATGATTGTGCGATCTAAATACTGATTTATCTTTGGAACACAACCAAATGATGTTAAAGTTCAAGGTCATCTGGAAATATAAAAAAACGTGAGCACAACGGAGCAAATTCTGAAAAAAGAACAACGAGCAGAGATAACTCTCCTACCAGTTACCAAAATAGGCTATAAAATTATAGTAATTAAAAACCGTTCAGTCCTGGGCAGAATTAGACAAATTAAGGGAATCAAATAAATCCTAGAGATAGAACCAAACACAATAAAGCTATTTCAAATCCTGGGGGAAAGTTAATTAGATATAAATGGTGGGGCAATTGGTAATTTTTTTAAAATGCTGGATCCTTTTTGCATTCTTTATATCACTACAAATTCCAGATCAGAGCATTAAAAGTAAACAATGAAATTCTAAAAGTATGGGAGTAAAACGGATGGAATGTTTTATAAGTTTGGTAAAGGGCTTATAAGCATGATGAAAAACAAGAATCCATAAAAGAATGTACTGATACATTTGACTGCACATACAGTTTTGACTGTATAGTCACACCACCACAAATAATGCGAAAAGATGTTTGACAAAAAATTTGTATAACATACTAGACACGTGAGCTCATTTTTGTTACACAAGAGCTCTTATGCATCAATAGGTAAAAGATGAATAATGCAATAGAAAAGGGAGCAAAGGACACGAACAAGCAATTCCTAGAAAAAAAGAAAAGCAATGGCTGGTAAATGCCTGAAATGCTCAACCTCACTATGTATGATAGAAATGCAAGCAAAAACCATGAGAAATGACTTATCATTTGTGAGATTGGCACAGGTGAGAGAGTTTGCCCAAATTTGGCTAGAGTGGGAGGACACATAAGAAATTATAAAAATCAGCCAAAACTGGTTTGGCTCAGTGGATAGAGCGTCAGTCTGAGGACTGAAGGGTATCCAGGTTCGATTCCAGTCAGGGGCATGTACATTGGTTGTGGGCACATCCCTGGTGGGGAGTGTGCAGGAGGCAGCTGATCGATGTTTCTCTCATTGATGTTTCTAACTCTCTATCCCTCTCTCTTGTTCTTTGTAAAAAATCAATAAAATATATTTTAAAAAATAAATTATAAAAATCGCATTAAAAGCCAAACGCACAGGTTTCGAACTAGCAATTCTGTCTATTTTCAGGGAAACAAATAAATCAAGCACATCTACAGAGGTGTAGGGAAGACAGCAGGAGTGCCTGCTATTTTTATGAAATTTAATTGTAGGTGTTAAGACAGTCTCTAAACCCACTAACAGTCTAGGTTTGCCTTGTGATTTTCACAAAATAGAGCCTCATAAAGACCCCGGAGCATGAAAAGAAAAAGAAAAATCTCATCTCCACAATGGAAATGCTGACACTCACAAACCCGGGTCCGAAACGGATCCACGCTAATCTTTTCTGCACAGAAATCCCTCGAATCCCCGCAAATCTCTGCAAAGGGGGTGGAGTGAGGGCATCTGCCCAGGATTTGCCCTTGCCCCTGACCCTCGGGGGAGAAGCTTACTTACGCTGAACAGGCCTGGAAAACAGAGTTAGTCGAAAGACACTGAGGGATAACACCCCTCCCAAAAAAAAAAAACAAAAAAAAAAAACCGCGTTATTAAGCAACAGGTCCCTCGAGGCGTCCAGTACCGCTGTCACCCAGACCACGGGACGTCAGGGGCCGGAGGACAACCCTACCGCAGCTACTGCGCATGCGGCAAGCTCCGCGCAGGCGCAGTGCAGCTGCGTCGCCAAGGCCCCCCGGTCCGACTCCCGACCCGGCGAAACTCCACTTCTCCGGGTTTTCCTGAAGCTCTCGGTTGGTGCTAGTTGCCCGCAGGTGTCTTTTTCCAAATAACATTTCCTTTTTCATTTTTGTAGGGAACCCGTCCGTCTTTTCATTTCATCTTCTAGATGTTGTCTTTTAGGATTAGGAAGGCCATCCCCAAAGGGGAACAGGCGTGAACTACACTGACCTGGACGAACAAGTGACTAACTCAAACTGAGATGCGCTGTATGCGTGAAATACATAAAATTTGGAAGACAGCATAAAAAAAAAAAGAATGCAAACTATCTCACTTATACTTTTATATGAATTGCATGTTGAAGGGATACTATCTTGGATACACTGGGTTAAATACACCCTGTTTCCCCGAAAAGAAGACAGTGTCTTATATTAATTTTTGCTCCCAAAGATGCGCTAGGTCTTATTTTCAGGGGATGTCTTATTTTTCCATGAAGAAGAATACGGCACACATTTATTGTTAAATGAAAGTAAAGGAAATTTATTACCTGTATACGGTACGGTGGTACGGTAGTTGTCAACACAAACCAGACAAACTGTGAATCCTACAGTATCAAGAATTGACTCATTTATTCAATGACAATCATGTCATCGTCTTCTGGAACATCATCCTAACAATCCAATTCCTGAATTTCCTGGTGAGTTTCAGAATCAGTGGCCCAAATCTCTCATGTTTAGCAATAGCATTCTGAGACAGAGCCTAAGGGGGGGCCTTATTTTCAGGGGGTGCCTTATATTTTACTCAGAAGGAAACCTGTAAGTAGGTCTTATTTTCGGAGGATGTCTTATTTTTGGGGAAACATGGTATATATATATAATATATAATATATATATAATATATATATATATATATAATTTTACTGCTATTTTTTTAAGGGCTGGGCGCTGTGATTGAAATCAAAGCCCCAGCTGTGGCCACATCTGGCCCCGCCCCGCCCCGCCCCTCGGAATCAGGCCTCCAATCCGCTCCCGCGGACACCCGGAACTGGCCTCTTCTCTCGGATCGGGAAGGCTGCGCTCCCTACCCAGCCGTGCCCCGCGCGCGTGCGCGTGCGCGTGCGTACTCCCTCTCGACTCGCGAGGTTTCGCTGGAGTCCCAGTTTCCCGGTCCCGGGTGGGAGCCGAGGCCCCGGCGATCCCCGGGAGCTTGGGGCGGCCCGGCATGCGTTGGGGGCTGCGACCTCGCGGGCCGGGGCCGGGGCCGGGGGCCCTGGCCGCCGCCTGGAACCTGTGGGGGCCGCCCCGCCTCCCCTGTCGCCCCGGGTGGCGGGGGGCGACCCGGGGGCTGGTGGCGCGCTCGGTCGCCGGGGCCAGTAACCAGCTGCAGAAGGCGAGCGACGGCAAGTACCGGGACACGGTGCTGCTGCCGCAGACCAGCTTCCCCATGAAGCTGCTGGGCCGCCAGCAGCCCGACACGGAGCTGGAGATCCAGCAGGTGCGGGGGGCCGGGAGGGAGGCAGGGCCGGCGGGTGCTGGGGACACGGGCGGGGAGGGCGTGCGACAGGCCCGCGGGCTCCAGGCCCCTTTGGTGTGTGTGTGTGTGTGTGTGTGTGTGTGATCAGATGAGTGTAAGCCTCTTTGGGGTGTGTGTGTGTGTGATCAGATGAGTGGAAGCCTCTTTGGTGTGTGAGTGTGTGTGTGTGTGTGTGTGTGTGTGTGTGTGTGTGTATGTATGTGTCTATGTCTGTGTGTGTGATCAGATGAGTGGAAACCTCTTTGGTGAGTGTGTGTGTGTGTGTGTGTGTGTGTGAGAGAGAGATCAGATGAGTGGAAACCATCCACTTAACGGGTTTTCTGCCTGAAACTTCAGTGAAGAACCTGGAGGAAAATCCCTCAGGGGCAGCAGGTTCCCCAGCAGAATATTCAGGGCGAATCGTGCGGCGCCCAGATAGCAGCGCAGGTTGAAGTCCCATTTTCAGCTTAGATACTTTCCCAGTGGCTTGTAAAAAGTAAATTAATATAGTCACATATAAGTAAAAAAATTGGTTATTGCGCCCTAGCCAGTGTGGCTCAATGGTTGACTCTAGACCTATGAACCCCGGGGGGGTCACATTTCTGTTCCAGGTCAGGGCACATGCCTGGGTTTCAGGCTCCATCTCCAATAGGGGACGTACAGGAGAGCAAGTCATGGATGATTCTCCCTCTTCATGGATGTTTCTATCTTTCTCTTCTTCTGAAATCAATAAAGTTTTGTTTTTGTTTTTTAATTGTGGTTATGAGGACAAGTGGAAGCTCACCTTTGATGTTAATAGATCCCTAGTTGGAATTATGACTTGTTTGCAGGACAGAGTTGTGATACTTAATTTGTGAGTTGCTTCCCAAACTATGTGACTGCTTCCTGTATTAAATAGAATATTCTAAAGGCAGAAACTCACATGTTAGTTTCTCTCCTTCTAGTCTTTAAAGCCCATGACACTCAGGATATGTTGGTTAAGTATCGGTTAGCTTAAATATGACAGTTATCAGAGTTCTAGACTCATCGGCCCATTCTGGCACCTAATTTTTGAAAGTGTTTTATCCAGTACCTTCTGTACTCCAGGAACTGTGGCCGTTTCTCATGTTCTCTTATTTCATCTTCACACCAAGTGGATGTTAGCGTTGTTTCAAAGGAGGAAACAGGTCCGTTAGGGCAAAGTTGAGCTGGCCAAGGTCATGTAGTAGATTGCACTGCGTGTTGTCTCAGACTTAAGAGAGTAGCAAGGGCTTAGGTTTAATCAGAAGGCTGCGAGGGTGGCTGTTGAAAGGTTTGAAAAAAGGATTCAGCTGTCAGAGGAGGAGGGGCTTAAGGAGGCTGGTGAAAAACCTGAAAGGATTCAGCAAAAACAATAACAACAAAACACCCAAACTCACCCTAGCCAGTTTGGCTCAGTGGATAGAGCGTGGGTCTTTGGACTAAAAGGTCTCAGGTTTGATTCCAGTCAAGGGCATGTACCATAGTTGTAGGCTCCATCTGAGCCTCAAGTTAGGGGTGTGGGGGAGACAGCCAAACAGTGTGTCTATCTCTCCCACATCGATGTTTCCTTGTCTCTTACCCTTCTATCTAAAAATCAATACTCATAGATACAGACAACAATATGATTGCCAGAAGGAAGGGGGGTAGGGGGAGGTAGAAAAGGATAAAGGGGGGATAAATGGTGATGGGAGGAGACTTGACAATATACAGATGATGTATTATATAATCGTACACCTGAAACCTATATAATTTTGCTAACCACTCTCACCCTAAAAAATTCAATTAAAAAAAAGTACTCAGAGTGCATTTACAAAACATTGCAGTTTGTGTTTTAGAGCTGAAGACATTGGAATGAGATAGGAAGTAAGTGCTGGCTGTTCCTCATGGTATGATTCAGGAGTATGTGTTTATACAATGTTCAGACATTATCGCTCTTTTTTTTAAACAGAAATGTGGATTTTCAGAACTTTATTCGTGGCAGAGAGAAAGAAAAGTCAAAACAGAATTTTGTCTTCACGACGGACCTCCTTATGCAAATGGTGACCCTCATGTTGGACATGCTTTAAATAAGGTAATCATAATTAAGTTTGTAAGACTTGAGGGGAAAATATTTAAATACACTTTACTAAAGAGTACTCGAATACTATGGCAATTATGTAAATTTGCATTGACACATAAAATGAATGTCTTGACAGAAAGCAGTAAACCATTTCGGTCCTGCGTGATGAATAACATCACTGGCATTTGCTTTGAGCTTGTTATTTTGCATTAGTAAATATCGTTTTAGTCAGTTAAGTCCTTATTGAGCACCTACTATGTGCTAGGCATTGTTCTGGATTGGAAATAATCAGTGAACAAAATAAAAATAGGTCTTGTCCTTTGGGGTTTATTATGCTTCAGTCAGGGAAGACATAATCAATAAGATAAATAAAACATGTTAGAGCTGCTATAGACTGAATACTTGTTTCTTCTTCCAAATTCATATGTTAAAACCTAATCCCTAAATGGGGTGGTATTTGGCAATCAAGGTTTTGGCTTCTATTGCTGTAGATTTTTTTTAACCTATTCTAAAATTTCAGAGAGGCAGAATAAAAGCACATAGTAGTATTTTTCAATGTCTGGCTTCTATCAACCATGCATGTAGTATTTCTGAAATTCATTCATGTTGTTTTAGATAATCAGTAATTGCTTTTTTTTTTTTTTTTTTTTTTTATGGCTGAGTGGCATTCTATTGAGAGGATATACCACAATTTGTTCATCAGTTGTTGTTGTTTTCTTGAATTGTTTATACTTCCATGGGAAAATGGGAGTGGGTGTGGCCTTGGCTGTCTGTCTCTGCTTTCAAAACCAGGAATCTGGTCACGAAACAGGTCCTACAGCTTAGAGCAGCATTATAATATGGATGGTATAATTGTATTAGAGAAGTAAGTTGTGTTGAAAAACTCTTAACATTTGAGATATGTTATACATACTGCACGTTTCACAGAGGACAAACTATGCTGCTTAAAAGCTTATTTTTGAATTATTGCACTTTTTACATGAGCCGGCCCTCCCACCCCCCCAAAAAAAAGCATAACTTCAAATATCTGTTATTCTTGTTTTTATGTAGAACTTGAATTGGGAGATTTAATAGGTTACTTTATATAAATCCTTTTATTTATTTATTTTTAATATATTTTATTGATTTTTTTACATAGAGGAAGAGAGAGGGATAGAGAGTTAGAAACATTGATGAGAGAGAATCATCAATCAGCTGCCTCTTGCACACCCCCTACTGCAGATGTGCCCGCAACCAAAGTTACATGCCCCTGACCGGAATCGAACCTGGGACCTTTCAGTCCGCAGGCCGACACTCTATCCACTGAGCCAAACCGGTTTCGGCTATATAGATAAATCCTTTTAAATCTGGGGTTTCTCAGTGTTGTAAAATATTAAGAAACTAAGGTAACTTGTTGGATACATGCTTCATGTACGAGTGATGATTAGCATGTTCTTTGCAGATTTTGAAAGATATAGCCAATCGATACCATATGATGAAAGGCTCCAACATCCACTTTGTGCCTGGCTGGGACTGCCATGGGCTACCCATCGAAGTGAAAGTCCTATCGGAGCTCGGTGGGAAAGCTCAGAATCTGTCAGCGATGGAGATCAGAGAGAAAGGTAAGCAACCCGTGTTTCTGTTTGGAGATGGCGTTTGTCAACACTGGTTCTTTGGAAAATCTGGACCTGTTAGAGGGACCTGTTTATTTTGTTTTTGTTTGTATTTATAATGTGAGCTGTTGGAAACCACTTTGTCACAGAAAATTCAGATTTTTGAGAAGTGACCTTTGTGAGAACTTATGTTCAGAGATTGAAGGAAAGATTTCCAAGTACATTGTTCAGTTCTTGAGTCCATATATATATATATATATATATATATATATATATGAATGAAAGTTTTATATTAAAAAATATATATATATATTTATTTTGTTATCCTCACCTGAGGATATTTTTCCTTTGATTTTTAGAGAGAGTGGAAGGGAGGGGGAAACACAGAGAGAGAAACATCGATGTGAGAGAGAGACATTAATTGGTTTGCTCCCATCCACCCCTTACCAAGGCCAGGAATCGAACCTGCAACCGAGGTACATGCCCTTGACCAGAATCGAACTGGGACCCTTTAGTCAGGGTGCCGATGCTCTATCCACTGAGCCAAACTGGCTAGGCCTAGTCTCCATATTTTGAGATTATTATTTTGACCATTGTTTTTATTTCTTTTCCTCGAAAGGGCTGTTGACCTATTTCAAGGGATAAAACAAAAGTAAATTCTAAAATACAAATATATTTTACGTTAATCTCTTATTTGATTCTTCAGTACATTGAGTCGGCAAGGAATCTTGTATTTGTATATGTTAAGCTATTGTATATTTGGATATGATTGCGAAGATTACTTACTTCCTTGTGAAATTTATTATCATTGATTATATGTACTGCTTAATTTCTTTTGTATAATGAAATATATTCCCTGATCTTTTCTTAAGTTCAGAAATTTGAGGAATTCTTCCAGGATATTGTTTTCTAAATGTGAGGTCATTGTACAAAGTCTAGATACAGAAGATGGTAACAAAACTCCAACTTTTGAAATTCTAGTTAATTTTAGAGTTTGAACACCTTTAACTTTCAAAGTAACTTTCCTGTTAAGTAAACTCTACCATCTAACTGTGTACAATAACTGCATTTAGAGAGATACATCCTAAGCCTTTTTTAAGAATGGGAATTTACCGGTTTTTCAAAGTGTTTTCTTGTCTGTATTTTGTTCAGCCAGGTCATTTGCCAAAGCAGCAATTGAGAAACAGAAGTCGGCATTTATTCGGTGGGGAATTATGGCAGACTGGGACAATTGCTACTATACGTTTGACGGCAGTTACGAAGCCAAACAGTTGAGAATTTTCTACCAAATGTACGACAAGGTAATGGAATACCTTTTTCCTCTGCGAGTGTTACATCGTAGAATTCCAGTTTTTCATAGACTCTCTGTCTTTTCTAGGGCCTGATTTACCGGTCTTACAAACCTGTGTTTTGGTCTCCCTCATCGAGGTATTTGTGTGTTTTTGCTCACTAAAGGAGAAATTTTGTGAGCTTTCCAGGTCCTTACGTCTAACCTATTTTAACCTCAGGACAGCCTTGGCTGAAGCTGAACTGGAGTATAACCCCCAGCACGTCAGTCGCTCCGTGTATGTAAAATTCCCTCTCTTGAAACCTGCTCCCAAGTTGGCGTCTCTCTTAGGTACGATTTCTTCATTGCTTGAGTTTATGGCAGTCATGGAATGGGAACCTTTGCTAACATATTTGAAACTCTGTTCTCACAGACGGTTCCTCTCCCGTTAGTATTTTAATCTGGACCACACAGCCATGGACGATTCCAGCGAATCAGGCTGTTTGCTATATGCCAGATGCAAAGTAGGTATAGCATTGCATTTTGTTTGTTTGTTTGTTTAATCCACAAGTAGGATTATTACCATTATTTTGAACTTATTTCATCCTCTTTATTCTCTTAAAATTTAAGGAGTTATAACTTAACTGTGTTCATATAGATTTTTTTAAGATATTATTTCCAGCTTTTTTGGAAAACAAAACAGATGTAAGGGATGAAGTCCTTTGAAAATAGTACTTTGGGCCCTAGCCGGTTTTGCTCAGTGTATAGAGCGTCAGCCTGTGAACTGAAAGGTCCCAAGTTCTATTCCAGTCCAGGGCACGTGTCCAGGTTGTGGGCTCGATCCCCAGTGGGGGACTTGCAGGAGGCAGCTGATGCATGATTCTCTCTCATCATGGATGTTTCTATCTCTCTTTCCCTGTTCTTTCCTCTCTGAAATCAATAATATATATATATATATATATATATATTATTATTATTATCATTATTATTATTATTATTATTACAAAAAAGAAAAGAAAATAGTACTTTTGGGATTTTGAAGTTAGTTTTTCTAAAATGGCAGTAACACATTTTAAATGTTAGTCGTGGCTTCTCTTCCCTCATTGTCAGTAACTTTACCCTAAACTTTTATTTGAGGTATGCCCTTGTGAAATGTTCCACGTCTGGAGAGCTGTACATACTGGCTGAAGACAAAGTGACATTTGTGGCTTCTGCTTTGAAAACAACATATGAGGTTATTTCAACATTTTCAGGTGAAGATTTATAGATATTCTGACTATCTCAGTCATCAAAAGATTGGGTTGATTGAGGTACTTTGCTCTTAGAGAGGTAGAAGAATTGCCATATGAGATGATTCCGTTCATTGTGCTTTTCTTTGCCTTCAGGTGCCGATTTGGAAAATGGTACTTGCTCTCATCCTTTACTTCCTGATAAAGTCTCTCCTCTTCTCCCTGCAAATCATGTGACCATGACCAAAGGGACGGGACTAGTTCACACAGCCCCCGCTCATGGTATGGAAGATTACAGTGTAGCTTCCCAACACAACCTGTCCACGGTACTGGTCCTCTTCCTTCCTTTTTAATCTCTGCTTTCGTAGAATTAAAGTGATAAATCTAATAACATCTTTTTTTTATATAATGAGCAATCACTTTCATCATCATAATTGTGAAATTTGTGCAATACTAGAGCTTCCTTAATTCACCCTAATTGAGAAAGATTTTCCAGACAACACAAAATCAGCACAAAATTAAAATTGAAGAATGTATATTAAATGGGGGCAGCTTTTTCTTTCAAATATGAAGTCACATAGAGGAATTACTTTCTCTGAAAATTGCCAAGTTGACTTTACTAGTTTTTTGTTGTTGTTGTTTTTTACTTTACTAGTTTTACAAGTTGAAAAGAACAGGTGTTTTTAAAACATTTGTTTTAAAAACTTTATTAGTTTTACTAGTAGAAAAGAACAGGTGTTTTTATAGTCCTCTCTAAATTAATTTTACACACACCAATTACTTAGCAAGTTTTTCCATTTAAAGGTGAGTTTTTCAAAATCATCACTATGTATGTACGTTGACATAGATCCATAAATTAATAGAGATCATATTAAAAGTGATGTTCTACTTTTTAGTAAACATTAGGTCTCTGCTTTAATAAAACATTTTGCCTTCAGTGGTGTGAATGTATAAATTTACATTTCCTAGTCACTAAATAAATCCTCAACATTTCAACATAGTGAGAAACTAGACCAAGCATGTCAAACTCGTGGCCGGCAGGCCACACGCCTCATTATTAGACTGAGATGTCTTATCGGTATTGTCTTGCCAGATACTGTCATAAAGATAAAATGCCTCGATACTTTAATTTTCCAAATGACACTTTGTAGGATTGTTTAGTGGATGAAGATGGCGTTTTCACAGCAGCTGCAGGGCCTGAACTTCAAAACAAGGCTGTCCTTGACGAGGGGACGGATGTGGGTGAGTATTGTGTATGCTGATGCCATGAATCTGTATTTTCTGAAAAGTAGCCAGCAGCAACCTTGACTTATGCTCGCATCTTATACTTTCAACAAAAACAAAAAGCTAGAACGACATCTTATTTTGCTACGTGGTTTAAATAGAGTTTAGAGTTTTTCATCCCTTGCTTTGACGATGCCCAGTTTAAGCAAATTAAATCTGAAAGATCTGTGGACGAATCCTTTCTTGCTTCTTCCGTTTCCGGAGGCTCCTAGTAATCCCTGGGTCAAACCAGTCCTGGGTGTAGAGCTGTGACTCCAGTCTCTGCCTCCAGTGTCACCCGCCCTCCTGCTCTGTGTGACTGTGTTTGTTCCTCTTGTAAGGACAGTCATTGGGGTAGGGCTCACTCTAGTCCTGTAACTTCATCTTAACTTGATTGCATCTATGAAAACCCCATTTCCAAATAAGCTCACCTTCTCAGGGTCTGGGAGTGAGCATCTCTTTTTGGGGAACGAAATTCACCCCACTGTACCTGGTATCTTTTTTTTTTTTTTTCCCCCACTGTACCTGGTTTCTGCCAGAATACGTGGTCACTGTTTTAAGAACCTAGACATGTAAGATTGTGACTGAATTTCAAGTGTAGGAGTCTAAGTGTTTCTTGTTCATCTTTCCTTTGAAGGGAAGGCAGTGGGATAATCCTGAGTCTGATTAGGGTTTTACAGTCCCTGCGTGTTTGGCCAGGAGATTCCTAGGTTACCCCTGTGATACTTGGTAGGTGGCTGCTCTTCCTGGCACCTGCTGGTGTAGACTTAGGTCTCCTGGCAGTTTAGAGAGTTACTAGGATTTTCATAGTACTTGTAAATATGTCTTAACGCAAATTGTTACCAACTTTTTATTTTTTTTAAGTTATAAAGATGCTTCAGGCTTCAAAGAATTTGTTGCTAGAGGAGAAATTGGAACACAGTTATCCCTACGACTGGAGGACTAAGAAGCCAGTGGTTATTCGTGCCAGCAAGCAGTGGTTTGTAAACATCTCGGAGCTCAAGGCCACAGCCAAGGTAGGCAGGCGTCCTGCTGCAGGCTGGCTCCCACGTTCTCAATGCGGGAGGGCTGCTGTTAGGATTCTCCGTGTGAGGCGGAGAGAAACATCAATCAGCTGCCTCCTGTACACTCCCCACTGGGGATGTGCCCGCCACCAAAGAACATGCCCCTGACCGGAATCGAACCTGGGACCCTTCAGTCCGAAGCCGACGCTCTATCCACTGAGCTAAACCGGTTTGGGCAATAAAGACTCTTTAAAACATAATTCCAGTGGCATCATCACCACCTTAAATAAGTAATAGTTATTCTATAACATAATCAAATATCAGCATTCACATTTCTTGGATTTTTAACCCGGATGTTAAATTGAATGGCAGGCGCTGTCATTCTGTCAGTAGGTGGTGCTATAAACAGCTTTGGGGTGAGGGGTGGGGGAGGGGCTTCAGGTAAGTAAGGAAACTAAACATGAAACGGAAAATATAACAATGCTTTTATTCATGGGTAGGGAGATTTTTGAAATGAAGTCAGTATACTTTGGCCTTGTTTGAGCTTCTTACCAAACATTTTTGCTATATAATTTGTGTGTTTTTGTAATTAACAAATGAAATAAGATGTTTGTAATTTGCAGCTCTCGAGTTGTGGGGTGGGGGGTGAGGGGATGGAGTGGGGTGGGGGCATGGAGTGGAATGGGGCAAGGAAGGAACTTTCTTGAGAAATGAGAGATAGAAAGTAAAAGGGAAGTCACTTATTTTGAGAAGGTGTCTTTATGTTTTAACCGTACTATATGTAAATTAGGTTAGTTTGCAATCCTTATTTGTCAACCTATGACAGTAGTTTTTCTTAAGCATTTAAAAAATGATTGAATTCAAGTTTGAATTGATTTTAACTGTAGTTTAATGAAATATAATATAAATAAACCTGTTATCTCAGCCTGTTATTGCGAGTTTTGGTCTGGTGCTTAGAAATGGTATAAAATATTTTATTACCATTTCTAAGCTGCCATCTGCTCTTGATGCTCTTTATTTTATTTTATTTTATTTTTAAATAGGTTTTTATTGATTTCAAAGAAGAAGGGAGTGTCTTGATGCTCTTTAGAAGTTCTTTGTGGCTCTGGGTCAGCTGCCTTTTTTTCTCTGAGATATGGGGTGTTTAAGTTAGTTTTGGGGGGAAGGAGAGTTGGCAGGGGACATGTGAATGAGTATAAATATCTAAGGAAAAGAGCTGTGTTAGGATAAATAATGACAGTTCTAGAAAACTTATTCTGCTTTCTCTCACTGGACTTGATTTGTGACTCAATTGCAGGAATTGTTAAAAAAGGTGAAATTCATTCCTGGATCAGCCCAGAATGCCATGGTTGAAATGATGGACAGGCGGCCATATTGGTGTATTTCCAGGCAAAGAGTGTGGGGTGTTCCGATTCCCGTGTTCCATCATAAGACAAAAGACGAATTCTTGATCAACAGGTAGGACTTTCTCAGTATTTTCAACACTTTAAAGTGAGTTGTATTTTCCTCAGAAATGGAAAAAATAGTGGATTATTGAGAACTCCTAATAGATGTTAAATGAAATATTCTAAAAGAATTATCTTTTAGGACGGGATAAAATACAAATTTCAGCAAGATCCTTTCAATATGATTGAATTTTGTACAGCTGTGTTTTTCAATGTTTATACATAAGAATAGAAGCTCCAATGTTTTGGTTTTTTTTTTTGTATAAGAATTCATTGTTCCTGTGGGCCAGGCCGTGTGATAGAGCAAGCTATTGGGAATCCAAAGATGGACAGTGTTTGGTGGGGGGAGTCCCAGTGTGTAATTTTTCTTTAAGAATTAGAGTCACTCTCTTATTCAGTCTACCCTCCTCCCTTTCAGTGGGAAGTATGTCATGTGATTGTGTAGATGCTTTAAAATTTAAGAAACTTATAATACAGTTCAATGTATAAAATTACATTTGTTGTAGTGATTACATTCCCAATTGAAGCTAAATTTTTTCTTTAAAAATTTTTTTTTTTCATTTGGAAAGATAACACGTGGACATAGTAAACAGTTTGAAGCAGAAAAGCTTATTCAGTGCAGAGGAGATTTTTTCCCCAAGCCACTTGACCTTTGAGTTAGTGAACAAGACTCCCGTGGTCCCTGCTCATAGGAGATGATGTTCTATTCCATGGTCGGCAAACTGCGGCTCACGAGCCACATGCAGCTCTTTGACCCTTTAGTATGGCTCTTCCACAAAACACCTCGGCCTGGGCGAGTCTATTTTGCAGAAGTGGCGTTAGAACAAGTTTAAGATTAAAAAATGTGGCTCTCCAAAGAAATTTCAATCATTGTACTGTTGATATTAGGCTCTGTTGACTAATGAGTTTGCCAACCACTGAGCTAGGGCATCTGGGGAAGTACTGGAATCAGCAGGAGCCGAGGAGCTGGGAGGAGTAGAATGTGTGGTTAGGAGCCATAATGTGCTGAGTGTGAGGGAATTTCAGAGAGATCAACTCTAGGAAACATTGGTTGGGGCAAATTATAGTGAGTCTTGAGTACTAGGTTAAGGAATTTAAGCTTTCAAGTAGGCATGAAGAGTGAGAATATGTTTTAGGAAAAGAAACTAAATTCTGGAGACCAGGAAGTCATTATAAGGCTTTTTGTTACAATTATTATTTTATTAAAATTTGGAGCTAAGACTCTTTGACTTAAATGTTGTTGCTTATGTGTTTTTTGTTTTTTAATTGAGAGCTTGATCAGATATAAACTACTAATACCTTATTACCTCTATTAAGAATTAAAGGTGAAATAAATGCACACAAGTGAGAGAGAGACACAGACAGAGACAGACATGGATCAGTTGCCTCCCGTATGCCACCCCGACCGGGGATCGAACCCGCAACCTTTGGGTGCACAGGACGATGCTTCAACTAATGGAGCGACCCAGCCAGTGCAGAACAAGTGTTTTAGGGCATTTTCTTGGGTTGATTGAGGTAGACTCTGTGTATATATTAGTAAGTAGAGTAAACTGATTTATTGGATTATCATTTAATCACGACAGTTAAATGGTACATAGGTTGATTTGTCAGTAAGCTGGGTGAAATAAATGTGAGCCTCGTCAGAAAAACACAAGCAGATATTGATCAGGCACCATTTAGTTTTATTTATAGTCAGTACATTTACATGGTTGTTACAGATTCTTTTTTGTGTGTGTGTTGTTTGCATGGTCCCACCTGGTTTCTGATTCCGAAGTAGCAGAGATATACAGAATATTGGCCTACAGAAATGACAGACATACTTAGCCACACTGTCTGTCAATTCATAGGTCATTTTCCTGTACACCATTTGTTAGTTCCCAGCGTGGCCCCATGCACGGTGGGCTGGGAGGGACTGGGAGAAGAGGCAGCCCACTCCAGACTGAGCCAGGAACTGAGCCGAGATGAGAATTGCAGTGACTTCGATCTGCTGTCTTTCTTGGATGCGCCTTTATATTGTAGCCAGTTGGTAACCATCAAAAGTAACAGCATCTCCACTGGAAATTGGTACACAGTCCACATGGAGTTGCTGTTACACTTGATAACTCCACTGTGTGTATCAAAAGATGTCTTCAGCTTCTCTTGATGGAAGTCTACAAATAATCTCTTAAGTACATTTAATTCATAAAAGAAAATCTTCATGAATTCATATTCTAAATAAGCTTAGAGGCTGGCATATTTGCAACTCTGATGTTTAATTTTGATTTGAATTAAGTTTCTCATCTGCACTTTGTATTTATATTTGTAGAGTTTCAAGTAATTCCATTTCTGTCTTTAACATCATCAGTCATTTTCTGAAACTGTAATTTAATGCCATTATAATTCAAGTGGATATCTATTCCTAGTTAACAAAGATAAAATAAGTGTATTTTTAGCATAAAAAAAAAAGAAACTATAGAAACGCTACCTAAGAAGGAAAACAAGTTGTTAAATTCCTTTCACAATTTCAGATGATTATAATTAATTGAACAGTATTAATGCAATAGTTAACCAGTGCATTTAAGGAACTTAGTAGCTCCTCATCTCTAGAAATTATGAGAAATTTCCTAGAAACAGGCAAGAAATTTCTAGTATAGGTTGGGTGTAAGCTTTGGCTACCTCAAATTTTTACTCAGGTTCATGACCATTTGGTGAAAAATTATAATGTGTATTAAACAAAGAAAGATTTCTTCACTTTGCAAACATAAGCACAGCATTAAGTTTAAAAAAATAGCTTCCTTCTCTAATTTCAGTGTTCTAGAATGAAAATTAGTACATAAACAGGAAATATTTAATCTCTTACCTTCATCTGGTAACTTACAGAAGAAGAAAAGTTCTTGTAATCCTTCATGTTTTCTGCTTCTATGCAGACAAAACGCAGGAAACACTGGGACAGCAACCGTTCCTTCATTACCTAGCAATCCGAATGCTGCTTAATTTCCAATAACTCGCTAAATAAGCTCCCAGCCTGGCTGATGTCAAAGTCCAGGAGGATTGGTTGGTGCTGTGGTTGCTTTTACTGCCAGGGCATTTTCGCTGATTGAAGCCTGAGGGGCACGTAGTGCCTGTGTTTAGATAAGGCTCTTGCGTAAAGTTCAAAGTTTTATGACGGACTTATCGCTTTATGAAATAACAGCGTTAAAATGGAAGCATATAGGTTGTGTACTGATAAGAGGTCCCACCCATTCCCGTCGACAGTAATTTACACTGATCTTCAGGTTATAAGTTAATTGTTAAATAGAGGCTATTATTCACAAAATGAGGGAATTCTGAAATTTCAAAAAATAAATTTTGACTTCTTCCTTGTATTTTTTTTTTCCTGAAGAATGTTTGATATCACTAAAAAAATGCCTATCAAAACGTTTCAAGGTGTTTTAAAGCATGATCTCAGTTTTGTTAGAAAAACAATTACACTTCTAAGTATTTATCCGAGGGACATAAGGGGACCGATGTCTTGTCCAATGATGTGTATGTAAGGTGCAATGATGTGTATGTAAGGAGGTCCCATACAGTAGTTGTTTATAAAAGAACATAATAGTGTAGAAAAGAGATAACGTTAGTCCATTTCAGAGAATGAATGCAGTCATTAAAGGTGGTAGCTCAGCCCTTAAGGGATGCCTCGCTCCCTGTGTGTGAAAATCACATGAATGGCGCCCATCCAGTATATGGCTGTTTCTAGGGTTTGCTGCAGATTTGTGAGTATCTTTCCATCGGTTGTGTAGCCTTTGCTTATATTTTCCCCCCAAAAATTATCTTACCGGATTTTGTTTGAACATTAAATTTATTTTTATTTTTCAATCCAGCAAGCCTCAGGTCTGTAGGTTGGATGTGTGTGTTTATTTTTATTGCAACTTTTGTTCTTAAAACTCTCTCCCAGAGTTTCTTAGGTTCATTCAGACCGCCAGAGTCTCAGTCAACAAGACAATTTTCACTTTGTGACACCAATTCTGTGAACTTAAATTGTGATCTGTTTAGAATACAAGGATGTTGTTCTCTTTGAAATCTCCATTCTGATGTGTTAGAAGTCTGGTTCAGTTTTTATCCTCTAACTCCAGAATTGTCTTTAATTTATTTTTGTTTTAAAAATGTAAGTAATAGTTTGTCTACGGTCTCAAAATGGAATTGAGAAAATGTAGCAATTAAATCAGGACTTTTAGTTCATCTAGAGGGGTTGGGTTTTTATAATTTCTTAGTAACATGCCAGCTGCAAACTCAGAATCTTTCGTTGTTTAGTATTTCTAGTTACCGATGAGGTAGAGTAATTGAGCATAGTTCAGTAATACTTATATTAAATCTTCACTGAGTTAACCTGCTATTTAGGGATGTAAAAAAGCATTGACTTTGGCATTCTAAAATGGACATGTCAATAAAAAAAAAGTGGGGGGACATGTAGTGTCACCTGTGGTTGTAAGTTGCTTTTCCCAGGGTCATGGAGACGGGCGCTCAGGGGAGGAATATGCTGTGCTCCTCTCAGGATCTACCGAGTCGCAGGTGGACTCTGATCGCTGGACTCGGCGCTCGTACTGTCAGCACTCATCTCCCGGGACGCCCTGGTGCCCCTCCTTCACCTGGTTCATGGCTAGTCCTGGGCCTCTGCTTAGCAAAGCTGAGAGATAAGGAGTGTGTGTTTACTCTAAGTGGTCTTTTAGATGAGCTAGAGAGGCTGGATAGCAAAGTAAAAACATTTGAACCATGACTTACAAGACACGGTTTCAAAAGCTTGGCTCTCACTGGCTTAGGCTTATGCTTGTTAAGGAGCCAGGAGGCACAGAGCATAGCGAAATGTGTTTTCTGTGAATCAATCAGCGCTTAAAGGGGCTTTGACAAGTATAGTGTATGGTGGACACATACATGTTTGTTTTGATTAATATATTGATCCCAACATTTCAATCCTATTTTCTAAGTGAATGTGACATTTGAACCATTTGCTTTTACTTTTGTACTATTCTTTATTTTTACTTTATTTCTTGTGTATTTGTTTAATCTGTGTATTTCTAACATTTAAGACTGGTTTTCTATTTTATTTTACTGTTTACCTGAAATTGCAACTGGTTTTTACAGCATAGCTGCTGGACTTGTGTATAGTGTAAGTGTACTTTTTCCAGTCTCTCTCTTATTTAGGTTAATTCAGATATTTTTTATTATAGCATATTCATATTTTCTTAACTGATAAAATGTTCCGTGCAAACTGCATAAAATAGTAATAAGTAACTAAATATTGTCATATAATTAGTTATTGCAAAGCGTTTTATGGTCTCATCACAAAAGTTTATCTTTACTGTTAAAGTCCATCTAAAATCTGTGACTTGCCCTAGTCGGTTTGGCTCAGTGGATAGAGTGTCGGCCTACGAACTGGAGGGTCCTGGGTTTAATTCCAGTCAAGGGCCCAGGCCTGGGTTGCAGGCTCAATCCCCAGTGGGGGGCATGCAGGAGACAGCCAATCAATGATTCTCTCTCATCATTGATGTTTCCATTCTCTCTTCCTTTCTGAAGTAAATATATTAAAAATAAAAATAAAAATAAAATGTGTGACTGTGTTAGATTTATGGACTTGTGCCCATTTTAACATTATTACTTTTTATAATTTCTTTCAAATAGATGCTGGTAGCATTATACTTTTTAACCCTTCATAGCATATTTTGCTTCATAGTCATATTTTGCTATTATAAGGTATTTAATTTATACTATCCATTTGACTTTTGCGTCCCACATTTCTTTAATAAGCATGTCATCTGTCGGTGATGAGCAGACCCCGAAAGGTGAAATGATTTATAAACCGTAGATACAGATTAAGAACTTAAAGCTTTTTCCTACCCACTACTCTTTCCAGTGTCATTGACTTTCGTGGACCTATTGTTAATTCTTAGTTACTTGCGTTGATGGACTGTGGTAGAAAGGATAACAGAAAAGTCGGCTTTAGTGTCTATATTTTAATTAATTTGACTGTTAATGTGGGTATGTGTTTTGGTAACAAAATGAACTGTTTAAATTTACCCAACTTTCAGAGAATCGCTTTGAATAATAGCTACAGCTTCTCTACTTCTTACGAAGGGTTACCAGACATCGGTCCAGGCATTTTATATATAAGCTTGATTAGTATCTGTAATAGCTTGCTTAATGATACTCTTATTATTTGCATTTCACAAACCAAGGTACAGAAACGTTAATTGCTTTGCCCAGGGTCACCTGCTAGACAGTGATAGAACCAGGAATTAAACCAAAGCTGTCTGGGTCCAGGATCCATGCTCTTGACCATGATATGCACTGTGACTCAGTAGAAAGCAACTAGAGGAAGTTGTAAAGTCCATAAAGCTGTGATAATAAATTAAAAGTGTGTTGCTCCTGTGAGAAAATTTAGTATAAATTTCCCCGAGTTTAATTTAAAAAAAAATATATATATATATATATATATATATATATATATATATATATATATATATATATATTTTATTGATTTTTTACAGAGAGGACGGGAGAGTGAGTTAGAAACATCGATGAGAGAGAATCATCCATCAGCTGCCTCCTGCACACCTCCCCGCTGGGGATGTGCCCTCAACCAAGGTATTGTACATGCCCTTGACCGGAATTGAACTGAGGACCCTTGAGTCCCCTGGCTGACGCTCTATCCACTAAGCCAAACCAATCAGGGCCCTGAGTTTAATTTTTAAATAATTTATAACTGTGTCTCCCCAGAGATATGCTCAATTTCAGTTTTCATTTGACCAGTTTTCATTTGGCTCTCTGCTGGGTGTTAGGCACTGTGCTGAGTGTTCGTGGCTCGGCTCGGTCAGCTTGCAGTCATCCTTAACAGCTTTGTCTCCGGTGCTCAGTAGATAGTTTTGAACAAATGAAGTTTACTATTTGCAACACAGAGGACAGCCAGGACTTAGAGGCATATTGGTACTAGAGCATGGTCCTATAAAAAGTGGCAGAGTCAGGATAGCAGTCTGGGTACCTGTTGTCCAAGGGGACGTGCTGGTGTTGGGGGTGTTCTGGTGTGGCGCTGCCCGTGCCCATGAACTTGGACTCGGGCCTGTGAGCTGTGACGGGCACTGGAAGTGTCTGAGGGGATTGGTGAGGCAGTCTCAGGAGCATGGTTCTCAGAGATGTATCGTGACATTCAAGGGATGAGAACTGGGGAGGCAGACCATTGCATCCATCTAGAATTGTGGCAGGGAGCTCAGATGAATTCAGTATTAAATCAAAAACAAGTTGGAGCAATATTTCAAAGGAAGGACTGTCGGGATGTGTGCTTTAGGGCAGAAATTGGGTTGGGGGGGAGATAATTAAGAGGTTTTGAATATAAGTAGTTGAATAGGAAATAGATGGATAGAAACAGGGAAATGAGTACTTCAGGAGAAGTTTTTTTTTTTTTTAGGGATCCATAGGATTTAATATTATTTTTGAGATATATTGATATTATTGATTTGAATTTAAAATGATATTAGCAGCCGAGTGAACAAGTAATTGAAGAGAATATCACTAAAGTTTGGGGAAAAGATAGGAAAATATCCTGCAATAGGGAAAAATATTACTGTTTAAAACATTTAAAATGTTGGCATTAATCACAACAGTTAATGGAACAACTCTGCCTTGTCCCCGTCAAACAGCCAGACCATCGAGCACCTCGCTAAGCTGGTGGAGGAGCATGGCAGTGATGTTTGGTGGACTCTGCCCCCTGAGCAGCTCCTTCCAAAGGAAGTCTTATCTCAGGTAAAGCCCCTCTGCCAGTCACCAGCCTCTGTGTGCAATGCATGACTTTCCAACAACAGAAGAAATTCTTGGGAGTTAAAGAAGGAGCAAAGCTTGTCAAACAGGCTGCTGACGGGCCATGAGCTCGACATGCCCGATGTAAAGTGAAGGAGTTATTCACTGTAAATAGAAGTCAGTGCATGGAGAGGAGGCATTTTGTTCAGCTAGAGAAGCTTGGTATTGAACATAGCTGAGCCTGTGAGGGTTTTTGTCCTCTCATTGAGCACCAAAGTTTGAACGGACTTGCTTAAGTAGCCGTCATTGCGAGAACAGGGCCTGACATCGGCACACCAGGACTTTGTAGGACCTGAATTAGGGGTAACCAATGGCATCATACAGCAAACATCCGAATTGGAAGATGATCTTGAGAAAAATCAAAACAATAGCAAAATTACAAACGGTTTTAAATTTGCATTTATCAATGTGTAAATCAGGTGGCTATGCTAATGTTGACATGCAAATGAGTGAGTGGTACGTAATTGTGAAATATCTGTAAGTGTTTTAAATTTAATCTGAAGATGTGAGTGTGATAGTTGCAAGCGCTTCCTGTCCTTTGGGCTTTTGGGGGATTTGTCGTGTGCGTTCCCGTGACACTGAAGTGCTCTGACCTTTCTCCTCAGGTCGGTGGGCCCGACGCGCTGGAGTACGAGCCGGGCCGGGACATCCTAGACATCTGGTTTGACAGTGGGACCTCCTGGGCCTGCGTGCTGCCAGGTGACTTAAATTGCAGTCTACACACCGGTCAGCAGTTTTGAGACTATGCAGACTTGCTTAGCAGAAATCTATCTGCAGGATCCCTCTTGTTTTACTTGGAAAACCTGCTCTAATGTACTCTGAGATGGGAAGGACCTTGGAGATGGTTCAGTCTGAGGATTTGTACTCTTAGTTTTCGTTCTTCCAAATGAAATTTTATACAGAGCCTCAGTGCATGAGATAGAGGGAAATGGGGGTTTTCTCCTTCCTTTAACCTTCCCAGCTCACCTGGCAACCCCGAGGCACCCAGTTTTATAAAAGAAAGTGTGGACAGAACTGAAACGATCAGACCAGCACTTTTCAGAAGAGGCAACGAGACTGCATTAGAGGCCAGTTGGGGGCTGGTCACATAATCTAGAGCAGTGGTTCTCAATCTTTCTAATGCCACGACCCCTTCATACAGTTCCTCATGTTGTGGTGACCCCCAACCATAAAATTATGTTCGTTGCTACTTCATAACTGTAATTTTTGCTACTGTTATGAATAGTAATGTAAATATCTGTGTTTTCCAATGGTCTTAGATGACGCTGCTAGGGGTTCTCAACCTAAGACTCCCCCACTCCCCACCCCCATTCTGCTGTCCATGGTGCTGATGGCGTTTAGTCATTCTGTTTCTAGTTTGTGAAGTTCTTTCCCCCCCACCCCCACCCCCCCAGTTTGTGAAATTCTTAATCAAATAATTGTGGCAGAAATGCAGGAATACTTTATTAAATGAAATTTATGGTAAAAATGTACCTGGCTAGCAAACCATATTTTCCTTCCCTGTCACATTTGGGTAATTAATTCAAAGGAAGGAAATTAATTTATTTAAAGATGTATGTTGCATGTGTAGGAGGCTGCCAGAATATGAACTACCTTTATGATAATACATAAAGTCTAATTTTAGACTATAGTTTTCTGCTTTTTTACTCAGATCTTATATTCCTTCTCTCCTCAAAAAAAATAAGTAAAATAATCTAATGAGATTACTCAGTAAGAATTAGATTATTGGTTTATGTTTTACCCTATTTTCTTCCCTTTTATTCTTTTATGATAAAAACAAAAAAACAAAAACACAAAACAAAACAAAAAACAACAACAACCAAAACTTGGATAGGCATTACAAATGAAGTGGGAGTCAAAGATACTAGATAGCCAAAACCGGTTTGGCTCAATGGATAGAGCCTCGGCTTGGGGACTGAAAGGACCCAGGTTCAATTCCGGTCAAGGGCATGTACCTTGGTTGCGGGCATATCTCCAGTAGGGAGTGTGCAAGAGGCAGCTGATCGATGACTCTCTCTCATCGATGTTTCTAACTCTCTATCTCTCTCCCTTCCTCTCTGTACAAAATCAATAAAATATATTTAAAAAATAATAATAATTAAAAAATAAAAAATAAAGATACTAGGTGAAGTCAGACTTCAAAAGGCCATAAAGTGAAGGTGACTTTCATTAAAAAAAGACACCATAAGAAGTCACCTACTTTTCCTGAGGTGACTTCAGGCTTGTTGGTATTCTCAAGTGGTTGGTATCAAGTCCAATGTGAAATGGCTGATTATTACCGGTGTCTGCATATAGGAAATATATGAGGACATTATTGAAAAATAAAATCAGCCTGATTCTGAGCTAAATTTTAGCTTACCAGACTTAATCAGTACCTGCTAATGTTTAATGAGATAAATTCGGTGATTACATGGCAAATGGTTTTGCTTTCGCGGACAGATTTTATAGCAGTGAAAGAGATTTGGCTTATCAATTTTAACACCAGGTCAAGTGCGGTTTCATTGTGAGTTCAAGGTCAGTAGAATTTAAGAAATGGAAACTTGAAAACTTCCTGAAAGGGAGTAGTATTTTTAAGTGAATCATATATAGGTAATAAACCATACCTATATTTCTAAAACATTCTTTCAACATTTGCCAAAGGCATTAATTATTGCAGTGATATAAAAAAAAAAACAAAAAACCTCCAGTATGAATTATTTTTAAATTTTAAGTAGACTAATTTTTTGGAGCAGGTTCAATTTCACCGTAAGATGGAGTGTCAAACACAGAGTCCAATAACCTCTGTCCCCCTCCCCCTCTGACTCCCCCGTCAACATCCCCCACCCGATGACACATGTGTTACTGTGGGTGTCTACATTGACACATCACCACCACCCAGAGTCCACAGGTGACAGCCGGGTACCTTTCCTGATGTAGATTCTGGGGTTTGAACACACGTGTAATGATATGTGTCCATCATGATAGGGTCACACAGAGTATTTTCATTCCCCTAAAAATCTTCCATGTTCCACCATTCATCCCAACCACCCCACCCCCTCACCTCCTACCCCAGCCCCTGGTTCATGTGGCTTTTTTATAGTTTGCCCATCTTTTTACCAGGCCATTGGTCAAATTAGAAATTAATAATAATGTCATTTATCAAGAGTTCTTTTTTTTATTTCCTGATTAAATTTCTTGGTTGAGCACATGCACTCCAGATTGTCTGGGTTCAGGACCCTTATCTGTTGCTGCTGCTGATCTGCATGGCCTTGTTCTCAGGGTCTCACCATTCTCATCTGTAAAATGGGTATGATAGTAATGCCTGTCTTACCGAGTTGCGGTACACATCAAATGAATTAACCCATAAAGGAATTACCCATGGTTTGGAAGTTCACACGCAGGACTTATTTCCTTCATCTGGATTAATATTGGCAGTGAGGCTAATAGCCGTTGGCTACTGCATGGCACATGAAATAAACAGTGCGATCACTCTGTCCTTTCAGTGTTTGCATACAGATCCTGTTTTGTTTTCCTATTAATTACATCCCTGTTCTTGTCATACTTGTTTTGAGGTACGGACCAAACAGCAGATTTATACTTGGAAGGAAAAGACCAGCTCGGCGGGTGGTTTCAGTCTTCCTTATTAACAAGCGTAGCCGTGAGGAAAAGAGCCCCTTTTAAGTGAGTATGACCCCCGAGTTGGACACACCACATGCTTTGGTCATGCCAGGGCGGGAAGCCTGTGCTTTTGAATTGTCACATGTGGCCAAACACCACCTTTCATGAGCTTACAGTCTCTCGTCTCAGAAGAGAAGTCAGAGTTTGAATGAGGAGAGAGAGAGAGAGAAGGGGAGAGGAAAGGAAGAGAGGAAGGAGGGAACAATGCAGAAAAGTCTAGTCAGCGATACAGAACTACCGGCACTGCGGAGAGTGAGGCCTCCAGTGTGGTCGGACTCCACTCGGGGGGGACGGAAACAAGGGCATCCTAGGTCGATCGAAGGCAGCCTGGGCTCAGATGTCCTTACATTCGTAATCTGCTGAAGTGGCTACTGATCTGAAAAATCCCATTAGTGCTGTTTATTAAATTAGGAACTCAGAGTTATCATTGCTTTTGTTTGTACAAATATGTGTATAGAGGTTCTAGCCAGAAATGTTAAAGAGCTTAACACTTTTGCTATCTTACTGTGAAAATCGTTCCATAAAATTTAAATGTTTGCTTCTTGTATAACGTGCTTTTCTACGTCAATAGAAGAGCAGGTATTTTTCTCTTAAATTGCCTGTTTTAAGATAATTCGTGGTGGTAGTCTGCTCTTTTTATTTTTTATTTATTTACTTATTATTTTTACTGTTTCACTTCATTACTGCTATGTATGTGCTGTCTGCTCTTTTTAAAGACATACTTTCCCCCGGTTAGTTTTAATGATCAAAACCAGCACATCATAGATGCTCAGGAAATGCTTACTTAGGGAATGTAAACATCAAGATCTTTTCTGTGTATAAGTAGAGAGCTTACTATTTAACAGTCATAAACGAGCTGTTGAAATTCGACTTTCAAGAAAAGCTCTCCTACATAATCTGTCCAGAAAAATCCCATTTTTGGGTTAAACTAATATATTCTTTTTAAGCGATAGGTCATCTTCAAAATGATCGTGATAGTTGTGCTGGTTATTATAACAGCCGATCTGCCTTCCTAGGACAGTGGTGGTCCATGGGTTCACCCTTGGAGAAAAGGGAGAGAAGATGTCCAAGTCTCTAGGGAATGTCATTGATCCTGATGTTGTCATCAATGGAGGAAAAGTAGGTGGCTTTTCAACATTCAATTTATATGGTTTTAAGGCCCAAAACCGTTAATGTAGTCATTTCAATGTTAAAAAAAACAAACCTGTCTTTTATACGAATAGGGGATGCCTTACCGTGTCTTAAAACTAGATTCTGAAGTAATATGATTTTTTTTTAAAAAGGGAAGGGCTGGCATTTTGGCATTTTTAGACCCATATCTGGTCTGAATCCCTAGGTAGATCCTGAACCGTGCTACCTTTTTTTTTAATTGTCTGCGCTCTGAACTGTAATTTTCATTTAAATGGAAATGATGTAAGAAAAGAAAAATGAAATTGCAACTTCTAAATGCATGTTTCATTATTCCTGGAAATTCTCCACTTTAAAGCACGCCATTGATGAACTTGAAATCTGGGGCTGCTGCTAATTTGGTTTATTTTGAAGTTGTTTGCATAAAAGAAATCACTGACTGTTGTTTCTTTGGCCTTCCACTGTCCCTCTAATGGCCAGTAGTCATTTCCCTGGTTACGGAGTTGCTAGGGAACATTGAGGGGCACAGAAGCCCTTCCCCTCCCCCATCACGGAGACATCCGGGCGCGGCTCTGTGTCTGGGCAGCAGCTGCCTTTGTTCCCTCGCCGTGACCGTGACCGTGACCGTGACCGGGAAGTGGCGGAGTCAGCATCTGCATGGTGAATGGGGTTGCAGGAGACATGCCCCTTCCCTGTGTTGTTTCAGAGGCAGCCTGACCCCTGAGAGGGAGCCTCCTTTCATTCCAGCACAGGTCTCTACGCTCACCTGTGCTCAGACACTGTGCGTGGGAATAGCAGGAAGGTTTGGGGCTGAAATAAAAGCCATGTTTATGTTTGAACGTGCTTTTCCCTCCACGGAAAGGACCAAAGCAAAGAGCCTCCTTACGGTGCCGACGTCCTCCGCTGGTGGGTCGCCGAGTCCAACGTCTTCGCCGAGGTGACCCTGGGCCCCTCCGCGCTGAACGCCGCCCGAGAGGACATCTCCAAGGTCAGAGCCCGTGCGTCCTATTTCCCCCCGGAAACGTTCCCCAGACCGTTATTTCAAAGGCAGGCACGCTCTGTGGGCACTGCGAGTCTGATGGGCATTGACAAATATCCAGTACAGTTTGTTTGAAACAGTGATCCTTTTTACACACTCTTTTTATTAAATATATAGCATAATATGCGAAATTGTGCTACCAGTTTTTGTGGAGGCTGCATTTTATTTGAAATGGCAACCACTTTTGCTAACAGGCCTGCTAACATTGTAAACAAAGACAGAATCTGCCGAGACAATGCAGCAAGTGTGCTTCACCCCCCCCCCCACAGAATCCATTCCTGCAACAAACTGCCCCTAAGCCCCGCTCAGCCCACATGTTACGTAACATAGCCTTACACAGGCGCTGGTCACAGCACAGTTCATCTCTTCGTTAAGGAGACTCTAGTCTGGACATTGAAGATATTACTTCCCGCCGAAACCGGTGTGGCTCAGTGGTAGAGCGTCGGTCTGCGGACTGAAAGGTCCCGGGTTCGATTCCGGTCAAGGGCATGTACCTTGGTTGCGGGCACATTCCCAGTAGGGGGTGTGCAAGAGGCAGCTGATCGATGATTCTCTCTCATCGATGTTTCTAACTCTCTATCCCTCTCATCCTCTCTGTAAAAAAAAAAATAATAATAATAACATATATATATATATATATATACATATATATATATATATATATATATATATATATATAAAATTTAAAAAAGGAGATATTACTTCCCCTTATTTAAAAGGTACATGCTGAGTGTATCTTAGTGGTAGTTTCTATATCTGGGCTCTTCAAATGAGTTTCATGTTTTCTGCATTTGTAGTCTTATTTAAGAATGCCATTTAAAAAGTATCCCATTGAGCAAGGAACATGAGTTGGATAAAACCTAATTGCAGAGAAATAGAAGTAAAAGAACTTTTCAGTGAGAACGTAAAAGCCTCAGACATTTTTTTTTTATTGTTTCCAATAGCTCAGGAACACACTCCGCTTTCTTTTGGGGAACGTGGCTGATTTCAACCCGGAGACCGATTCCGTCCCCGTGGACAAGATGTACGTCGTGGACCAGTACGTGCTGCACTTGCTGCAGGGCTTGGCCAGGAAGGTGAGTGGGCATCGCTCAGCGTTTGGGAAGTGGAAATACTGGCACTGGTATGCGGTGAAATCCGAGGCGCAGGCAAGGAAATTGCTAGAAATTGTCGCTGCAGCCCTGAGAAAAGCTACGTACCCTGGATAAATCCCACCCGCTCCTAGGTTTATCTTGAACCTACGGTCCTAAATCTTACGATTTCTTTCCAGTAGGCCCAGACATATCCTCAAACAACATCTTCTCCCCAGACCAGTGTTTCTATGACAGGAAGGAATAGGCCTGCACTGTATTTACCTGTAGATACACCCCTCAATGTCTAGAAATAACTGAAACGAATATTGCTGTGTCTTCTAAGCTATCGTGTCATTTGTATAGAAACAGATAGTTTGTGCTTAATCAGAAGCTAGAAATGTGGCTGCCTCCACGCACCCCGAGGTCAGATTTTTGGCCAGTTTCACTTTCAGGCACCAATGGGGCAGCCATGGTAGCTGCACGCTGCTGTTGTAAGTGGTCTCAACGTTTAAAACCGGGTCCTTCCCTTTACCGAGTGTTCTGTCAGTTCCAGAACAGACTGGAGCAGTGGAGTTTGAACCAGAAACGATGCTTGGGAGGCTCCCCACCCCCCAAGAGCTTCTGCATCTCGCCCTTTTTTGTATTTGTCTGAGACGTATTTCCAGAAGGAACACATCTGACTAACCACTTGCACGTCCACCTGCTTATCCCAGCTTGAATGTTTCTGCCTCTGTTCCCTAGATCGACGATTCCTATAAACAGTATGATTTCGGGAAAGTCATTCGGCTGTTACAAGCCTTTTACACCCGAGAACTTTCCAACTTTTACTTCAGCATAATCAAGGACAGGTACGTACGGCCGGGCAGTCAGGTACTCAAGCTCAGCTCGCCTATTCCGCCTGGCAAGTGCTGGGCGTCCCAGCGGGAGCAGGAGGGCAGCTGGGCGGCTACCAAGGTGGATTCTAGAGTGAGGGCTGCCTCCTCCTAGCTTTGTGGCTTGGGGCAGCCTGTCCCCGAATCTGCTTACCTAACAGGGGGCGGCTGATGCCACCTTGGCGTGGTTATGACAATGAAAGAGCAGCGGTCACGTGCTCGGGACGTGTGGGATATACATGGTCAAGAATATGATGCTCATCTTTGGGGTTTATAAAGCACAGGGGCAGGCAGCCTTGTAGGGGCCACATTCAAAGACCCCAGGTAACTTACTAGTTCGGTTGTCCTTGAACGCAGCAGTCCAGGCTCTATCGCCTGGAAAAGGGAGTTGGAGGTGGCAGAGCTGCTGAGAGGGTTCTGAGGTGCTGGGCACCCCGGGGGGGGGGAGGAGCGCGCAGTGGAGGGTGTTAGGGGAAACGTGCAGGACAGAGGCTGTGACTCTCGAATGCGAAGGTGGTTAGACCCTCGGATTAGCCGCGGTAAGCGTGAGCGGGGCCTGGGGCAGGTCGCGCGGGCAGCCACAGCATCGCGGCCGCTGAGTAGGCTGCCCGCGCAGGCTCTACTGTGAGAAGGCAAGCGATCCCAAGCGCCGCTCCTGCCAGACCGCGCTGGCGGAGATCCTGGATGTCCTGGCCCGCTCCTTCGCGCCCATCCTCCCTCACCTGGCCGAGGAGGTGTTCCAGCACGTGCCTTACATTCAAGGTAAGGGCAGCGTGTGCTCCCTGCACGACAGAGGGGCTGAGGTGGGTGTGACTGCCCCTGAGGGCCCTGGCCCCCCGAGTGAGTGACGGGGTGGCACACCTATCCCTCGGAACCTGTTGTGGAGGGGTGGGGTGGGGGTGCGGGAGTGGGGGGAGTACTCGGGGGCCCGGACATGCTTTCTGAAACCTTAGCAGTTCAGTGGCATTGAGAAATCACTTTCCCTTAAATATTTATAAAGGTCAGAAACATGAAATTTTATCACAACAAAATACAGCGCTTTTTAAATATATATATATATATATATTTCATTGATTTTTTTTTTTTTTACAGAGAGGAAGGGAGAGGGAGAAAGAGAAACATCGATGAGAGAGAAACATCCATCAGCTGCCTCCTGCACACCTCCTACTGGGGATGTGCCCGCAACCAAAGTACATGCCCTTGACCAGAATCCAATCTGAGGCCCTTCAGTCCGCAGGCTGACGCTCTATCCACTGAGCCAAACCAGTTAAGGTTGTATATAGTGCTTTTTATAAGCTTTTTTCCCTCTGAATGGGTTAAACTTATAGGAAATCAGAAACTATAAATAGGACCACCCCCAAACAACAACTGTTGCTGTTGGGATAGTTCTCTTTGCTTCTAGGCATGGTTTTTTGTTTGTTTGTTTGTTTGTTTTGAGATCTCACTGTATATTTTATCTTTTATTTAGGTTTAGCATGATCTCCAAATGTTCATGTAAATAAATGTTTGGCAAACATTTAGGATAGCTCCGTACTATTTCCTCCCATGGTTACTTAAATAACAGTTCTTATTTCCCATGATTAGTGTTCAGTGGTTTAGTCTAGATTACAGTGTTTCCCAGACTTTTGACATATGTGTATCCCCTCCTGTAATTTTCGTAACGCTGAGTCCCCCTCGTCCCCATGAGATCGTAGAATTAGGCGCAGCTAAGCACCTTGCAGTGCATACCCCCACCAAACTCCGGTGCAACGCGTACCCCCACCAGACTCTTCCTGTACCCCTGGGGGTACGCGTACCGCACTTTGGGAAACACTGGTCTAGAACAGATGCAAATTAGTGTGTGTGTTTGTTTTAAGAACCCAAGAGTGTCTTCCGCACGGGCTGGACCACCACCAGCTCCGTCTGGAAGAAGCCGGGGCTGGAGGAAGCGATGGAGAGCGCGTGCGCCATGAGGGACTCGTTCCTCGGGAGCATCCCAGGCAAGAATGCCGCCGAGTACCAGGTGACCATCGTCATCGAGCCGGGGCTGCTTTTCGAGATCATCGAGGTGAGCAGTCATTTGTCGCTTCTGAAATGGTGTTGGTATCAGTTTCCACTGGAAATTTGTTCTTTAAAAAAAAAATCTGTATATTGGGACAGGGAAGGTATAATCAAGATTCGCTTGAAATGCAGCCCGCAGGGCTATTGAGATGACAGATGACATGTAAATCCAGGGCAGTGGCCTAAGAAGACACAGAAATCGGGAGTTTGTGTTAATGGTGTAGTTCTCTGAGAATTTCTGTCCATGTGGTTCAGATTCAAAACAAATGCAAAACAAGATTTCCATTTTTTTTCTTGAATTCTGGGAGAAAGATCATCTGTTCCAGCAGATTGTCATGCGATCTCAGAGCATTCACCCTGTTTTTTTTCTTTATCTCCAAAGTTCTGTCAAATTTTCTAAACAATGACCATCTCATTTGGTTGGTAAGCTCAGTTTAAATTTTTAAAGTTGGACTTGGTCAGGAACTGAGGCTTGAAGTAGCTGGTAGATGAGATTGTCGGTAAGATGAGAGGATTGAGAATATGCCCACATTCTCACGTTCTGTGGTTGGGAAGTTCTGGCTCTTTCGCTTTATTTATGCTGTGACCAGGCCGAGGCCCCACAGCCTGAACTAGGTTTGTCCCTACGTGTCCTTTGATTCAGTAGCTCTGAGTAATTAGCTGAAAATACAGCTGGTCTGGATCGTTTATATTGGAAAAAAAATTAATATATTTTCCTTGGAAATTACACTAAGTAACTGTCACATGAAGTCCTGGTTCTGTCAGTTACTAACAGCATGATTTGCTAAAACCAAATTAGTCTCTTTGAGCCTCCTGTTTTCTCATGAGCTTTTTAAAAGGAATGTGTTAGCTCACAGGCATTTTGAAGATCGAAATCACCACGAAAAAGGTGAAGTGGCATCATACGCCCCAGTTAGTGTCCTCGTGTGCACACGGTGCTGTCAGTTTGTGCCCTGACCTCGTGCCTACAGGCAGAAGCATGATGCAGGGTGAGGTGCCCGAGGGGCTGAGAGCTGGGCAGCGGTTCTCTCGGAGGAGCCTGCTTCTCCGTGTGATTGGACGTTTCCAGTTCAGACCTTCCACACTAGTGAGAACTGACGTGCTTTAGCCGAGGAGCGTCAGGAGGCAGTGGTACCAGAGGGCTTCTCACGCACACACGCAGTGTCTGTCCCCGGCCTGCGGTGACATGAGCTCAGACATGACTGTCCCGTGCTCCTGCAGATGCTGCAGTCGGAGGAGACGTCCAGCACCTCCCAGCTGAATGAACTCATGATGGCTTCCCAGACCACACTCCTCTCCCAGGACGCACCCAACATGCCTGCCGACACCACTGAGCTGAAAGGGACCTTCCTCATCAACCTGGAAGGTGAGGAGGGTGGGGAGGACTGGTGTGACGGGAGCACGGACTGGCGTCCAGCGGGGGCCGGTGCTCCGAAGGCACCTGCCATGGCGACGGGCAGGCTCTGAAGCAGCTCTTGCAAGTGTCCCGTCCCATGAGCTTGGGGATGCGGCGCCAAGGATGGAAGGGGCTTCCTTCTTGCCTGTGACACAGTGGCTGTCAGCACCCTCACTCCCGTCTGGCTTGTGTCCCCCCGTCCTGTGATAACCTGGAATCCGAGCGCTGCCCGGCCCTTCCCACCCGTCCCAGCATAAGACGTCCAGGGTAGCCCCAAATCACACCACTGCTTAGCTGTCCTGGAGGAGGGGAGGAAGTCCTGTGGACCCATACTGGAGAAAGTGTGTCCTTTCGTCCAGACCAAGAAAGGTGGGGACGCTGCAGCCGTCTCTAATGTGGCTCTTTTTAAAATTCTTAAATCCGCTGCCTTTCCAGCCACGTTAATCAATCAGCGCCACCCCAGATTGGGAGCCGGAAGGGCTGCCTGCCTGAGTTAGGTGTGGAACCCGGAGCTGAGCTGGGGAGCAATCAGTTAGCCTCCCGTTCCCGGCAGCTGTGCGATCCTGACGTGGCTACATACGTATGTCATGTGACAGGCTTCCCCAGGGCAGGAGGAGAAAGCTCCATCAAGGAGCACCTGCCAAGCCAACGGTGACGGCCCATCAGGCACGCGTTTCCCTCCACAGGTGGCGACATCCGGGAGGAGTCAGAGTATAAGGTGATCGTCACGCCCACGACCAAAGAGAAGTGCCCTCGCTGCTGGAAGTTCACGGCCGAGTCCTCGAACACACTCTGTCCCCGCTGCGCTGACGTCGTCGGGGGGAAGTAGTGCCTCGCGCTCCGCGGACAGCTGCTCCCGGCCCGGCCCGGCAGGCCTGGCCGCGGGTCAGGTGGACTGTTTACAACCCCGGGGAGCAACGCTAGGTGGAGGGTGAGCGCCAGAGTTAAGGGAGCTAAGGTTTCCTATCGCTGGATAAACAGTGTGTACACACCTGCAGAGTCGTATGTGCAGATGGGGACTGGGGTATCCAGGGTGGACTCGCTCAGAACACGGGCACTGAGTCCGCTTACCTTCAAGTGAGCTGAGCAGGAAACGTTTTATATTGTACAAATCTTCCTGACTCAGCACTCAGGCTGTACAGTGTCGACAAATAAAGGCATTCTGGAAAAGGAGTGGTGTTGGTGCACAGATTGTGCATTCCACCTCCCCAGTGGAGCTAGCTGGTTTGTGTGGCTGAATTGGGATGGAAGCATCCGTGAATCTGTTCTTCCCACAGACGAGGGAAAAACCTTAACGGTACGTACTTACATTTGTGAATGCTGAGGAAACATCATGAAAGCTGGAAGTTTATTTCACTATCATACATAAATTCACAACAAGGAGCAGACAGGAAGCAGCGGTATGTACAGACCTGCATATACATACAAACTGGCACGTACAGCACATGACGCCAGGCCACAGAGGGCTCCCCCGCCACTCGGCACCGTCACACCCCCAGGATGGCTGACCACTCAGCCACTCCTCCCTCTGCTCAGTCCAGCAGGTCCATTCCTGTCAGCCGAGGGGCTTTCCCTGCTGCTGTCAGCACTGCAGAGACATTTCTCCTAGCAGCCACGTGAGTCACAGCCACTTCCAACCGGATGGCTGTCATATTCCTATCAGCTTGGTATAATAACATCTGAGATTTTTGTGGTTTTAAATTGCAATTAATTGTCTTTTTTTAATATATATATATAAAAAGGAAGCTAGTTAATTATTAACGGTGTTTACTTTGACCTAAGATCGATTTTTATAACAAAGGTGAAATGGAGAAGAGCCTGTTTGTTAGTTTTTTTTCTTTGTGCAACAGAAGGAAGCGCTTAGAAGCCTGATGTTCGCTGTTCCTCTTACTCTACATTTATCCCGGCTCTTGGGAGTCTGCGTCTAAACACGCCTGGGATGTAGATGCTGTGATCACTGAATGCTAATTCTTTCAGCATCACAGTGGGACTTCACACGGCCTGTTTAATGCCGTGGGGGGTGGAGGGGAGCGGGGCAGGCGTGTATCTAGGAAAGCTGCTGGTTATTGGCTTCCATCAGTAACTGCGCTAAGTGCAATAAGCCCTTTGTTTCGGAACCAGCCACTTGACAGCAAACCTCACTCCTTGACTTGGGGCTTTTCCTCGTTACAGACCGTGTGCAGGCAGACTTCTGCGGCAATGGCTTCTGTCCAGGCCGAGGCAGTAAAGCAGTTCGTGACCGATTTGCTGATGGTCTTGCCGTCAGTCTGCACACATTCGGTGTCTGTGAAGTGCAGGAGGCCAGACCGGCCTGCACCTAGCTATCTCCTTGCCTATCAGGGTGATGTGAAAAGCCCTTGATGAAATAGTACACTGTATACCTGTTTCTTAACCATACAACTTGGCACTCAACGTTGCAATTCCGAGTGTGGGTTTTAGGTTGCGCGTCTAACTAGAGACTCGATTTGTTACGGTTCTGTGTGATGGTGTGTCCTTCCAGTATAAGCTTAAGCAGTTTTATTAGCTTAAAGGCTTATTAGGTTATGTCTCCCCCACCCCCCCAAAGTGATATGGAATCTTTAAAAATGCCTAGAATTCCAAGATTTTTAACCAGCTTCCAAAATGTATCACTACTTTCAGAATATATAGGAAAATCACAGGGAGAACCTGTCTTAGATTAAACGTTAACAGTGACTGTGACGCTGCCTGCTCACAGGAAACCACAGGAGTGCATCTGGATGGGGCAGGGGAGACCCAAGCAGAGGCTGGACTAGCTCCCGGGGCCACCCTGCACCAGCGCCTCCTCAGACTGACCAGCCCGCACCCCTGCCCAGCAGCCTGCACTGCTCTTTTGCAAGGTTTCCAATGGAGCGGTAGTTGCTGAGTTTTTGACAGGGGCGTTCCTATTTGGATGTGATCTGGAGTTCAGAGCATTTACACTGGGATGCCCTCATATTGGACAGTTTTCTTTTTTTCTTTCTTTTTTTTTTAAATATATTTTATTGATTTTGTACAGAGAGGAAGGGAGAGAGATAGAGAGCCAGAAACATCGATGAGAGAGTCATCGATCAGCTGCCTCTTGCACACCTCCCACTGGGGATGTGCCCGCAACCAAGGTACATGCCCTTGACCGGAATCGAACCCGGGACCCTTCAGTCCCCAAGCCGACGCTCTATCCATTGAGCCACACCGGTCTCGGCATATCGGACAGTTTTCTTCACGCCCCTGAAGCACATATTTCTCTGCCCTGCCCAGCTGCTCTAAGTGGTTTCTTACAAGGACGAGAAGCGCTGACCTCTGTCACTATGAGCTGCCGCGAATAACAGTGACCCGGGACAGGTACCACTAACTGCTCTGTATGGCTCCTCTCCAAGACACACCAGTGTCAGCGCTCCGTATCTGTAGAGCTCAAAGCACTTTTTAGAGTTTGGGCTAATGTTTTGGGTTTTACTCAAATAGCTCTTCAGCACGTGGACTGCTCGAGGCACTGTCGGGTACGAGGTTCATTTTATCCTCTCAACCAGCTCTGAGGTAGGTTTGCTAAAGCTGTAATGTCACGAAGCATTTTTCTCCCTGTTCCCGAGAACAGATCAAAAGACCGGCAGCAGACATTTCCAGACATTTGTAAGAAAAATAAAGTTAGACTTAAATGTTTTAGCATCTTTGCCCCTTTTTTTTAAACATAAGTTTTACAAGATAATACATTTTTACAATGACCTGATGTGGGTATGCCTTTGACTCTTGGCAAAAAGCGAGTCTTACCTTGTGTTATGATTAATTTTGGTGTGTGGCTCTCACATCTCAGATTCTCAATTTTGGCAAGTACAGGCAGGTCCTTTTGGTACCAGGACAGGGGTTCTATCTAACATCTCTTCTGATGGATATGATGACCTTGAACGAGTTCCTCTTTTGCAAGGTCGCTGTCCTCTGGGAAAAGAACCTGTCAGCTTCCAGAACTCCGGGTGGCAGTCCCGTGAGAAATTATAACAAAAACATCTTTTTAACAGCTATGAAAGGAGAGTGAGTGGGACGTTTCTCTAGTTGTACTGACGGGACTGTATTTACATGACCGTTGAAATTTACTTATTTCAACGAATATTTCAAGAACAGTAACATTTGCATATGAAATATAGTATCTTAGAATAAGAACATAATCTGTAAATTATAACCCATCTTAAATAGCAAAATTTAACAATAAAGCTACGTAAGTGCTTGAATTAGATATAAACATTAAAACATCTGTAGAAGGAGTTAATAGCATCATTGATATTTGTTCATATTTTGCCATAATTGATATCTGTTTATATTTTAACTTCGGTGTTAACCAAAGGAGTGGAACCGAGCCAGGACTGTACTTTTTAAAAAGTAATATACATATTTTTAAATTTATTTTACAAAAGAAAAAAAGAAAAAGAAAAAAAGACAGACTCCCTCCATGAAATCCCAGCTCTGACTATAAAATAACCATGCACTACGTCACGTCTAGTCACACAGGCTGACGGGGGTCATAGAGAAGGAATGGCTATGGCTTCCACAGCTTCGATGAGGTGTAAGGCGAGACTGTACTGCCCGTGGTTCTCCGGCAGAAGCTCGATGACTTTATTCACTAGTTTAGCTGTCGTCGCAATTGGCACTTCTGTGTTTTGAAGATCCTGGGGGTCCTACAAAAGAGGACACAAAAATAACCCGTCAGTGATCCACGCCTGAATAAAAAGCACTTTCTTCAGAGCGAAGTCAGCTAGTTAATGAAGATTGTTTCCTGAACTGGTAATGGAAGGAAGCAGACTTCCGGGGCCTCCTTCCGAGCAGACTCACCATCGCTTTCAGCCAAGTGCAGAGCGTGGGGGACAGCCGGGCCAGCAGCTCCCTGCCTTCCCGCGCCTGCGTGTGGAGCAGCGCGTGAGCCAGCCTCTGGCCCGTCAGCACCAGCAGCTGAGAGGCCAGGACCTCTTTGTCATGCACCTGCAGGATGGCCTGCGGGGGGGGACACGGACAACCAGGTAAGAGCCGGCGGGGGTCTCACTCCGTTCTGATCTGTGGCTACACGTGTGTACAGTTGACCCTTGAACAACATGAGAAATACAATTCTCTGCTCTGGCTCACTGTATGGCAAGAGCATATAGTATGTAATACGTGTAACACGCAGAATGTGTTCACCAACTGTTTGTTGTTGGTAAGGCGCCCAGTCAACACTAGGCTATTGGTAGCTAGGTTTTGGGGAGTCAAAAAGTAGGCGCAGATTTTCAACCGTGTGGAGCCAGCTCAACCCCCACGTTGTTCAAGGGTCAGCTGTACAAGCAACATATCATCCCAGTCAAGCTTAGTGTTTACAACTCAAATTTCCACTTCTCCAATTTGGTACGACTGCAACTTGTGAGAGTCATTTTCAAGCTTCTGCGTGTTTTCTTGACCGCGAGGCCTGTGCAGAGAGCAGGCCTGCACACTGGACTGTACTCAACGTTAAGCAGGAATGTTAATATTTTAATACTCTGTTCCGTTGTGGTGCCTAGAAGCTCTAACAGAAGGATAAGCAAAAAAGCTCTACGGAGACTTGACTGGCTCTTGACTCCAACCAACCACTTTCTCACCGGAGCCCAGTGAGTACCCTGAGAGGCTGTTACCTCTTCCCCTAAGTGGTCCACTCCGTAGTTGTAGAGTTCCCCCACGTAATGCCTCCTCACGACGTCTTCGCTGACTTGAAGGTGATGGGCCAGGTCCACGGCCAGCACTGGCCACTCCAGGTCTTTCCCAGGGGGAGGGGCGGGGGCCGCGTCTGAGCCGTCCTTCTCCCTGGCGCCCGCGTGCTGAGCCTGGACAGCCGCGCTGACGACCTTCAGCAAGAACTGGAAGGGAGACAGTGGCACCCCGTTAGTATGTTTCCGTGAAACATACCCGTGAGGGGGGCTTTCCCGTGAAAACTGTGCGCTTCTCGAGAAGCGATGCAATGTAAAGATAAACTAGCTCTCCAGCATGCTGCGGAAGTAAGTGGTCAGCCTTTAAGGCCAGCTAGGTTTTTGTGTTAACACCCTTTTCCCCAAGAAACAAAGCCCGAGAGCTGACTTACCTGTTGTCGTAGAGAAATGAAATTTGGGTCCATTTCTCCACTGGGTAGTAACTGAATGGAAGTTAGGTCTTTGAAAAATGCATTTTTCCCCTAAAGAGAAAGAAGA